TCCGTCCAGGACTCATCACACTGCGAACAGAAAGAGCTTCATCCCTTGCAACGCTCTATATGGGTTGACGTGGCAGAATCCGCTGCGATTACCCCCGTCGACAAGAGAGTAGACTTCTGCGTCGGTGATGTGGCTCAGTTCCAGCTCGAAGGCACGCCACCTTGGTCCATCGGGTGCGTTCGGTGACTCGTCACATTTCATTTCGATTTGCTGACAGGAACGACACTATAGGTACCGCATCAATGGCAAGTCTTACACCCAAGAAGCCAAGAAGTCCCCATTTTCCCTCATGCATCAACAAGCGGGGGAATTCACGGTCACATCCGTGTCGCAACAGCAGAAGCTATGCAAGGCTACAGTCACCGACTTACAGTTTAGCGTCCATCCTCTCCCAGCTGCCCAAGTCGGTCACGGGAAACGGATATTCCAGGACATTCATGAAGGTAATTGCAGTTTCGACATAGGACAATTGTGCTGTGCTGACGTACGTGTAGGCGACCAAGCAGAAATAGTCTTCACGCTGATTGGAGAACCACCATTCACGTTCACTTACCAACGAGCCGAGCCAATTCCCAAGAAAGGAGGCAAACCAGGAAAAGTCCTGGAGACGCATACCGTGTCGGGTGTCACCACGCACGAATATTCTATATTTTCCGCACTTGAAGGTTTGTTTCTATATAGTTATACAACCCTGGACTTAGCTAACCTGTGATGTTGCAGGGACGTGGACAGTAACATCCATCTCTGATCGTTACTGCCGATACCCTACACAGTCAGATGGCATGGTAGAAAAGACACGACACTAGGCTTTGAGATGTGAGCGCCATCTGATTTTATTATATCTCATGCCAGTAGCCACTGTAGCTTTAGACTAATGACATAGCATCAAACATTCTGATCACGTACGTGGCAGCTGGCTAGTCTCATCACCAGCCACCTAATTTTGGCGAGAGCTGATTTGCCTTGTAAAACTTTGCCCGCGACTTGGCAAAGAATTGAAGGATATGTAGTTGTTACAAGACCAAGTACATCAAATATACATTTACTTCGCTGTCCTTCCTCTAAACCTGGACAGATGAGATGTAGAACCACTTTGAGACTGTGGGACAGAGAAGTCATACTGTGCAGGACGAAAGGGAGGAACAGATACTTACTGGAAGGATCGATGGGTGCAGGAGGTTGCCTGGAGTCGGCAGGAAGGTTAGCGTATGTTTGGTCGTTACGGGTAACGAAACCTGGCGAATTTGAGTTGGTTAGGTTGCGGCTGCGAATTTTTTCATTTTTCAGCGACTAAGAAAAACAAAGAAAGTTGACGGACACGGAGATCTCGTAGGTAGGGGTTTTGGCGGGGCTGTCACCAGTTATAAGGCGACGCCATGCCTCGTTACACTCGTGGATGATCTCTGTAGCATATTTCTTGTTCTTGGCCTCACCAGAGAAAGCAAAGGCATTCTCGCCCTTGCCATCGGGAATCTTGTAGATCCTATCAGAGACTATAAGCTCCTGCCTAGGCTGATAAGATACAGCACGTACCTGAACCACTCATTGGTGGCCCTGATCAACCCAGGAAGGTGGCGCTCCACATCTTCGATGTCGTTCAGCTTTGATGCAAGGGGGTCGTGTACATCAACGACGATGACTTTCCAGTCAGTCTCGCCCTCGTCGAGCAAAGCCATGATACCGAGAACCTTAACTTGCTTAACCTGACCGACGTAGCCGACCTGTTCACCGATCTCACAGACATCCAATGGGTCATTATCACCCTTGGCTTTAGTCTCAGGGTGAAGAGCAGCGGGGTCCTCCCAAGTCTTACGATGATCGATCGTGCTCAGCCAACCGAACAAAGAGCGAGAAATGAAACAAAGCCCACCTGAGGGAAAGCACCGTAGTTCCAGATGTACCCATGATGGGGGAAGCAGTTACGGACGAAGCGCAAGCGACCCTTTTTGATGTCCTGTTTGATGGGGTTGAATGGCTCCTCCTTGGAGATCTCCATCTTCGCGTTAGTCCAACGAGGGACCTCGACGATCATGTTGAGGATGCCATTACTCTGATCGGCGAAGAGAGGAACATCGTGAAAAGAGGACACAACAGAGCTATTATGCTCGATGTACACTCGGTGTTCTGATGATGTGTGAGCTGATTAGCTGGCACGATGGATTGTGGTACGATCACACTCACCGAGGGTGTTGGGCGCGCCGATGAGGCGAGTACCAAAAGCTAGAAGCGTGTTAGTAAAAATTGCGAGGTTATTTGATGAGGAAAAGCGCACTGGAAACCATCGGTGAACGTGATGAAGACAGTAGTCTGACTTGTTGGGAGAGACGACGAGCCACTATCGATCCTCCGGTCATGTGTCAATTTAAACTTACCTGCTTTATTTGAGTAAAAGTAAAAGTTTGCATTAATTACGAAATTAATCTTTCGTGGGATTGGGGTCCGCTTAGACTTGATAATTTATAAAATTCACTGACAGGACCAAGAATGTTGCCAGCAGAGGAGAGACAAGACACTGATCTTAGCGCTCACGAAGTTGCATAATTTTAATTAACTATTCGACAAATTACAAATATTAAAAATTATCTATACTATCGCTGGCACCACTGGCACTGGCAGCTGCTCTGGGCTTCGAAAATGCCCCGTTGAAATCCAACCGAAGCAATAGCCTCTCAACATGCCGGCGGACTTCTCCCTCTCCCTCAAAACCCTTGGACCCCTTTCCTCGGATGGAGGTGCGCTGTAATGTTGTGGCATTTGCTACGCTAGCGTTCATCAAGATAGATTTCGAGGCATCACCAGTGGCCATGAAGGGCTGCTGAGAGGTTGAGAGCGACAGCTGCTCGTAGAACAAATTAAGCAGTGTATGAAGGCTCTGTTGCATGAGACAGTCAGAATAGCTGGTGCTGAAAACGGAGTGTAATACCTCATTGATCTCTGACACCACCTGAAACCGTTCCTGTACCATAGCACCCACTTTATCATCCCCACCAGGTGCCAAACTCCCCTCGAATAACAACGCAGGCAGGACATCTCCGCCCCATCTCTCGACTTGTGCAACAAATCGTTCGCACACCTCGAAAATCGGCCGAAGGATCGCAATTAGAGCGGGATTAGACAACAAGCACCCCGTCAGCAGCCGCTCAAGATACGTCGTATGGATATTTCGCAGCGTGGTGAAATCAAGGTAAGTCGAGGGTTCTGCATTGGCTTGGCCGGCAATGTTATGTGAACTGGGGTGCTTGCCCACGCTTTCTGCCCGTCCGCGACTTGGGTTTCCCAAGAGATCCTTCAGTCTTTTGAACTCGACGTCTACGACATCGACCATGACATAACCAAGAAGCGTATCGAGGAACCACCCCATATCTCTCACGACGCCCCACCCGCAGCGTAACAGTTCTCTGCGCGCTTCGAGATCTTCGGCAGTACCACCTTCTCCAAGGCCTGTCCATCGCCGTCGCGCACGTTGTGCGTTGGAGAGCGAGGTCCAGCAAGTGTGAATTCGAGTGTGGGTTTTGCGTAAAGAAGAGAGGTAGTTGAAAAGAGCTGCGTATATCTGAAGATCCGAAAGGTGCAGAAAAAGATCCAGAGGCCAGGCGACATTGTACAATAGTACGAGATTTGTGCCTAAAAGGAGATCATCAAAGGATGTGACTTCGGATGAATTACTAGCGACAGATGAAGATAGTGCTTTGGAATTTGCCAATGGGGGTAGGAGGGGTCTGAGAGGCCCAGAAGGGAGTTCAAAATGGAGGTGTAGAAGCGACGGATCATGTTGAGCGGTTGTGCCAAGAGACGCTCGGAGGAGCGCTAGATTTAAATCTTGTTCTCGAATCACTGACGCCGCTCCTGATCGTGTTGTTAGCCGTGATATCTTCAAGCGCTCAATCTCACGAATGAGCGCTAAGCTGAATTCGCCATTGCGCAGAAGGAAGTAACTTGCCCTGCCGGTCAATTGTTAGTCTGCCAGATTTAACTAAAAATTACAAAATAAAAAGTAAAAAGGACTCGGAAGAATCACGTACAATGATATAACAGCGTCTTCCACATCCTTCCGTGTCAGAACGTTGAGCCACAGCCACTCGCTGATATTTGTCCTGATCTGCAAGACCACGAGGTCGAATTTGTATTGATCCTCGGGCAAGACGGTTTCCAGCAGATTGGCATATTCAAGCGCCTGCTCGCGCGGCAGTTGATTCCCCCACTTCTTGGCTTTTATGGTCGCAATGGCCCGACCCACATAAATGATAGATTCTCTTGTTTGGGGAGAGACGCAAGAGGGCATAGTGCCATCTAAAAGCGTGAAAACTTCCGATGCCAAAGGATCAGAGGAGGAAAGGGACCCGTGAACCAGAAAAGCAGATAGCTGGCTCCGCCAGACGCGTTGGACTGCGACAGAAAGGCGTGATATGATATCGGCAATCAGATAGACGCCAGTCTTGGAACGTGCGAGCAACATGTCAATTAGGGGACCGGGCTGCCAGTGCTTCTGAGCTTGTAGTTGATTCATCAAGGTCTCTAGCGCTGCGAGTGGAGAGTCCCATTCTGCAAAAGTCGCTCGTAAAGCTGAGAGTGGCACGAAAGACCCGTTGGCAACGAGATCAGGATCGCGTTTCAAGACTTTGGCTTCTGTATCTACTACAAGTTTTTCGTATTCGTCCTTTAGGATCTGGTTTAATGTCGCGCAGAGCGCACAGACATAACGCGACTTGGACCGGGAGAGGGTTGCACAAGCCTTCTTTATATTGCGGTATCTGGAAGCTATGTGTCCAAGGGCCTCAAGACATTGCTCTTCGCCTGGATGCAGTAATGGTTTGAAAGCAGGGTGTAAATTGTGATCTGTTGGGAACAACGACGAAGAGTGGCCTGCGAGGACTAGCAATACCTCTGCAATCATGTTGGTCCTATACGTCAGTTTGGCTGAGAGATGAATGCATAAAGCAAGCAAAACTTACTTGAACGACTCGATGGACCTAAAATCTGAGACGTTAGTCGTTGAGGTGACTGCTACTATTAGAGGCTATTTCTGGACGAGTAAATCAGACCACAACACTAGACTGTAACTTTTGAAACGCATCCATACCACTGCATGGCAGATAACGAGCACGAAGTCGTGGAGCGTCAAGTTGGCAAAGGATTCGAGGCCAGCTTTGACCTCGACGATGCATTCTCAGATGGTGAAGATGGTGATTATAACCTCGAGTTCAGCTCCGCAGCTATCAGGAAACATCTCGCGGAGAACCCCAGTTGGGTCGGAAATCATGACCAAGAAGATGACAGGCAGACAGAGCATAGCTCTACGCACGGCGACCATGATACATCGATATCAACGTTTTGTCTCGATGGGAGCTCAAATTTATACTTAGATGCTAGATCTTCTTGCTCGTCACCACCACCGGAAGAACAACTTGACGAGCAGCAGGTTACTCAGGACTTCTCTGATATCACACTCTCAGAAGAACTGAATGCAAACGGGCATTCGACTACCCATGAAGATACCCAAGAGGGAGATGCCTCCGCTCTACGAGATACCTCCCCTCTGCGGGATACTTCATATCCAGCCGTTCACATTGACGTCAGTAAATCACCGCCAAGTCGCGTAATAACGAGCACGGGCGCAGAAAACAATAGCGAAGATAATCATGATCAGGAAGACGAAGTGGTACATCCGGTCTCGAATGTAGTATCTTCTTCCTACCTCCCTGCCCCTACTCCGAGTCATGATATTCCACCATTACCTTCATCCCCATCTTCCCCGCTACCGAAAAGCCCAACAACACCAACCACCATAAGCAATAGAAGACAAACGTACTCAGCGGGACCAAGTGCCTTCCAGAGAGTAATGAGCAAGACACGCCCTCATTTCCTGCCTCCGAAGAACCGTCAAGAAGACCAGAAACATATGGCGGACTGGCAGGCCATGATGAAACAAAGTCGCGCTGCAGGTCATTTTCTAGTCGCGTCAATCGTGGTCATATACTGACTTAATATCAGAGGAAAAACGGCGGAAAGCACTGCAAGAACGACGTTTAGCTCGCGAGCTTAAAATCGAGCAGTCTGTGTACAAATGGGAGAAGGAGATAGTCTCTGATTGGCGAGTTGTTTATAAAAATCCCAATCTCCGCAAACTTTGGTGGAATGGCATACCTGCGAAACTACGTGCTTCTATGTGGCAGCAAGCTGTCGGTAACGCACTCGCTTTGAGCAAAGGTAAGCATCGTATATATGCACATGTTTCCTTTCCACGTAGCCTTCATCGTATTTCAAGATAACTACAAGAACTGTTTCAATCGAGCTACCCGCGCACTTTCGTCCGGTTCATTTCCTGCTGAAACATTACAAACCATCGAGCAAGACATCTTGTCCACCCTTCCTGCCCTACACATATTCCACCCCGAAACTGGGCCGCTCTACCAGGACCTCAAGGATATGCTGTGCGCATGGGTCGTCTCTCGTGCAGACGAGGGTCTGGGATATGTGCACGGGGCCGCCAAGATTGCCGGGATGATATTACTCAACATGAAGCCACAACAAGGTTTCGTAGTGATGAGAAATCTCTTGGAGAGACATTGCATGAGGTCATTATATGGCAGCGTTGCTGCCAAGGATGACGTGAGTGCCACAGATTGGCTCGGATCAGAGTCTGACTGAATCGTAGTGAACTAGGTCGAAGCCTATTATCGGTGAGCATAAGAACATGAGTGAAGCTTTTTGTGTTTATACTACTTTTCAGGATATTTGACACGCTCTTAGCCGACTGCATGCCAAAAAGTATCACCGTATATATCATCTTTCACCTGTTCGACTTAACTCATTTTCCTCTAGTGTACTTTAATTTCAAGCAACACCAAATATCGCCTGGTGCTTATCTCCCTGACTGGCTTATCCCGCTATTCTTGGACTATCTGCCCTTCGAAGCATGCGCACGCCTATGGGACGTTCTCCTACTAGAGGGGGACTCTTTTCTTTTTCGTGCTGCTCTAGCTATTCTTGCAGTCCTTGAACCTCGACTATTCTTCCCCGACCGACAAGAGCTTCTAGACCTCCTCCGGTGGGTAATTTTTTAATTCTGTTATCACACTGCTCAAATCCAACGTTGCCATTACAGAGGTGAAAATAAGGCTGCACTGGAAGTAGCCAAGAGGGAAGGGCGTTTACTGGATGGTGCAAAATATGACATCTACGGCATAGACGAAGAGACACTTTGGGAACGCATTGATAGTATGGAGGACTGGTGGAAGGAGTCTACATGGAGACGTCTGACGCAGCGAGAACTGCCAGATTTGTAGATTGAAGATGTAGTACTAGTGCACTAGCGAGAACATCACGTTCGAGTCATCGTGCATCACAGGGAAAAATGGATTGTCATTGTACTACAAGGATGTGCAGAGCAGGGAGCTCTAGTCACAAAGACAGGTAATGCAGATATCAAATAGTATCAGCGAACAGTTTCCAACCGACTACGAGGTTAATTGATTCTCTGCAATCGATCCATCAACTGAGCAGTGGGGACTGCATCGAAGATAGTGCATTCGTAACACAACAGCGAAGCATTACAGGTGCTGTATGAATCTATCCAGCACTATCCTCATCCTCGTCATCCTCCACCGCATTCTTGTAGAACGTGTACATTCTCCGTCGATTTGCATCCCGAGTTTCTGCTTCACTTGCCACATCGAATATTTTTTGCAATATCGACTTATGCACAGCATCTACATCCATCGCTCGATCACTGTCTGAGCTAGAGGCGCAGGCGTTGACCAGTAGTTTCGAGTAATCAAGAGATGATGTACGCGCTTTTTTGCGGCTTGGAGGACCCGATGACGATTTCAGTGACTTATGCAATGGCTCAAACAGCGATGATTGAATGTGTCTATAAGTCGTGTTTGTGGGCGTTCGTGCGGCGAGGATGATAAAAGGCGACAACAGCGTGGACAATGGGACTGGAGGTGGCGATTCACAGTTAGTTAGTGCTTTTTCAAGCTCCTCGAGGTATATCTCCGATAAGTGGAATGCAAGACTGGTTGGCACACGTATATCGTTGGGACTGCAAGAACAGTTATAATTTGCCTTCCGATATTTGTACGAGGACTTCTCACCATAGCGGTCCGTTGGGGCCAGATAATATTGAGTTGTATTCCTCGACAGTGGCACTGTCCCATTTTGTCCGCATAATAAATCTGAAGCTCGCATTCACGAACTTCCTGACAAGCATGTAATACTTGTCCATCCTTAAAACCAGCGTTCGTATCTGAAACATCACGGTGTAAAATTACTGCACGCACCGAAGACGATCAATCCCATTCCATTCTCTAACCGTCATTGTCCAAAACCCTCGCAGAAAATTGAGCGATGAAGGTACATCAGTTATCGTAAGTATGAGTTCTGCTAGCTCCCCTGCTAGTGCCTGCTGTACGAGTGGTTTGTCTGACATCCAGAAACCTGAAATATGACATCAGATGTGATGCAAACAATCAAGTATGGATGTAGAGACATACAGTAGAAGATGCCCTTCCAAAGCTTGGCCATTTCGAGGTCAGGCAATACATTTTCAGAGTCACTGGACAGGAAAACAGCGAGGTTTTTTACGGCCTTGTCCCGTGTTTTCTTTTCTGCATGAAGTCAGTGGGGAGGAGTATAGATATATATCTCTTAGCACACCTGAGGATGCAAGGTATTTGCCCAGAGGCGGGACGGTAGGAGTGGACGCGGCAGACATGAATATTCGATATCGCAAAATCTTGACAGTTAGCATATTGCCTGCATGGTCACGTGATTTTACACCGAAGAGTACTTGGCTGACAGGGGAATTGAAGGAGCAGGTGATCATCGATCATCGGCATACAACGGGCAGTTTGGAGCTCCTTTTGAGTGGTTTCCAAAGCTCAAAGACTACAGATTTAAGGCCTTACAGACAGCAGGATTCCCAGTACTCGTCATTATGTCGAAGGGACCCATCACATGCCATGGTGAGCACTTGTGTCAAAGAGCTACTGTTAGTATTCATTGACGTCCTAAAGTACTTGATGTCTCTCTTGGAAGACCGGCAGAGGGGGTGGAGGTTAATATTCAGACCCACCATAAAGGACAGACAAATGTCGACATCTTCAGTCCATTTGCACATGGGTACGTCGATCATCTTGAATTAAATACCCACTTGCCGGCGGACTTTCGTGCTTTTGCAGCGTCACAGATGCCGATGGGCGATGCTTGAACATGTTGCCTCCACGAGGGTCCGATGAGGCTAGGTTGCAGAATAAACAAGTGGGTGCTGGGACTTACAAGATCGTCTTCAAGCCGAAGGAGTATTTTGAAAAGACAGGCAGGAAATGTTTCTATCCCTGGGTGGAGGTAAGGTTGATTTTCTAGCCAGGCAGTACTTGTTCTATCACATCTTACTCATGTCCGCAGATCACTTTCGAGATCGAGAACCCAGAAGAACATTATCACATCCCACTTTTGATAAGCCCGTATTCTTTCACCACTTACAGGGGAAGTTGAGTGCATGTAGAATGAAACGATCGAGAAAATCCGTGATCCAGGCAGATATCGTTACCTTGTTATAATAATGATCCCCCGCAATGACCAAATATCTCGACGATCTTTGAATACAAAATAATGCCAGTGGAAAACAAGGATCATGGTGAACAGATGAAAACGTCTACACGCATCTAACAAACATCATATAAGGACCTTGTTATATGTCACACCCTTGATAACACCACCGCGCATGGATGTCTTAACATTATACAGGAATTGTTCGCGATTCTTTCGTAGTTCTTCTGCTGCCTCTGTGAACCGTAGTCAGACAAGCTCATACATCTGGATGCAAATCTAGCGAAACCTTTATTTAATGGATCATCTGCATTAGGCTCCAAGAAAAGGTATTGTAAGCCGACCATGACCGAGTTCAAATTTAGGACAGGTTTCCAGTCTTCTCGGAGAATATTCAAACACACGTTTCCCTCGAGGTCAACGTTTGGATGGTATATCTATAGCAAACAGATTGAAAACAACATAGCTTTTGAGGTGAAGGAAACACACCGTTTGCATGCACTTGACCTTGGGTGGTTCGTGTGGATAGTTGGTGTTGATAGTAAATGAGAAAGTGAAAGCGCCACTCTTGTACATGCCTGGCAAGTTTGGTCAATAAGGTAGGTATTTCCACCATCCAGCAGAAACACCTTCATCAGGGGTGATGGTGAGAGTGAAGTTCAGGAGGTCGGTGGGGTCCGGGAAGTCAGTCTTCATCGTGGAAGGAAGGTCAAGTTCGGTCAGATCTGACATCGTGTGCATTAAATCCATGAATTCATGAAACAGGAAGTCCTGTACGAACCTTTCTGCACTCGTATCTGTGCAGCACTTGTCTTCGGTCGCTTCTTGGTTGCAGCGTCCTCATTCTTCTTCATACTCCATATCTGAGCTCATTAGGATCGTGCGCTTACTGCATGAAACTCTGGTGCGATGTACAGACCTTGATCATAATGGTGGTCTAATGGAAGTGTACAAGTGGCAGTTGTTGCGAAAGGTGCCTACTTACAAGTTACAATGATGGGAGGTAGATGAGGGAACAGGGTGAACTAGTGCGGAATGTGCCGAAATAGCGGCTGCCTTCCTGCTTGCTTGCAAGTCTCCTCGAGGCCTCAGAGACCTCACGCGCATTTTTGACAGACTTCATGTTCGAGTGGTAGAAATGTCATCAGAAAAGATTGCCTCGCACATCAAGGAGAGTTTCACGTCGCCTTACTCGGAAACGGTTCAGCCCACCAGACTATATACATAGATGGCTCGGATTCAGAAAATCGGCTACAAATATAATTTAGCTGTTACTAGGGAGCAGCGCGCAGCTTGAATCGGGATGGCCTTGGATGGACGAAGGTATCCTTTGATAGATACTGCCTTGAGGGTACTCCTCTCGGGAGCAGCTTACCAGACTCTAGAGCAACTTGAACTTGAAGAGCCCAGCAGTCTACGATTAGAACCGTGACTTGTTCTTATAAAAAGCTGATCATCATTATGTACATTTACTAATTTCCACCATGACAACACTATCAGAAACCCTCCCAGTCATTGACCTTGATGTCTTCCTATCTCAGCCTACACAATCAATCAGAGTGCAAGAGGAGTGCAACAAGGTTTGCCACTCACTATACCACCCGTGATCTGGTTGGTTCTAATCACTCAAGTTACAGGCTGCTGACGCATTGATCACATACGGGGCACTCCTTGTACATGATTCTCGCGTATCAGAGGAAGACAATGACACTTTCCTGGATCTCATCGAGGACTATTTCGCGCAGCCTATCGAGGACTTAAAGAAGGATGAGCGGCCAGAGATTCATTACCAGGTTGGCGTGACCCTTGAGAATACAGAGAAGCCCAAATGTGCCGTGGATGAGCCGTGCTTGGATATCATCGCCAACCTGGACCCAGCTGAAAGGCCATTGGATATCTCCGGGCATCATCCTGACCCCAAGTGCAGGTTCTTCTGGAAAATGGGAACTCCCCCTCCATATGAGACCGAGTATCCGGCACTTAATGCTCCAAATGTCGTACCGCAGGCACCTAGAATCAGTGAGAAGTGGGAATCTACCATGGAGAAATGGGGATATTCCATGAAGAATGCGTGAGTCCTGAAGCTTGAAGATGTACTATTTGTACGTTGTCATTAACACAAACAACAGTGTTGAGAATATTGCTGAAATGACAGCGATCGGTCTCGGACTTCCTCGAGAATTTATCAAGGACGCAGGGAAATATGGGTCAGTATTTCATACATCATTTTATATGGTATTATATTGATGCGGTGGATAGCCCTCATCTACTTGGCCCAACGGCATCTGATTTGGTGAAGTATGGGCAAAAGGATACCATCCTTGCCGGCTTTCATACAGACCTCAACTGCTTAACGATCCACGGTCGTTCACGATATCCAGGACTCAACATCTGGGCACGTAATACTGGGAAGCGCATCCCCGTTAGATTCCCATCCACTGGCCGTTACCTACTCGTGCAAGCAGGAAAACAGATTGAACATCTGACCGGAGGCCTTATCAAAGCTGGGTTCCATGAGGTAGTCGTGAACGAGGCTACGCTGCAGGTCATACACTGCCAAATTCTGTAGGATATGTGAAGAGCTGACTGCGTTTTTCTAGACTGTCGAGCGGCGTAAAGAGACTCACCCTGACCGGCCAAATATTCGCATATCATCCACATTTTTCTGGCACCTTTCGTCCGATTATGAGCTCGTTCCGCTTCCTAACCTATCTGAGCGTGCAAATGCGTTCAATTCGAGTCAAGCAGCGAATCAACGTACGGTTTATGAACGAATGAAAGTTGGACAGCAGGTTCAGAAGTGAGTACCTAGGGTTACCACCCCCAAAGCTAGATCTTAATAATATCTGACAGTGAACTCAAACATATCGCTCTCATGGCCTAAACGCTTGATTATTAGATGTTTGTAGGGTATAACCGGTAGTGTACGCACAGCAAAATATCCGCGGACGCAGCACAGCTATGTCGGCGGACACGCGTGCTGAATGAATATATATATATACCGGTAGTGCATGTATAGTATCTCTGACTTCACCTATCATACCTGGTAGTTCTTCTTCCCTCTGTCGCAAGGCACGAGATCACATTGTCCATGTAGGGTCGTCCCTCCGAAGTGATATCCAATGTCTGAAGCCCCCCCTTATATCATCTATACACCAAATTGTGAGTGAGCAAATTGCTCTGTCGCATGATGGCAGGAAATCGCACTTTTTCCCGAACAATTTGTTCGCCACACGAGAGACATGTCTTTGTTGAGAAGCCGCATCTGTCGGGTCCGTACAAAAGTCATGCGAGGCAGTGACTTACGTACCTTTTCGCAACCTCCGGGCCGTTGGAAAATGTACGTTGTCAAGATAAGCCAGCTAGGGCAGCCTTGATCCTTTGTATTCGATAGTCCCGCGATGTCTATCACCGTGTGATATGGACTGTTCACGGATGACGGATGACACATGGGGGAACAATGGCTGTTAGGGTTTGGGCTAACAATGGCGTGTGTATAATGAGTAGATGATCAGATCGCCCAGAGTAAGTCTCCTGCAACTAGAGATGGAGCACTGGCTCATAAACATGGACTATACTCCTTCGGCGACGACCAGAGTTTTGAACTTACCATCACCACGAGTTGATGTTGAAGGAAGATAGAAGGTTACGTGCGATGGAAACTCGCCCAGCGGACTCTTCAGGCTGAAAAGGCGGTGAAGTTGAATTCAGTTAGTGTTAATACAATGCAGACCGGTGATTAAGTAACGGTCGAAATAAGATAAATCTCCACTAATGCCCGCGAGGAACAGCCGCGCCAAAAACGCGGAGGACTGACTGAAGTTTTGCCAACATCTCATCCCACTCTGCATCAGGATCCGACAGCGCAGTGATGGCCCCTCCAGCGCCGATCACCCAGTGCTCTGGCTCGTGAATACCAGGGTAGAAGTCAGGGTTGTTGAATTCCGTCCACGAATGAGCATCGCATTCGTATCGATCATCGTATTTGAAGCAACTGCGGATGGTAACAGACCAGTCACCACCACCTCCAGCGCACCAGTAACCGAAGACACCAGAATAAACATTGCGTTCCTCATCTTCCAGTGTTTGGAGGATCTCAACACTCCGTTTCTTCGGGGCTCCAGTCATGCTACCTATAAAGTAGATTAGTAACAGTTGAATCAAGAACCCACTCTAGGAGACATACCCGGAGGTAAGCTTCGTCTGAGAACCTCCCACCCCAGTGCGCCGTTGGCACAGCGACTGTCAGTTTCATCAGTACCGTCTATCGACTGGCCTTCGATGACGCTAACAAGCTGCCATACTGTCTTGCACTCCTCTACAGTGCAAAACTGTTTGACTTCTACATTTTCTCCAACAGCTCCATGCATATCATGCCGAATAAGATCGACAATCATGAGGTTTTCAGCAACCTCTTTCTGGCTGCCCCTGAGCGCTTGCTCAGCAACAGCACGGGTGACATGAGGGCCCTTCCGTAAGGTGCCCTTGACGGGACATAGTTTATATGTGGTTCCAGGTGGACGAGTATAAGAGAGAAACCGTTCTGGTGACGAGGCCAGTAAGGTTGTTGGATGCAACCGAAGGTATGCAGCGTGAGGGGCGGGGTTGAGCTCGCGAAGATGTTTATAACGCTGCCAGGATGGGGAGTAAGTCGATGAAGCCTTGGGCGTCAACGGGTCGTTCAAAGTGATATGAGTATTAGCTGTAAGACACAGCTCATAGGATTCTCCAGCGAAGAGATGCTCCTTCGCAAGATTAATGCGGGATCTATAGAGATCCCGGTCTGGTAAAATGACAGTAGACGTATTTGGCCGCGCCTTGGTTGAATAAGACGTCGTATTATACGAAGAATATGTTGAATAATTACGGGCGGCAGAGTGAAGCTGTTCGGCCATTGCCGTCAGCCATTCGTCGTCGTCTTCTGTGATAGATTGAAGATAGACATATCCAGAAGTTGAGTCGAGAATTATACTGCGCTCTACGAAGACGAGGTTGACATCAGGGTGTCGTGTTCGGCTAGATACCGCGGCTGACACTCTAAGAGAGTCAGTACCGAGTTCGTAGCTCAGGTAGCCAATGAGGCCACCCCAGAATGGTATTTCTGATGAACCACCAGAGACCTTCCGATTGTTCATGAAAGAGGTAAGCCAGGACCATATGTCCTGAGTCCCCAGATCTATCTGATCGCATGATTCCCCGTTTGCCAAATGAACAAAACTATCGCCAATGGTGTAGGTGACTCGGAGGGACGTTGAAGTCAAACAGCCGATGATAGTGAACTGGCCTGGATGTGCAGCAGATTCCAGCATAACGAAGGGAGACGAGTCATCGTCGACGCCCAAGACTTCGCATATGTCCGGAGCAGACAGACCTGGGATGTTCAATTTTATCGTGGAAGCGGATAGTGGCGCATTGATACGAGGAATGCTTGGCGATGGACGAACGTATGGCCACGGAACGCCAAAGATTGCATCTGCTTTCTGATCCCATGGGCGTGTGAGTCGCCCACGAGAAGAACTCCAAGCCCGTGCTAAACGCCAGAAGTTTAACATGACTTCAATCCCTCCGCCCTGCGTTAAAACTGATTCAGGATGATACTGAACAGCCCAAAAGGGTCGAGTGCGATGTCTAAGGGCCATGACTACCCTCCCATTCCCCTCGTCATGTGTGGATGCGAGTTCTTCGATGTTCTTGGCACCGCTCAGCTCGACGTGGAGGGAGTGGTAACGAACGGCATTCACAGGACTGACGCCCTTGAATATATCTGTGCCAGTATGCTCGACAGCAGACACATGACCGTGCTTTACGACAGAGAGCCTGCGTAAATTAGCCCCGTATTCAAGAGCTAAACTCTGAAGGCCCAAGCAAACACCAAAAACTGGTAAAAGATGTGCGTCGTCGATCTTCCATAGGTCTTTGATGAGACCAATGTCCTCTGGGATATCTGGAGATCCTGGGCCGGGACCGACGACGACACCAGAGAAGTAGGGCAAATATGATAACAGATCTTTAAGCTCTATATCATCATTCTTGATAATGTGCACGTAGCAGCTTGGGATAGCCTTCCGACACAATGCTGCTAAGCTATTTAAAAGGGTTGAGTCATATTCCTCAGAAAGAGTACGAGGACCTACTTGTACGTGAAAGAGTCATATGAGTCGACCAGCAAAATTCTTGGTGGTTCAGGACTCATTAATATCGAAACAGAAGAGTAGAAAGGAAAATAGGGAGAGTGGCAAGAGAAAAATCTACAAGATAAGAAGAGAAAATGAAAGTTTCCAGATGGCTCATGAGTAAACAAGTAGTAGTACAAGTGAAACTCTCGGAGTCAATATCGGGTGTACCGGTACTACCAACTTAATGAACACACAACTCAACGATAGTTTATCACAACAATGGTTCATAAAGGTGCGTACACACAGTCCAGATATTGGACTGACTGGATTGATCATTGATTTAGTTCAAATACATATGTGTTCCGTTATTGGAGAAATCACAGCTATCTGCAGGAACCGTAACAACCGTCTTGCCTCTGCTGTCCGATCTTGAAAGCACACTACTCGATGCAGGTGGAACTGGTTTCATCCTATCTCAGTCCTTGGTGTCTTACATATTTTTTCCATTATCAACAATCCTCCGCCGGAATGAGTCGTCTGCCATCCCGGACCAAATTCTGGAGAAGATATTTAGCATTCTTGCCATCCTATGCGAGACATGGTGGTGGTACTGCGATATACAGATATGGGACCAGATATTCAAACTTTCCAGCTCCATCATCGGGAATGTCGAAGGCAAGGGAAAGGGCAAGATCAGGGATGATGAAACCAAAGAAGCAGCCGCACGATGTCTGTGGGCTATTCTTCGGGAACGTCGCACAGAAGAAGCGCCACAAGAATCTCATGAAGACCTGTTGCGCACGCGTGTTTCGCAGCTTCAAGAGCATTCTCAGAGCCTGCAATTCATGCCTATTCTCGGACAGACTATCAATACGCTCCTTCTCACCGCAAAGTCTCCTCATCTCAAATTGCAACGCATTTCGCTGAAGATTCTACGTGCACTCATCAGTGTATATGCTTCAGAGCAGTTTTTACCTTCCATCTTGCCTGGTGTCGTAAGCAGCATGACCAGAATCGCTCTTGGGATGTCGAGCAAGAAGGGATGGGTCAATGGGGACATCGTCGCTTTAAGCCTTGGGACCCTGGAGCCTGTAATCGTGAAGTCCTTGGGAGACGATGTATCCATCCGAGAGGGTATCGTTCGGAGTGTCGTTGACCTGGAAGACTTCATCAATCTCGCAGATACCCCTGTGATAGACCCGAAACCACCCGAGTTGCCTCCCTATCTGACTCCACGTACGTCGAGTTGGTTGCGTGCGTCGGCATCCCAACTGCACATCGCGATAAATTCTTTGACGCTTCTCGTGAATCATCCGACACCGCTCGCTTTGGTTGCCTTGTCGTCTTTCTCAAAATCCATCCTTACCTCCACACATCTCACTCTTCCGCAATCCAGACCTCTTTTATTGTCTTGGCTCTTGTCACTATCAAATTGTGCGTTCCCTGAAGTTTCGCAAGCCGCTCATCATGCTCTATCGGAACTGCTGGCAACCACTTCAGATGCGAGATTACCGTTACTCCAAGCACTTCTTGAAATATCGAAAGAGAACCTCAGTTCTTTGCCTCGATCCATCGTTTCCCAGGATGACAACAAGGTGGAACATATCGCAGGCCAGATAGAGGCAATCTGCCGGTTGGCTACATCTAGTAGCGCGTCTTCTACAGGTCTCAGTCTGACATCAATATCTTTGGGCATCGACACGCTATTGGGGCCAACTGGCGGAATTGAGAAGTGGGGTTTTACCCTGCTTTCTGTCTTGGAGTTCACGAACCCACAAATGAGCGTCAGTCAGGGTTCCGTCGCTCAACTCTTGTTAGAGGACAATGCAGACAACTTGGACACAGTTAATTTTCCCGAGGTGATGTTAAAAAATGCTCTCGCAAGGTCCACACGCGATGCTCTGGCTCGCATGCTACGCGCTTTGGGGAGAAGCGGCGGCGAAAATAGCATCTATGCTGTTGAATGGTTCATCAGTACAGGACGGTATTCACGAACAAACAATGCCATTGCAGCATTATGGTGCGCCGCCCGCCTCCTTGAGGGGATCAGCGGCTTTAGTCTGGATGAAGGTGGCATGGCTATCTCGAGCAGGTCTCGTAGCAGGAAACTGGAGCGGTTTGCAAGAGGCTTATCTCATGACCTCGCTGAGTTATGGGACGAAGAGCCATATCTCGACAACCAGACTGATGTTCCCCGCGCGGATCGTCAAACGGATGACTCATTGCTGGAGGTGGGTTTTACAAAGGGGTTTAAGGCTATCCGTGCCACCCTGGAAGTTGCGGAGCCAAGAGCTACACTGCCTACTCTATCCGAAGATCAACCCATACTGCATCAGATGTTGCGCTTGCAGTTGCTTTCGATCAGCGCGGGAATTTTGCAGGCTCGCTATGGCTCCGTTCTCATTCAAGTCCTATATCCTGTTTTACATTCGATCGTATCACCCACACCCCATCTTTCCCTGACTGGGCTTGCAACACTGCATTTTATGTCAGCAGTCATGTCATACGCCTCTCCGGCCAATCTCCTGCTGTCGAACTTTGACTACGCATTAGACTCAGTTTCCCGCCGTCTTAGCCGCAGATGGCTTGACATTGATGCAACGAAAGTGATGGCCGTCCTTGTTCGCCTCGTAGGGGCTGATGTGGTGCAGAAGGCTGGTGATGTTGTTGAAGAATGCTTTGACCGTTTGGATGAGTATCACGGGTACGACGTCATTGTTCAAGGCTTGGTGGGAGTGTTAGGAGAAGTGATCAAGGTCATTGAGGCTGAAGAGCCTCCCACCCAAAGGGAAGGCCAAGACAACATGCAGTCGTCCATGATAACCAGTTCATTGGAACCACTCTTTGTATGGCTTTCTCATCAGAAGGATCTCCCGTCTGATGAAGACGCCGCCGATCACGGCCCTGCCCCTCATATGGCATGGGGCGCTACCAAGGCAGATGAAGAACCAGTAGAAAAACAATCAGATGGTCCTACCGCGCAACCGAAAGTTGCCGAAGATATCGAGCCTGCGCCTACACCGGGACAAGCCCTGACCAAGCAGATGGTTTCACGATCTATCTATTTTCTCACACACGCTTCACCCATTATTCGCGCTCGGATCTTGACCTTGCTGAGTTCTGCCACTCCGGTTCTCCCTGAGTCGGCCCTGTTACCATCTATTCATCTCGCCTGGCCATTCATTTTGAATCGTCTCAATGACACTGAGCCGTTTGTAGTCAGCGCGGCTGCTGGTCTTGTGGAATCACTTGTGACCCACGTTGGCAGTTTCATGGGCCGACGAGTGTGGGATGATGTCTGGCCCCGTTTTAGCAACATTTTGAAAAAGCTAGATGCGTCCGACGATCAGAATGCCCTTGCACGCCGTGGCTATGGAGCGGTAGGAACGGAATCAGCATACACTCACTCTCACCGCTTATATCGCTCCATTCTGCGGACGATGACAGCTGCCGTAACTGGTGTCTATATGCAAGACGCGCCCGGCTGGCAGGTCATTCTCGCGTTCAGGCGCTTCTTGCACAAACAGGCGCACGAGGAACTGCAGGCATGTGCAAGAGAGTTGTATGTCGCGCTCGGGAGAGGTAATGAAGATGCCGTATGGCTGGCGCTTATGGCGACGTGTGGTCATTTGACTGGTGAAGTCGCTTACTTGAGAGAATACAGGTGGGATATACAAGACAATGTACACATAATCCTCAAGGAGTAAATGATGTCATCATATCTTACTATCAAACTTCCATCACCAATTTCATCAGGCCTCAGGGGGTGGAACGTGTCGGAAGATGTCTACTCCAGCTTCTTGGAACAATCGTGCAGAAGCGTCATCTCTGTGGTAATTTGAGATAGATATTGCACAATCGTGATAGATTGACACACTTACACCTTATAGCTCAAATTGTAGACCACTCTTTTAACACCGCTCTGGATGATCTTGATGGTACATTTCAAACACGGACATCTGGGCCCAGAATGAAACCCAACAGTAGAGTAGTAAAGTAGTACTCACGTATTGCAATACATAGTGGCATTCGCGCCAACCCGATCTCTTCCTGCTTCCAAAAGCGCATTTTCTTCAGCATGTAGGCAAAGACATTCGGTGCCATTAGTCGCCGATGTACGATTGCAATGTCCACACCCCCCTGCATTTATATTAGCAAGTGACGGGGGGAAGGGAAATATAAATACCTTCATTGCAATTTTTGACGCCTCGAGGAGTGCCGTTATAACTATAGGCCGAGATAACAACTTCAATGCCCGAAGGACAACTTGGACATACCCTGTGGAAACAATACGGCTTTCACGGACAAGTATGGCGCCTACGCGGCGTTTCATACAGTTGGAACGTTGAGAAGCAAGATCTGCGAGCGTCTGAAACACATCTGAATCCATTAATAAAATAGAATAACGTTCATACCATGAAATAAGTATCCCATTGAGGTCTAAGTCGATTTGTATTCATGATATCTAAAGAATCCAGGTGATGATGGAGTTTTGCGATAGAATCGAAGGAATTGACGATTTTGAGTTTGACCTCTGGGCTTCCGCGGCGGAGCAGTGAAAACCCTCCGAGAGAGTTTGGCCCTGCTCTGTCTCCAAACACTTCGTAGTCATGTTCCTGCACGAAGTCTTCAAGAGTCGCCATGTTCATCAGACTAGATTGTTCTTCAGCTACGCATCCACATCGACTGACGAGATAAATACCCGTGGCAGCGGTGATAACGTTGCAAGATGGGTGCGTCTATGCTAATGACCATAAAGAAAGGGCGCCTGATGAAGTAGTTCACTAGTCTATCTGAGTCGAGGTCTGTCGTAACGAAATTTGACCGCCAATGCTGTGTGACGTGATCCAGTAGCAGGGCTGGTGAGCGAAAGGAAAGAATTTTCATGTCAGAGTTTTGGGAGGACTCGGAAGATGGTGATGTGGGCGAGTCCAAAAGGCGTCCGTGCTCATCGCCATTATTGTTGGTTTGCAGCGGAAGCAGGGGAAAGGCCAGCGGAATGACCGTATTTTTAACGCTTGATATAACCTGAGGGGACCATTGTTGGTCTTCTGCATTCAGGGAACAGGATGTTTAGCAGGACCTGCCTCTACTGTAACATCCTTGTCGTGCAAGCGGACAGACGTGAAGCCTTTGGCAATCAGATAATTTTCAACAGTGGACTTGCCCGAAAAACGGTAACCAATGATAGCAATAAACATCGGGGCGCGATAGATAAAGGCGAAATGTCACAGATATGCGGGTTCTCAGATATCAAAAGTCACGTGATCTGATTTAATAAATAAAATAAATAAATGCTGCGTGCAAGCATTAATACCTCATCAACGTGGAACGTAACGTTGCCTATCAAGGGCTCGTCTGATTCTAGTCAGTCTTTTTAGCTGCAGACCTTGCCTTTTATTCTGCAGATTTCGGATTTTCAGTGGATGAGCGGCGAATTGGAATTGAAGATATCGGGATAACCGGGCAGGTCGGGAGCGAATACAATCATACACTGATAGTAGGTCAGGCACTGATTCAAGTACGTCGCACAGATTGGGTTAATGCGGAACATTTGTCTTGATCGATGTTCGAGGGCATCACGGCTCAGAGGTACGAATCTTGGCATCTCGAATGTTTACATGGGTATCACAGCCTCTAGTCTGGGCAAGTGTGGGTTCAGCTGAGCCTTTCAAGTTTGGTAAATCAGGCGCTGCTGACTAGAAGCTCCTTGAAAATCGGATCTAGTAGGGTGACATGCGGTGGCAGACAGTAAGGGATGTGGTTTAATAAGGTCAAAGGATTGGCTCATCGGCACGGCGATATTACGAAGATGACGGCCATGGAAGAGATATGTGAAGATTAGGATTTGTTCGAGACGTGGTGCCATCAGAGAATTCGTGTCTCCACAGGGTGGTTTACGTTGATTGAGGTAGTTTGACCTGGCCTGTAGCTAGGTTATAGCCAAGTTTTGGGAAGCCCCGATACTTTCATAACCGGCTTTCAAAGTCTCCCGTTGATAGCCTGATAGTCATGTGGTTGAGAAGGCGATACAAGATCATTAAGAACGACCAGGCAGAATACCGGAATATGCAGAAATTTCTTGGGCATTCTGATAACGCGATAACAACGCCTACATTGACGTCATCGTTTGCGCTTTCCAAATGGTCATGCTAGTGCCAAAAAGACATGCTTCGCAAGTTTGGCATATTTGAGGGCTTAGCTTGAGAAGTCGGGCGCGTCAGTTGGGGGGAGATCAAATCAAAGACCTTTGAAACGTGTACCTACTATATTTGGACAATATTTGGTAGGCATTTTATTACATAATATCGTCTAACGACTCGGACTTAGCCAAAGTCTTGTAATTTTGAAAGCTTAAGCTTGAAGGTTTACAATCCTCTCCGACAGGCTTTGAACTCAACCCTGGCAGATTCGAATTTCGATCATGATATTTCTACATGGAAGACAAAATCGTCATGTTTTCCAAGTCCTCCCAGGAACCACGCATGTTGAACTTAAAAAAATTACAGCATGCTGTACGAGCGTCAAGTAGTAATTCAGGCAGGCATGGTGACATTTTTCACTCCCCAGCTGACATTCATGGCATGCGGTCGATCGGCGCATGCACAGGCTCTCATGGGCTCTGCGTCCCGATGTTTGTGCACTGATCTGCTGCGAGTCAATCAGGTGGTGCATAGCCTCAAAAACTGAGATTCATTTCGTATCTGTGGGATTTCATATTGCTACCTGACATTATATAAATAAAGAGGTGCGCCATTTCCAGCTGCTGAAAATTTGTTAACAGCGCCTCTCCTGCCGTTCCGTCTATTTACGATGGTCTATGTCCACGATTTGGCTGCACGAAAACGAAAGGAGCGCGAGGCGAAGCTATCCGCATATCGCAAAGGGCGCATTCATGTTCCAAGTGATGCAGTCGACGTCTCACAGTACCCCCTTAGCAAGCTCACAGAGACGGAGCGTATCATCGTCCATTGTGATGCAACAGCGATCGTAGATTTGATTCGCAAACGAGTCTATACTGCACAGGACGTTCTGCGAGCCTTCGTCAAAGTAGCGGTGGCTGCCCAAGATGTCACCAACTGTCTCTCAGAAGTTTTGCTTGATGAAGCGTTTCAGCAAGCCAGCGAGCTTGACCAATATTTGGAGAACACTGGGGATGTCATAGGACCATTGCACGGTTTACCAGTTTCCATCAAAGATCACATCAAAATCAAAGGTCTGGATACGTCGTCAGGGTATCTTGGTGAGAACCATATCTTTGGTCCAAACTAGTCGTTTATCGAATTTTTTAATCAAGGCTGGGCATACAAAACAGTCGCGGACAGTGACGCACTGGTGGTAGAAATTCTACGTAACGCCGGTGCGATTCTATACGTCAAAACCCAGCTTCCACAAACTTTGCTTGTCAGTGATGTTGTGTACGTCTTCGTGCATCCGCTTACTTGGCTTTTAGTCACTCGAAACGGACAACAACGTGTTCGGCAAGACTCTTAACCCATTTAATCGCAATTTAACCCCAGGAGGAAGCAGCGGTGGCGAAGGGGCGCTAATAGCATGTCATGGTAGCCCTATGGGCGTTGGAACTGATATCGGCGGAAGCGTTCGGATTCCTGCAGCTCATTGCGGTTTGTATGGGCTAAAAGGATCAGTGGCACGTCTGCCACATTCTGGTCTCCTGGGCTCGCATGATGGGATGGATGCAATCGTGGGTTGTATCGGACCATTGGCAAGGTCTGCAAGGGACCTCGAGTTATTCTGTCGAGTTATGCTCGATGCAAAGCCGTGGCTCAGTGAACCTGTACTCCTAGAAATGCCATGGAAAAGAGATGTGGCAAGTGGGGAAGGTTTACCTGACAAACTTGCGATTGCTATCCTTTTTGACGATGGCGTTGTTGCACCGCATCCTCCAATTACGCAGGCTTTGAACAAATACAAACACGCCTTAGCACGTGCTGGACACGACGTAATTGAATGGCAAGCGGTGGATCATCAGAATGGATGGGATCTGATTGTAAGATACCTCTCCTATTTCCGGTATTAAACCTAATGGCCTTATTCTTCGCGTAGACGAAGCTGTATTTCCTAGATGGCGGAGCAGAGTACCACGAAACCATTAGAGCAGGCGGGGAGTCCGAGGTACCTCAAACCCAATGGATCCTCAACCACGCACAAGGACGAGATCCGTGTACCCCCGCAGATATATTCAAGCTCAACTTGGAACGGGAAGCGTTCCGTTCGAAAGCGTTGGCACACTGGAATGCTACTCAACAACGTACTGTTAGTGGACGTCCTGTGGACGCTATTCTCTGTCCGGTTGCGCCTACATTAGCTCCGCCCCATAACACAACCAGTTGGTGGGGTTATACCTCTCAGTGGAATCTGTTGGACTTGCCAGGCGTTGTCTTTCCCGTTGACCGGTTCACAGCCAAGGCACCTGCCACTTACCCACCTCTTCCACATCCAAGGAATGATCTTGAAAATTTTATTCATAGTCAATGGAACCCAACTACATATGATAATGCTCCCTTATGTCTACAGCTCGTGGGTCGGAGGCACAACGAGGAGAAGTTGTTGGCTATGCTAAACGTTTTAGAAAAGGTGTTCAAAGAGAATGCCTTGTAACAGGACCAAATGTTCATATGTAGCGTCTAGTGTTACATAATGTCTGGGATTCAAGAATGCAAATACACTCAATACAAGCCTGAGATACAAGCAACGTTCCTATTGAAATTCGTTGCATGGTCATACCAAGCCTCCGACCAGGAATTGATTGCATTACGGCATAGGTGACTTGTTTTTTTTATTCGCTTAGGGACCTTAAGGTCGAAACGTTCTAACGAAGCGCTCCCACCTACCTTGAACAGTTCAAGTTGAACGTGGACTCACCACCACTTATTCCGAATTTCCGCCGCATACTACAAGGTCGGAGTACGTGGAGAACGTCGTTGATACGTTGCATGCGAGCTAGAATGCACGGTTTACAACATATCTCACATGTGACTCCGCACTGGTCCACTACAGGATGGCAATGGCAGACTGCTACTGGCAGGCTGAGGCCTGTGCGTCAGCATATATTGTCTTACTCAAAGACGATACATTCAATGCTGTATCATTCATGTGATCGCCGAACAACGGTGAGTATCATCCACCGAATACTTTATGGTTAAGTCATATGGCCAAGTACCTTGGTCCTCTCTGACCACAGGATGGCAGACGGCAAATCTTCCATTATTATGCCACAACGTTTGAGTTCGTTGTATTTGCCTGTCCCTGTATAGTTATTCATCACGTTTTCACGTTCGGAGACGTTAATCCCCTTATCCAGCCTGTGTTCTGTATGATTATCGGAACGTTTAGGTTATATTCTTGAGAAAAAGTATCTTCGCAGGTGCTGTATCTGCAGTGATGGACGACTATAAAGTGAACATGGCTCAAGGATCCAACTACACTCATACTCATACTCAGCTTTCTATCCTTCCGACCTACAAGTCACCATAGAAAACATGCCAGGTTTAGTTCCCTCTGTTCAACGCTTTGACACCATCACGGGTATCTCAGATGCTGTATGGACTGCTCTACTCGCCAACCCTGCTCGCGCCAACCTTATCCTTCCCCATGCCGAAAAGGTTTTCGGTCGCCAAAAGTTCACGCCCAAACTTGATGCTACGGGCCAGTTTTGGTTGACGTACTCGAAGCCTGGCACTTCCGAAATCCATTTGATCCTTTCCTGCACAGAGGGAGCAATGGGCAAATACCCCCTTTTCATCCTCTCCACAGTCCCCATCGCTGAATTGACAGCTGAGCTTCTCGAAAGCTCCATGGAAGCACTGTGCAGCGCGCTTCTGGATGAGCGTGGCTTCAAGAAGGAGAGAGTCTTTTCCGTCTTCTCCGTTGAGAAAGTCGCAGAGGCCTTCGCTCTGCAATGGTCGAAACGCACAGGGATTGATTGCCTCAAGAACCCGTACTACGAGGCATTTTTCTCGGTGTGTACTGCAAGCACATTGGTCCGACAACAGCGGCCTGCTCGTTCATCAGACTCGTATGAGATGCTCGAGCCTCGTCTTGCTGTAGAACAGGACGCCGAGCAACTGACTGAACAATGTCGCGATTTTGCCGCAACTTCGGTATGTGTTTTGCATTTTTTTCAAAAAAGGTCAAACGTTTATCAACGAATCCCTCTAGCCCCCGTTCACCCTTAGCGAGGAGGAAGCCCGTAAAGAAGCTAGCCTTCTGATCGCAAACAAATCAGTTTGGGTACTCGAGATGCAAAAGCGGGATGAAAAACCCGAGATTGCAACTATTGTTGCTGTGACGCGGAAGTCGAAAGGTGTTGCTACCATCTCAAAGGTTTATACACCAGAGAAGTGGAGGGGCAATGGCTGCGCTGCGAGACTGGTTCGCCATGTCTGCATTGAGTACGTATCAGTGGCTACGATATTGCAACATGACGCTAACTTTTTTCTGAACAGGTTGCTGGAGACATATGAGCAAGTCGTCCTATATGTCGGCGTTGACAATGGCGCCAAGTATGTGTATGACCGCGTGGGTTTCCAGGGTCTTAGTGAGGGCTCTCCCCTGTCGGAGCGATGGCTTGAGATTGGTTTTGATCAAAATAAAGTTGAACTCGGTCATTGGTAGATTTTTGACATATTTCTGGATCGCTTTGGCATATCTCCTTTGGGTTGCTTCACATGGTCGTGCATTCATCCCTCTAACATCTTGCATATTGTCTGTAGCATAGCGTTCGTCATCATTCTCTAGAGCTTAAATGTATCACATTGGATATGTACACATGTATTTCTTCTTGATCCTTTGTACGATCGGACTACCCGATATCAATAGATGTATGATCAATCCTCTCCTTGCCTGAGCCACTGATCACCAAAGCTTTCGTCATCAGGATACGCTGCATTCAGTTCTGGGCTCAATAGAAACCTTGCTCTCCCGTCAACTTGTGTCAAGTCCTCGAAGTACCTCCCGGCCCGTGGTGCGTCTATAAAAATTCTGCGAACATCAACTGATTCTAGACATGTCGTCCTAATGTTGTCCTCTGCAACATCTGCGACATCGCAGAGATATCAGCCCTGGCATTGAGATGTAGTGAGAATACCTACAGCGCTCAGAGCCACTTTGAGTGAGCGCGTGATAAAATGGTTGATGACGGCCTCGAGAGAGCGAATCCACACCCATCTCACGGATCCAGTCCTCGGCCGCTGCACAGGAGGGCTAACGAAAAGCAAACGCAATGAGTGATGAAAACAGCCTGTGGACTCGATACCCACATCCCAGCCGTATATATATCCCACGTATCCGTGGGCTGCATGCTTGAAAACCATGCCAGCGAAGAATTTCACTTCCCGTGTGAGTGCAGAACGAGAATGAAAGGTAGTGGCCGCTTCCTTCTCGTCTTCGGCGATAGCCTTGCAATATGTCGTGAGCTGCTCTTGGAGGTACGGGTTTAAAAGAGGGGCCAATGAATCGACAAGTACTGGCAGCAGATCGAGGAGGAACCGATTGATATGCCTCATTATATTCAATAGAGACCTGCGATTGTCCATAAAGATGACGTTGATCATGAGGCTGGCATAGAATGCTGTTTGCAGCTCAACCTCGCGAACTGCTCCTGCAGGCACGTTGTTGGCGGATGTTAAAACATTCCGGGACGCCCGTAGCAGCATAGAGGTAGAGGAAGCGGGGCTAATCCAAGGGAGTATTATATTGGTGGGGATCCCTGCTTGAATAAGGAAGCGCGGAATATCGTCATGGAGTGTCAGAATGGCTTGTGTTCGTGAGCCAAAAACGTCGACAAAAATTTCTGAGACATCTGGGTGGGGAGAAGATACGACGGCCAGAACTCTGGTAGGAAAGTCAATAGGTGCTGCCGTAACGCCCATCTGTTGTGCGATGCACACGAAAACGTATACAAGTGATATAGGTATAGTTGCCTTGTGCGTGGTCAAGAAATAGTGAGGAATTCGGTTATGTAACATGTGAAACTGTTGTCCTGAATTGTCGCTCGTTGAAAATTAGAATGTCATATCAGACGAGAGCTCACCATCCGCAGCTTCAAAACCACAGCTCCACATAAAATCACAGATTGACGAACAGACGAGTCTGAGCTTTCCAGCATCACTTGTGAATTCAACAGGATCAAGGGGAATTTGATGCTCTATAAAGTAGGTTTTGCAGAGAGTCGTAAGTTCTTCAAGTTGGGACAAGACCTCGAAGGGGCTCAGCAACTTTTAAGAGTAAACTAACTAAAGCTACGAACCTTCATGGGAGGATATACGAAAAAGCTGGACATACAAGCGAATGAAAGCTCCAACGCCTTGGGTGTGTCATTATGTATAAGGTTTCCCCAGGTGCGAACAGCATCACTTCTAGCAATAGCACCAAGAAGCATTTCAGCCCAAAAGCGGATGGGAATTGCATGAGAGGGAACGGCCCTCTGCTCTATAACTCCTGGCTCGCGGAATATCTCTGGAAGCGGACAATTTGCGGCAATCTCGAGGGCATTCCATGCGTCAAACGAGAACATGGTGTTAACCTCTCGCGCTCTTTCCAGTCTTCTGTCACCCCGTTCCATGACAATCTCGAGCAATATGTCCAATACCTCGAGATCTATGCGCCGCCTCTCGAGATACATAAGTCGCCAGTCACCACCTGTAGATTCCTTTCGCGATTGCTCTTTCGCAGGGACACATACTGTGTATCGAGCACGGTAGTGTGGCTCCCATAGTCTCGAAACACATGCAGCTGCCCGAAGGGTAGTGGTTGTCTTCAAGCAAGATATAAGCACAATAATGCTTTCATCAGAATCCGTCGATGGTGTTAACTGCTCGAGAATCTGTACATAGAGGTCAAAGGGAAGTTCCCGTATCGTCATCGTGGCCCTGGTAGTAAGCCCTGGTACCGGTTTCGATGATGGCACATGTGACATATGAGTAACTAGGTCACGTGCGCTATTTTGATTGACTGGCTTATATAATTCAAGTGGTATTTTACCGATCCGGGTGTGATCGTGATCGATCGATAAAACGCAGTTTGCCGGCCAAGTACCTACTCGATAGTTTATTTCTTCAGTTTATGTGCTGTTTGAAAAAATAAGCGATAATTGGAAACAAAATGTCAGTGTTGTTTATTTCACATCTGAAGTTATTGGAGTAAGCTGTGTGCCAAGCCACCGAAGCTCTAGATCTCATGGGACTAAGAAATCCTCGGATTTATATGGTCCTCGTTGTCATCGGTCCAAGACGACTGAAATAACAATGAGCTCAGTGTCTTCTGCCTCAGCGAGGAGTGCAACTGCAGTAGTTTCATTGTGAATTCTCTTGCTGCTCCGTCGGCGCTGACCTTGTCGATGCACTGAATCGAGTAGTGTCATTCGAGCAAGACGCTAGTCCAATATAACTATGTGGGAGTCAAGGGTACGAAAAATAGAAGGAAGGTTTGTAGTGTCCACAAGAAATGTTCTAAAGAGAAAATGTCTGGATTATGCGTAAACTAACTACAAGTCCCTGGGGTAATTCGCACAGTCCGGTTTCCTTTCGCTTCCGCCATGCTACAATTAGTCTTGGTATCATTTCAAAGCAATTCGTCCATTATCTGCAGCATGTTCTCCCAGAACTGCCCCACCATTACCTTATCAAAACCATTCACATCATATCCGAGGCTGACCCACAACTTGCCGGCGAACGTGTACCCAAATAGCAACATGCCTCCAGACCGCTGCCGCGAACCAGTTGTCAATGTGTGGAGCTTGATAGCAGGGAAGGTTCCGTGTTTGTATATGCCATCGAGGTTTCCTAGAAGGGATAAGCCAATCAACGCGGCAGAAGGCGTACGTGGTTCGGTATCCACTGCCGGAACAGGAGGCGGGACAAATGTTCCACGTTCCCTTTCATCGTCTTCTTTGGCCCAAAGACGAGCCCGCTGTCCCCTCTCTTCAGTCATCAAGAGACTACGTGAGATGATCATCCGACTTTTGGCAGCTTGGGTGCTCTGCTCTTTTGCAATCCGAGCCCGATGCCAGAATACCGAAGACAAGTCGATCGACCGAGGTATAAAAGTTGGAAGAATCACGTTGAAATAACCAATCGCAAGAAACCAGTACGAATCATTTGCTGGCTTCACCGTGAAATATGGGCGCAGGTTTAAAGCCGAGTACATCATCCTGCCTAAAGGTCAGATATGGAAGGCATAAAATGTCTTGACTTACATTGACAAATCCTTTTTCTCAGAGCACATCTTTGCCCAAGCAATGTTACATGCAGCAAATATAGCTGCGGAGACGGAAACACCATGCGCTTTGCATCTTTTCAGGATGCTCTTCGTTCGCTCAGTGTCATAAGAAACAGTAGGGACAATGGTATGCCTAGGCTGTTTCGTCTGTCGACGAAACGAATGACCGCCCTATTCAAGTTGTCAACAGACTACCCGTGAAGAAAAGGCACGATACTCACCACAAGTTTTCGCTGGCTCAACTGGAAGTCGACCTTTTCGGCTGCCCTGCGCAGTTTACTAGGACTAACGGTAAAGTTGTCTTCCAAGGCATTTGGTAATACAGCATGCTGGAGTCGTTACTCAGTTAAATTCGAGATCACACAAGAGATGCATACCCTGGCAGTGTCTACGCCCCATCGAGAATTGAGCTCTTCCTTCAGCTGACCTTCAAGTTCAGAAACGGTTTTGTCACTACCGAGCAGTCCAAAAAAGTCGTTTGCGAATTGGTGCAACGCCATACCATCTCCCAAAAAGTGAGCGGCACAGATCATGATGTCATGATTATATGAGGGAGATTCGCATTCGTCAAACGGTGACGTGGAGCGCGGCGTTAGAGGGGGGCTAGGTAAAGAAATGCCTCCTTGAGACACGACAAGATAGGACAAACGGTCGTTGGACAATGTTCGGGCTCCATTTAGATATGAATCAATTAGTTCTAGGATTCATGAATTTCAGCAAACTGAGACATCAACATGGGCGCGTACCATCCTTGGTCGAAGTTCTGTAGTCCAAATTGATGTCTGCATCAACCAAAGCATCTTCAGGAGATCGCGGAGGGTTGAATCTGGGGATAATCATGTGGTTGCAAACATCAAGCTAAAGGCCGCAACTTACACAAATCTGACGTCGTCGTAATCTTGCATAACGACCTTTGAAGCCAATAGTGGATGGCGAATACGAAGGATTGCCCAAACCACACGAACACGAGACCGGCGAATGACGTGTTCCGGAGCATCGAAGCCTAAGTGAAGGTACCTACGGGGTGATACAACTCATCATGAGATCCTCAAGGAAATGACTAGAAATCTTACATGTCATTAACGCCGCTCGCGCGAGAAGGAAGAAAGTAAGACAGTTCATTGTTGCCTAATGGGCGTTCCACCTTCCACATATCTTTCAGAGACGAGCAGTAGTTTCCTTGAAGTTTCACCTCCGAGTCCTCGTCAGAGACCCTGCACGAGATATCCAACAGCACTGGAGGCGAGGAATCCATATCAACCTTGGTCGCTTAGGGGAAATGTGGCATCTTATACCATTTCATTTTGCTTGCGCTGGTTTAGTGCTTTTGGATCCCAGTGACGATCAAACTTACCGATCTCGACCTGGTTCGTTTGGTTTACCCTGAGTGGTTTGAACTTTACTATTGTAGTCTGGGTTCAGACTGTCAAGACCAAACAGATCACGTATGTCACTACCATCACCAACGCACAGTCGAGGTACAGGGACAGCTTGGACGCTGACTATGACTAGGCCCACGATGGGGCCGGGGATAAATGGTATTTGATTTTTTTGGAAAGGCAGTGTGTTTGTGACATCACATGTCACTGCACGTGTCATGGCCTTGGCTGTCACCTGCCTTTTATCCACACGGAACGACTTCTATGATTTCAATTTCTTGGCCATGCCGCATCGACAGCCGACCCGACGGGGATGATAACGGCTCGACTCAAGGCTCCACATTCATGATCATGCGATAGCAATCGCGTGAGTATCTGGATAGAATCAACGATGAGAAGAGTCGGACTGTCATCCATGACAACTCCGAACGTTAACGAGTATCCGACGGATACAGCCTACATTGCGCAGTCACATCATCGACCTTTCACGTTATAAGGAACTGATCTCTCCATCAACTTGGCTTCAAGTGTACTAGTCCCTGATGTATCACAGACCTAATTATAGGTACGCAAACTACGGTAGATATAGCTCATGACTGTGCGTAAAGTGTCAGATGATAACTAAAAGGATTGTGTGGTACTAATAAGAATTGTCTCGGATGGCAATATACCCGCAGTGATCATCACTTACAACAAATTTCCGTGTCTATTAGAAGGACATTAGTCTCGACATCCAGGGACGGATTCTTACACCTTTTCCTCCTCCGGTACTCCGAAAACCACCGTAACCTCGTCGCCGTCATCGCCATCATTAGGATCTTCCTCCCGTTTCCTATTTCCTATGCTTTCGAGATCAACATCCTTGCGCGGCGGAGGTACGGCTTCCAGTGACTTGACCCAAGTGTAATAACTAATTACCAGGAACGAATGTGCAATCAGTACTCCTACAAGATCGAGACTTCGCTAATATAGGCACTTACACGGTGCCTATCATGATAACCAGAATAGATCCTGCGCGATTGCTGTGCGAATATAGTTTTCATCTCGAAGACTTGATATATCAGAACTAAGCACATACACAGTCATGATGTCTTTGAATAGCCAGACACCCAACAGGGTTTGGATAACGGATCTTAAGGCCTGTAGTGATAAATTAGTCCCATCATTGTTCTGTATACAATGAAGGCCACTTACGCTAGAGAACATATGTGTGATAGGACTTGTAACCTTGATGCTGAGCAGGCCCGCGATACAAAGTAAGAAACCAAAAATGCCAGTCACGACACTCCCCCATAGAAACACTTGTCCGTCCCAATTTGAATCGTGAATAAGGTCCTCAAGGGTAAAAAGTTCATTGTGAAGCAAGACGAAAGGGAAAAGGAAGATTGCGGAGCCCAAATTGGTCCAGTATGCAAGTTGAATGGTTGAGTTGTTGCAATAAGGAAGGGAGGACTTGATGAGAACAGCGTGGAAAGCGATGAAAAGCGACGAAAGGAAGCCATAGAACAGAGAAAGACCTGAGGGGGCAGCATGGGTGGGCACTGCTGCAGATGGTGCTACACCGAGCAAGAAACCTATAGTAACTGTCCCGACAGCAATTCCGACCCAGGCCGAAGGCACAGTGCGAGTGTGCACAGAGAATACGATAACGGTCAGAGGTAGGACAAGGCCACGTGCAATCTGTGGAGTTAAACGGCGACCTTTGCGTTTCTAGGAGACCACATACCTGGAAGAAGGAAGCCTCGACATCGCGAAGGCAAAGCGTATTAAAGATGAGTCCAATGATGTTGACGAGGACTACAGGTGCGAGCTTCTTTGCGGTTTTAAGCTCGAGCTTTGGAATCTCGACACGTGTAATGAACATTGCTGCCACGTGGAGGAGCAAGACTGCTATGAGCAGCTGCAGGAGGAGGAATAGTAGCGGTAAATCCGGTGAACCATTAAGGACAGCTTTATTGCTGTGCTCGAAGGTTGAGTCAATGACCACACTCTAGCTAGACCATCTTACACAAAAACCATCTGCCAGTGTGCGTGTTAGGGGCTGGAGTCACGTCATGATTGTGTGCACGAGCTACTCACCACCAGTGCGGCGGACATGTAAAAGCCCACGACCGCCGCCACCTTTAGTGTGTTCGCGTCAAAATACCTGTTATTCATCCTTTCCTGAATGGGGGGGAACTGGGAGAATACATGAATCAACTTGTGGTTTTAATGTGGAAAAAGATCAAGCCGCTAGGTCGATTGAACGAGCTGGTTCATCGTTCGGATGAGCTGAGTTACCGGAATATTCTCAAAATGGCAGGTGTAGATCAGGGGTGGAACGTGAAACGCGGGTAGCAGTCCGAAATCAAAGTGCCATGAACTTTCTCACGACAACGCGTCACAGCTTAACCGGAAGATGATAATATCGGTACCCCTAGCCTCGTTATACAAATGCAGATACGACGAAGTCCCCATGCTCCCACCCTTGTCTAGACTTGTCATGGACAGAAGATCAGACGAGTTCCTGCTAGGAGAAAGCTCAAGGCAAGAGGCATACGACGACCTCGAGAGCCCTTCTACGTTCCGCACCAAGCCGATGGCTTCCGCTAAGGGCAGCAAACAATCTCTCAGGACGATCGTTGTGGTTCTGGTGGCTATTTCCTTGCTCAGCTTTGGTGTCATCCTGCTCAAACCCTTGGACTATCTGGATGTTGAGGAGGCACCTGTGTCACGGTATTCGGCTACCTTTGACTCGCAGTCATATATCCAAGGCCCGCCCACCCAACGCTTTCGAGGTCAGTCAATTCGTTCAAGACATCCTTCTCGAATCTCACACTGGTCCCAGATAACCTTCGTAACGACACAAAGTACATTACATCGTGGATATCTGCGGGATGGAGTACGTCACCTCCAGCTCACCGCTATTTGTGCTACTGACCCGCAGTTACTTATTAGCGAATGACGTGATGACCTATGTGAGTCATTGACTCACTTCTGTTCTCGCTTGCTCACGGAAACTAGGGAAATTTGATTTACCTTGCACTCATAACAGAGCGCATACCCATAATTGCAAAATTCATCCCTTCTCATGTTGACCACAGTGTACCTCCATTTGCTTTTGGGGATGTATTTGATGTCCCTCGGCTCAGCCATGCCGTAAGGACTCCCATAATTGAATGGCACGAAGTAAAGGACTCGGAAAGCGAGGTTCTCGACGACCTTGGCTGTTGGAGTCTTTGGGAAAGCGTTCAAAACTCCGAGTCCCATCCCAGGGGAAGTTCTTCCCTTGATGGGCTCAAGCTCGGTGAGACAAATCCAGAGTCATCTCCTATCTGGTGTAACTGAGCGGAGATCACAGATGTCTCGTGGACACGAACCCCAGATTGGGTCAAGCTGACCCCTCCTGGCGTAACGGATAGCCATGCTTCCTTTTGGTCCCTTGCAACACTGGGGTTTCCGGAGACTCGCTCAGACAACCTGGAATTAACGAATTATCCTTCTCCTCAGCATCAGGTTTCCCTTCCCCCGGACGATCAGTTGCTATGCTTCGATTACCTATACTATGTAGGCGCCCAGAATGCATTTGAATGGGAATCGGACTATTCTCCTGCATGGAGATTTGTAGGCCAACATATGCACTGGAATGCGAGCCTCGAAAGGCTTGCTAATGAGTATGCTCGGCGCGCTATGAGTGTGCCAGAAAATGAACCAACACCACCCGTGAGTGACAGCTTAGGGTCTAGGGTCGTTCCATGGGTCTAACTGTTGATAGTATATATCTATCCACATGCGGCACGGTGACTTCCGCAGATACTGTAATGGTGTGCCTCTGGACCAGTGCTTCGCCTCGTTGCCTGTCATTGCGCGCAGGGTGGCCGAAGTGCAAGAGGAGCTACGCACACAAAAAGGTACCGAGGTCACGCAAGTTATTATGACGAGCGACGAACGCGACCCAGAATGGTGGTCAGGGGTCAGGGCAATGGGCTGGACGTGGATTGATTATGCATCTGAGCAGACAGAGGAGATCTATGGAAAGTGGTGAGCCGAATAGATGCCGTCTTCTCCTTCTGCCGCTAGAAGCTCTGATTGTCAGGTATCCGGTGTTCATCGACGCTATCATTCAATCGAATGGAGCTGGCTTTGTCGGCACTGATGGTTCCACGATGACCACCCTAGCCCGTCGCCGAGTGCAGTCATGGCATGGTGGACCAACTCGAGTCGTCAAATGGGGCTCGCCGAACGCTGACGACCACTGATATAATTTGATCGATGAAAATGGAAGTGATCTTTGCGCCGTAAATATTATCAGTTGGAATGGACCAAACTTTATCGTTGCATATTTAGACTTGGTATCTAAGTTGCTCACATGGACACACCTCATGTACCATCCATTAATAATGCATACATCGTACCGAGTCCAGACCAGTGATTGTCATGCGTCGGTTAATGATAATATCTTGACTTCTATCCTCGGATACCACGGCAGATCAGAGTTGTTAAACTTACTGACAATGCAATGGTTGTACCGACTTGACAGCTCATCAGGAACCCTTGTCAGAGTAAGGCCCCCGACTGAGTATATACGCAGACCTATTCGTGCGGACGTAAGCAAACAGGTGGACGAAAAGGTAGTGCGACCCACTCAAGATACTCATGAGTCTAAAACGTCTGATCAATGGGTATAGAGCGACGCATCTTGACCAATTGAACAAGGGCCCTGTTGACTGGCATAGGAATATTATATTGTTCCCCTAGCTTGACTAAGTAGCCGTTTAGGAAGTCAATTTCCGTTGGGTTGTTCTTCCTTACGTCCGAGAGCATAGAAGACATGTTGCCTCGTGTTACGCGTGCTACGCGCAGGACTTCGCTTTCAAGAGCATCTGCTCCCAGCTCTTTTGGAACACGCCCTACCGGGACCTGGCTCTTATCCACGCTGGGAGGTAGAGAATCGAGCCATGATTGCGTGTCCACTTCAATCTGTGCACGGAACGCGGCAGCAGCTTCTTCGCAGACGCTGCGCATCATACTCTGTGACGAGTCGTCCTTGAATAGACCACCATTCCGGCATCCTAGAACGGCGGTGAGCGGGTTTAGGACGGCATTCACGACGAGTTTCCTGCGCATCGCAAGTTGGACTTCTGCAACAGGACTCCATTTGCACGCAAGAGCATCGAGAGACTGTAATACGGCTACCGTGTGTCGTAGGCTGCGATACTGGTCGAATGAAGGGTCATCCGGACGTGTGATGTCGTCCAAAACGAGTGATCTCTCGTACAGCGGCTTGCTTTCATCTGCCATGGCTGCTTCAAAATCGCGCTTGCGGCTATCTGGGATAATCCCAAATGTGATCTCCCCAATCCCTGCATGAACTACATGGAAGGCCGACTTGAGCCATGCCCCGTGGGTATTTGATGCCAAGATAAAGTGCGGTCTACTCTCTGGGTTGCGGAATATTCGTTCGACGAGGTCTTCATATAATCCCATGCCATTCTGTAAGAGCACGACGGTACTACGAGAGGTAAGGCGTGGAGCTAGATGTGATAGCGCAGGGGCAGTACTGTGCGCTTTGGTCGTTATGAATAATGCTTCGATGGGTTCTGTTCGTAAATCTTCATCGCTGGGGGTGAATCCGGCACTCTGCTCCTTTGAAAGCTTGGAGTTGAAGCGCACTCCGCCACCTGATCCGCTATGCTTGTCGAACACCTCGATATCGAAACCGTCTATGGACTGTCGGACTCCTTTGTTTTCGACTGTTATTTTCGCAGCTGCGTTCTGAGGCGTCCATGCCTGCCTAGCAGTCTTCTGTATGAGAGTGACTGGGTGCATGCGCGGAAGAACTGATCGTAAGTTGTGTGCGATGAGGCAGCCAATGGGCCCGAGCCCGAGTACGTAGAAACGCATGTTAGTCAATTCCTCAGCTAAACATTCACGCTGGCGGTAAAAGGTTTATGTGACACTCGTAATAAAATAACGGAGATCTGACGTACTTCGACGGGAGAAGGAGAAGTTCGTGATGGTGTGAACAGCAACACGCGTGTGCGCACGGTTGAAAGTTTGAAAAGCGTTGTCGTCGCCTGCCACGTCGACAGGATAAATGTCGGGGAAACCCCAAGAAACTTTCTCGCGGGTCCACGTGAGACGGCGGCCCGACTTGAAGAGCGCGGTACCCCTAGTCACGAGAACATTAACGTCTCCTGAAAAAGCACTTCTATCACAAGGGGGCACCCATTTTCGGACCGTTTAATCGAAATTTAAAGGCCTCTCGGCGTGCCCATCGATCTACCAATCGATCCCACCCTGCAATACTCCCATTCCAAATCGTGTTAACCAGTCATGGCCTCAATTGTTTTGAAGAGAACCCAACAGAAGGTCAGTGATACGCGATTTGTGTACATCAGATGCTGATCGGACATGCCCCGTAAACTCATACAGATGCCCGTGGTTGGGTGCGTACTGATTTTGATTGCGCAGTATCAGAGCGCATTGACCCTAATCTGCCTGCAGCTTCGGGCTCTGGAAGGCAAGTCTATTGAAACTAATCTGGACATCTGAGCTGAAGTGCTGTACAGGTAACCAAGTCCACATGCGCTGACGTGAGTCACCATATCTCTGAAAGCGATTAAATGTTCTTATCCCATTTTCTAGACCGTATACAACGCGATCAAAGCGGGGTACCGTCTTCTTGATGGTGCCGGTGACTACGGAAATGAGAAAGAGGCAGGTGAGGGTGTGCGCAGAGCCATTGCGGACGGCCTCGTCAAGCGGGAGGACCTATGTGAGTTTCTCGCCCTTGAACCAGCTCACGAGTTAATTTTCTTTTCATGGGCCAGTCATTACGTCCAAGGCAAGATACCTTCTCACAAATCCCGGGTTATAGCTCAGTGGATTGTTATTTCATAGCTATGGAACACTTTCCATGCTCGTGATCATGTCAGTTATTTTGAGCAATGTGTAATGCACCGGCTGATTTCTGACCGACAAATCAGGTCAAACAAGCCACCAAGATGCAACTTGGCCTCTGGGGAATTGACTACTTTGACTTGTTCCTCATCCACTTCCCCATCGCGCTGAAATATGTCGATCCCAGCCACCGCTATCCCCCTGAGTGGTTCGGTGATGATGGCAAGGTCTACACTCGTAAGTAACGGGTTATGTTGGATGCATTTCAGATTGACATCATACCTCAGAAAACACCCCGATGCACGAGACCTGGGGTGCGATGGAGGAGCTCGTTGACGAGAAGCTGGTGAAAAACATTGGCCTGAGGTGATTATTGCCAATTAAGTTCTACAGTGCATTTTTATGAACACCCTCCAGTAACTGCCAGGGGTCTTTAATCCTCGACGTTCTCCGTTATGCCAAGTACGAACCCCAGGTATTGCAGGTTGAGCTGCACCCATACCTTTCCCAAGAAGCCCTCGTCAAACTTTGCAAGACATTCAGCATTGCTGTGACTGCCTACTCGTCGTTCGGGCCCCAATCCTATGTCGAACTTGGTATTGATAGGGATACTCCTTCGCTTCTCCAACACGACGTGACTTCTGCTGTAGCTAAGACGCACGGGAAGTGTGGGTGTAAAATATCGCTCATTTGTGACGAAAGCTGACGCAAGATGATTGACAGCCGCAGCTCAGGTTCTGCTGCGTTGGGCTACGCAACGAGGCATTGCCGTCATTCCAAAGTCCAACAATTTTAGCAGATTGTCAGAAAACTTGGACTGCAACTCTTTTGACCTCTCGGAATCCGAGCTTGCAGCCTTGAGTGCACTGAATATTAACCTCAGGGTACGCGCGCACTCAAGATGCTTGTATGACACCTGATCTAATTTTGCTCTGCAGTTGAATGACCCCGCTGACATCGATAGTCGCTTAGCCATCTTCGCTTAGAAGTGTGATGGATAGAAGTGTAGAACGGGTGTAAAATACTGGAGAACTGAGAGGACGGATCATATTGCATGCGCAGTGACCTTGTAGTCAACTTCCTGCGGCCGCAGAGGGCCGCAGTACTGTCGGAGTTTCAAATCAGCTTTATCTCCTGATAGTTAGTAGCATTGCCACTAGCGCCTTCCTTTAATCCCCCATGGACACAATTGCGCAATTCAAGCTTTCGAAACAAGGCGGGCTCACTCGTCGCCTGACATTCCCTACTCATCCTAGTTGGGCCCTTCTATCCTCAAAGATTAATGAAGCGTTTGGTATTGCGACCGATAATATTGGGGTATCCTACCTTGACCAAGATGGGGATGAAGTAACTCTCAGCTCTGAAGAGGAGTTGCAGGACTACTATGATACCCTCGGTGACGCTAAACACAGACTTATCAGACTTTCGGTACAGGACCTTAGCTCCCTTAGGTCTACTGATGTAGCACCCACCCGCCACCATACCGCACCCCCACAGCAATCTCACTTCCGGAACACATTCGGAGAACAGGATTCGCTGCCTTTCATTTGGGAGGTCGATGATGAATGGCAGCGTCTTCCTGGTAGCCTTGGCAGTCTTTTCTTGTCCAGTGACTCTCCGGAGAGCCCACACGCGTTCGTGGAGGTTTTAGAAAGTGACGTCAGTGTCTCCAAGAAGTCTGACAAAACAGACGAGGAATCTGCCATAGGAGACGTTACTCGCTCAGACAGGACGTTTACTATGCCTACTTCCCGCACAGACAAGGGCAAGTCGCGCGTCGCGATGCAGCCTACGGTTGAAGACGATGCTTCATCCACCGATTCAGTATGCGGCGACGATGCGCCACTGCAGCCACAGGCCCATGTTCGTGACTCTGATAAAGCTTCCACATTTGGTGGCAATATCAAGTCTCGTGTCTCGGTCGATGGGACGGTGACTCCCGCTCAGGCTCAGAGCACCCCCGTCATTTCTGGGCAGGTTCTTCCTGAGGCTGTGCTGAAATCTACCGAAGATCCCAATGCAGCCATTACTGACGACCCTGCCCTCCCCACTTTGGGCAGCACAGGGGCATCATCCCTCACTCATGACGTAGCTGCCTTCTTGAAGACAGCTTCCGGTATCATTTCCGCTCACCCAGAATTATCAGAGGGTCTTCGTAGCATCGTTTCTAATGCCACAAATGGAACATACTGGACTGCCCATCGTGACGCACTCTCTCGCGCTGCCGAGCGCATTCAACAAGAAAGTGGTAGGACCGTGGAAGAGATTCAGAACGCGGAAGAGGAGGCTAGCGCCAGGGTTGCAGAAGCCCTTGGTGGAATTTTCCGTGTCATCGGCGAAGCCATCCAAACTGCTAGGACAACGACGGAGCCGCTCAGGTCACCTGCCGGTCAAGATGTACCTACAGCTCCAGAATCTGCCCCTGAGCCCCCCTTCCATCCTCGCGAATTTGTCCCATATCCGGGACTTCCTCCTCCAGGTCATTTCCCGCCTCATCCTCGTCACCACTGGGTCCCTCCCCCTCCGCCGCCTGGTCACCGTCATGGGTGGCCCCGTCCGCCTCCACCCTTTTGGGGTCTTCCAGGCGGGCGCCAGGAGGAGGGTGGTTCGCATGGTCTACGTGCGGATCATCACAATGCAATCCGTGCAAGGATGAGTGACATCCGCACCACGTTGGCTGAGGCACGCAACCGGCGTTTGGGAAATGCAGGGCCAGCCACACCGGCCAACCCACCTCCCATTCCTAATGCACCTCCTGCGCCACCTGCATCCGTTGTACCACCCCCTCCTGTACTGCAGGATGACTCCAGCATATTCAAAAGCACTTCACTTACTCAAGAGGAGCTCAGGGCTGATGTTGAACGCGCCAAGGCCGACTATAAGATGCGCAAGGAGAGGTATCGTCAGGCTAGGGCCAGCAGGAAAACGGCAGAGCAACGCGAAAGGGGACAGGAACCTAGTGGAAGGTATTTCGCTTCCCTTCGTAGTGACCAGGAGGATATTAACTTGTATCTAAAGCAATGATGTTTCCGGGCTTACTGCCGTTTACGATGTGACAGAGCCCAACGTCAGTGGTGCAGATACATCTGTGTCTCAAGGACCTCCCGCGGCATCCCCAGTCCATGAGCACGAGCAAGTGACTGTACCTCCATCCACAGCTGCGCCCGCGCCATCTCATCCTGGTGCACCTCAGGTTCATATCGTAAGCAATGCTAGGGGCATGTACCCCCAGCTCGAGATGTTCAGCGTCCCTAGGCGCAGCCACACCATCGGACACACTGCACGCCGTGGCCTCGAGGACCGTTCCAGGCAGCGCATTATGAAGAAATTGTCTGAAGTACGCTCCTTATCATCTTTTGTCTCTTGAATATCTCACGAAGGGTTTTTGTAGATGGGTTTTACTGAGGGCACGTATCCGAAACTGAACGCCAGGGTGTCAGAGCAGATGGCCGCCCATCCTCCCACTACTCAGGACATCGAAGATGATATTGTGACCAACTTGATTGAGGAGCTTATTCCTTCCACTTTTACACCTCGGGCTGGCGGCTCCAGGGAGCCCATCCCTGGCGCTTGGGCCTAGAAGTGTTGTTGTAGGATGTATGATGCCAATTCTTGACTGTGTCCTGGGCTTTGCTTTGATTTTCTGACTGTTGTATTATAATTCTTGTATTCTGATTAGTTATGCGAAACTTATGTCGTCGATACAGTACTGTAAAATGAATGCGTTTGTGCAACTTTTGTGACTCTATTGTCTCTTGATGTCCTCGGAGGCCATGATTATCGGATCTTAAAGACACATCACAGTCCGAGGAAATCGATGATGATAAGCAAATCACAAGACCATTATCCTCATTTGCCGTATGCTCATGCGAGTGCCCGGTGAATCTACGACGCTGTAGACGGGAAATAGCGGGTCGCTGGGTGTTCGTGGACAATACATTGGAGTGTCTGTAAACGGAGGAACCACTAGGCCGCACCTCGTGCACCATGTTGGAAGACAGCGATCATCGAGACCAAACAAACCATTGGGCTTGCGAATAATCATGGATGCTATATTTTGCGAAAGTAGCTACACAAAATTCAATCGTGCGCCATGTCGAGCTCGAGACATAGACCCGGTATTTTCAGAGAAATCTTGTGTAGATATTGCGACCGTTTTTTTTTGTTTTCTGGAAAGCGAGCACAAAGCAAGGCTGTCAGCAAGTCATTGGCAATTTATCTCCCGCCACGGCAAAAATTGCTTCCGAAAAACAACTTTGATCTGCAATATCAGGTAACTTGCGCTTCATTTCAAAGGGGCGAGGGATACATGCACTCACGTTGCTTTGTGCTGACCAACTTGTCCGTCTCTGAAGGAAGTGTTTTGTTTTCGGAATGCGCCATGGTGGAACGTTCCGTGATGAGCACGCATCCTTTCCCCTTTCGTGATCACGGGCACCTTTGGAAGAGCTTTGCCCACAACATTGTGTCAACTTGCTATGTTATGGAGGTGTCCAGTGGAAACTTGCGAACGTACGAATCATCCCTTTATTATCGTGGTACTTTCAACGAATAGGTCGCGTCTTCCTGGCATCCAACACGCATTACGTTCTTTGAAACGCACCGCATGACCGTCTTTGCCAGGCAAGTGCAGTCCCTTTTCTTGGTAGTGGTTTTGTAGACTGAAAGGCATGATCCGCTGCTTTCCCAGAAACAAATAAAGTGAATTTCGGGCGCCCACAAGGACAAACAACACGCTTTGCCTGTGAAACAGGCCACCAACCAGGCCACATACCGATTGCCAATGATACCAGAAAATCGACGTGCCACTGTGGACCGTATAAAGCCACACCATCTGTGTCTTCTCGTTCTTCAACCGCTACGTTATCAGAAATTTAAAGCGTTACTCGGCTTGTTTTCTCTCGATTCTTCATCCTATCTTAAATAATCTGCACTTCATCATGTCATCTTACCCCAAAGCAACCGAAAAGACATCTGACGCCGTAATGTCAGACCTCAACCCCGCCCGACCGGCTCCATTGGTGCGTAACTTCATCGTCCTTCTAGTGTGAAATGCTTACGAGGTGTGCAAACAGCATCCTGTGCTTGATGCCGTTGAAATGCATATGACAGTGCCTCTGAACCGATGGCCCAAGTATGCGATCATGGGCACACCAGATTACAAGAGACGACAGGAATTTCTCATGTCGGACCATTTGAAGAAGTTTCCTCCGCCTGGAACAGTAGACACGTCTTCCAAGGATATGCTGCTGTCCACAACGTTCATGCGCAAGATGACGCTAATACAGCGCATCATGCAACGCCAGGGCTCAGCCGCGAATGACGATCCCCGTTACATTTATCTTTATGACGACATGCGCTTCAAACGTAACATTTTTTACTGGCGCAATTTTCGTATGAATGACTTGCCACCCGAAATCATTACGCATATCTTCCGTATCGCCGCTTGGTCAACCACTACTCCTGCTGAAGGCACGCACATTCGCCTATTACTCACTTCGGTGTGTACCAAATGGCGCCGGTTGATGATCGAAGACTGTACCCTTTGGAGTGCTATTTGGTTCCGCGATCCTCCTCCTTATGAACGGTCGATGGAGTGGTTTAAGAGGGCAGGTGGTGCACCGTTGGACATTCGCATCAACGAGCATGATGCCGACTGGAAGTCCAAAGATGATGATTTCAGGTACAAAGAGGACGACCATCGGTTCACTCCCAAACAGATGGAAGAGCTCATGGACAAAATCTTTGTCAAAGTCTCTCAGATTCGCATGCTTGTGCTTGTTGTTGATAACTGGCCCCCCGCGCTCGTAGTTTTGGACAAGTTGCAGAAAGCAGCTTATGCTGGAAATGTCATCAACATGGAACGTATAGAAATTCATAGGATGGGACGACCTTTGATATGGCCTGAGCCAGGACATACGCCTTCTGTGCTTTTCGGTGGCCAGACTCGGGCCTTAAAATATCTCTGCCTCCGCGGCGTTCACATTGACTGGAACGCGACTCCACTTAGCAATCTATCAACCATCGACCTGAGGAAAATCGCGATGAATGTTGCGCCAACGTTGAATCGCTTTCGCGAGGTTCTCCTCGCTTGCCCTCGCTTGCAGAAGTTGTCTTTGGATGGCGCAGGCCCGCAACCCAGCGCTAGAATGCCTGATCACATTCCAATTAACCTTCCTCACCTGAAGGTTCTTATTATAGGCGATTTCAGCCTGGTGTACTCGTGCTACATTTTATCTCAATTCAAGGCACCCAACGTTCGCGACTTAACGTTAATGAACCTGTCAGGTGATGATTATACGACAATGATCACTGCCATAACTGGTCGGTACAAGGAGCTGCGACTCCTGACGCTCTATACGGTCAACATCAGTCCCACAGAGAAGGGGACGAAAGCGATGGTGAGGTTCCTATATGCGATACCTTGCCTGAGCTATCTACGGATCGCCTCCATGAACTGGCATGTCATAGAGGCATTTAACGAAGACCCTCGAGAATATGGACTGGGGAAAGATATAGACACTCGGTCATTCCCGCAGAACCGTCCAGTTCTGTGTCCGAAACTTCAGACGCTAGAATTCCAGCAATTGTCTGGAACGAAGGTAGCGGAGTGGGCCACTAGGAGGAAGGTGCTAGGTGCCCCGCTGAGGAGGGTCTATGTGAATTCCCCGTACATCAGCAACGTAACTGCGGAGGAAGCGGACATGATCCATCAGGCTGTGGGTGGTCTGTTCATCGCGCCTCTAGGGTCCACTACCCCCGAGGAGAGGGCGTTGGCGACTTGCGACCGTTATGGAGAGACGATCTAGAGGGGCAGTACTTATTAGAATGATATATTCCGTGACCATATGCATAGGAAACATCTGTATACCATAATTTACATACTTGGCATATTGCAATCTAGCATCTTATTCGTGTACTTGTAGTTTGTAGTCAAAGTCACACGTGACTTGAGTTCTTAGGTCATGTGGTTACTTACGTGCCTTATTTGAACCGTGTCGCGTAACGCGTGTTGAACAGGCTAAACCTTATGACCTACTTCACACTGTCACCACCACCAGCACACAGCAAACGTATGTGCTAAGTACATAGTCACACATCGTACATTTCCATTCTTTGTATCACCATGCCCCCACTCCAGCGCTCTGCCTCCATCTCAACGATCTCGACTGTAACTCATCCAAACACGTCTATTGCTGATACGTCGTCTTCAAAAGCAAACCCCCCTGTTAGTACACATGTACCCTATATCAGACGACGCAACACCCCTCAGCAACTCAAGGCTCTTCATCAACTGCTCGAACTGACTCCCCATCCAACTCGGGAGCAGCGTCTCGCTTTGGCTACGGAGTTCGGCATGTAAGTTCATATGATGCGAGTAGTAATAGACCCTGAACTGATCTGTACTCAGGGAGCTCAAGTCTGTGACCAACTGGTTCCAAAATAAACGCCAGACAGAGAAGCGAAAATCCCTTGTCTGGAATGAGAATAATCCTCCAAAAATTCACGCACCTCAGTCGCGTCATCTGAAACAGCGCCATTCTAATAGATCAATATCTTCATTCTCTGTTTCCCTTGATAAAATTGCTCGGTTATCTGAGAGACCCTCATCACCGTCATTACTCCTATCTGCCGATCGAGCACCTCCCACTCCTCTCACTCCACGGACTACTAACGTTCGTGCTCAATCGTCTCCAAGTCCTTCGGAGCTATGGAAACATATCCCATCATCCCCCGCTATTCCACAGTCTTCACCAAGTGCTGAAGAAGCTAGACTGGCTGGCCTTCCCTCACGATCAAAGACCTGGCGTTCGTTAGAATGGGCCTGTCTCAAAGCAAGGCGAGAGAGGCGGGTTGACGATGGAGGAGAGGATGGCGACCTCCCTTGTCTCCCTTCTTTGAGTCACGGTGATGGTTCAGATGATGGGTCGTATGAAGCCCTTACCCCTGATTCTAGCGTTCGATGCATCAACCTCTCTCCCCAGAGCAACTCTCCCTCGCGCTTCGGTGGAGAGGACAACAAGGGCTTACTTTCTGACCCGGAAAAACCTCGCCAATCAGAGGATGTCGAAGCTGCCTTGACCCTCCTTGGTTTTATGGCGCGTCGTTAATATTTCACTATCAATAATTTTATACCTTTCTCTTCGTGTGCAATACCTACTAAGGAACCTGTTGTATTCCAGTCATTATTCGGTTTTCATTTGATACCTACAGGATGTTTGCTTTACTATATCATATTTAGATGTTCATGGCATGTATAGAATTATCCTCATTTATGGCACCCATTTTTTTCCAGAGCTGCACAGTGCATAGGATCTAGGCCGTCTAGTGACTAGTGTGCAAAAATTGGTTGATTGATTTTGTCCACGTGACTGCGACGCGTTGCACTTGTTAGCCGCCGGGTCCGGTATCGCTGTGACACACTGCTTCTTTGGACCCTCGAACCTCCTTCACAGCCTATCTTACTTCTAACACCACATTTCTATGACATCTACTACACGTGCCACTCGTTCAATGCGGCGATCCAAGGCCTCAACTCCTAATCAACTGTATCAACACCAAGAGAACATAATACCTACTCTGCAGCCCGATGTCAGTCAGCCATTGCCAGAAGTACAGATCGATTCTTTGAGGAAAAGACATCGCATGTCACCCACACAGCTGATGCATCTGGAATCGCTCTATCAAAAAGACACGCATCCGTCAAGGCACAGGAAGAACCAACTTGCAGAGGAGCTTGGCGTGTAGGAGGCTGTCAGCAAACTGTCTTGCTACACAATTTACTTACCTGGGTAAACAGAGATTTAAAAACCGTCACGATCTGGTTTCAAAACAAGCGCCAATTCGCAAAACGTAGCCAACCGAGCGCGCCTGGTTGCTCACCGCTTCAGATACGGAATGCCGTTTCTCAAACCCAGGATCACCAGGTTCCTGTGCAATCTCCCTCAGTGCTCTGGCGTGTCTCATCGTCCATCGGTAAACGATACTCTACAGCCTGTGATTCTGCCATCTGTTTGTTCTGAGAAATCACGCACAACACCATTCCCGCAAGAACAAGAGAGCGACGTTAATGGTCTACCGAAGATATTACCGCAGGTCAAACCTCTCTTAAACTCCTTGGGTTCATTCAGTGTCTTCAAAATCACACAAGGCTTTGCACGAGAAAGACCAAGCACGACCAACAGTGGCAAGTAAAACCAGCACCCAGGAACTGTGGCAACACCTCCCTTCATCACCAACAGCTCCAAGTTTGGATCCCGACAGAGGAAGTGAAGTTCTTAGCGCTACCCGCGATGAACAGGATGCACGACATAGCAAGAGAGGCCTGACACTCGAGTGGGCTTGCGATAGACAGATGAAACGCAGACGGGCCGGAAGGGATAACGGTCACGCCGCCGATGGCTCGAGCAGGCTCTGGGCGCCGTTTGGGTCATCAAAACTACGCAGCAGTTCAGCGCTTTCGTTACTCTCATTGGCCACGGGAAAGGTCAGCACGTCTTTGTCCACCAGTTCCGCCCCTTCGCAGGACGTGATTCACGGAGCTTCGCTCCTGTTGAGCTTCAAGCATTCTTTAAGAGGACGCAACACTGGGAAGAAATAGGTGTAGTACTGGCTTTGGAGAAGGCAACGGCTTCTCTTTACGACACGAGCATGAAATGAAACAACATAACCCTTAGTATATCAACAATAGTATGAAAAATTGCTACATCGGCAACATGCGAAGTGAGGGTACTAGAGATGCGAAAAAGCGTTAAAATGCAACAACGGCTTAAAAATAAAATGCGATGTGCTGAAACAACAATCTCAATGAGATCCACGCGGTTGGGTGAATTACACCTTGTACCCAATAATAGATATTTTATATTCAAGCTAGAGAATGTCTACTTCTTTTTTTTCCAGTCTTGGCTGGCACAGAGGGCGTGGAAGCTTGCTTTTTGGAGGATACATTAGGGTTCAGCTTTTGGGAAGTGACTGTTCGGGGTGCAGGTTTCGCATGGTTGGAAGATGGAGTACTTGGGAGTGTCACTGCGACCGGACGGGTGTCAGAATGGAACGGATAATCAGGTAGACCTTTGAATAGATTCGTTGAGTAACCCTTCACAAGTGACGACTGAGTGAGAACCAGTTACCTGCAATGTCCTTAAAGAATGGTATAAATGTGTCAAGGATGTCATTATTTGATACTTTGCCCATCTCTATAAAAGCGGGCTCTTCGATGTCCATGGGTTCAGTGGTTATTTCATCAGGAACACCTTGGATGCCACTCTGATGCTCTTCGTCCACGTTTTCCTTCAGCCGCAGCTTGAGGAAGCCGTTGATCAACGGCTCAAACAGATTTTCCATCGGCGGCATGAGATAAGCAGGGGCATCAAAGACACTTCCCGTTTCACTGCTTTTCCAGGGAAGGGAGGTATCGATTGTCGACGAGACAGCATTGTGAGACATGTCGGTAAGAGCCGGTACACCAAACATCTCCTCGAAGAGGGACCGCTTGGGTACAGCCAGCCCTTTCTGGAGAGCTTTCGTCGACAAACTTGCCTCATTGGCTATGCTGATGTCGTGCCCTAGAAGCACGACACCAAAAGCATGTGTAATTCCCACAAGGGAAAACGTCCGGCTGCGAGCGACGTGATTTGGAGCGGGGTACCAAACTAAATTCCGGATCCCGAACGGTAACCTTTGTGAGAGCAGGGGAGTCGACGACGAGAGGGAGTAGACCATGAGTTCATTAATCGTGTCTGATGGTGAACGATGTATCGTTGCAAAGGTATCTTGGTAAGGGTGAGGTACAAGAGTGACATAAGCGTGCTTGTGCCGACGATGCCAACGTACTGTAGTATGTTCAATTCGATGCAGATCGACAATCAAGTGGAGAGACGCACCAGAGCGATTAATAATATCACAGATAACAAGATTGGGGCCGCCAAGAACCGCGATATACTGGCCATGATGCCCAATGAAATGTATGGACGATATTTTTGGGCATTCTGAACACACGATGGTGAAGTGAAGTGCATTCGATATTGAATCATACAACGCTACAGAGCCATCGAGTGCAACAGCCAGAAGAGAGCCATCTGGAGACCAAGCCGAGTCTCTGGGCATTTCAAGACGGAAACCAAAAGACGATCTTGAGGTCCAGGAAACTAAAAGGCGGTCACAAACTGCAGGTTCGCATCAACATCTACACATACCTTCTACATTGCCCTTCTTATCCTTCGTACTCCGTATTCTCCAAGTTTTGACATTTTTATCCTCACCAGTGGTCACCAGCCAGTTTTCATCGGACGGACTAAAAGACATAGAGGTGACCTTGTTCAAGCTATGTGGCCGGTCTACCCTGGTATTCAATATCCAAAAAGCGGACTTCTTGTCCCACCACCATATCTTGAGGTATATCTCGCCACGGAATGATTCATCTCCTTCCCGCCGGTCGATAGTTGCCATCCACTCTCCTGACGGTGAGATTACCACGCGTTCTACTCGTGAGGGCTCTAACATTTTTTCTTCTTGTCTTGACACTCGATTCGAAGGCGACACCTCCAACTCTGCAACGAGCATGGATGACGAAGGGGAATAGGTTTGTAGTGAAGAAGGATGGGAAGAGGGAAGAACAAGTGTCGATGACAACGAGTGAACTGCAAGTGGTGTGGCAGATGATGAGGACGCCCTGGCACTTGACGTGACGGAGTCTGAGTTCACGATGTAATTAAGCAGGTTCATATGACATGTAAAAAGGACGGACCTAGTTTTATACGAGAAAAAACTCGCGATAGCTTGAGCGTGGCAGAACTAATGAATGCAAAACTTGCATCTGCCAGTCCCATAAGGTACTCTTCTTCAGCAGCAGAACTGCGCGAGACCACAACACTTTTGATGGGGGAGCCAACTCGGGGCACGAACTCTTTCTTTCCAGAGTGCAGCTGCCATATGACAAGAACAGCTTCTTCACCACCAGATAGTAAATATGCCCCATTCGTCGTGAATGCAACAGATGAAACCGCATGGGCATGCCAGTGAAGCTCAGACGTTTGCGATCGCTTTTCTACGTTAGCAACTGCTGGCCTGCCCTGGTTCAAGCAGTACCATAATCGTACGACACCCTTTGCGTCGCCCGTTGCAAAATAGTCCTCTAATGGATGGACAGCCAAACATGTCAATGCCTCGGGTGAAACGTATTTTGTAAATCCAGACTTCAGTGCAGACATTTGTGCAACATAGGCCTTATGACCAGCGACCGCAATTAACCATTCACCGCTTGCAGATACAGCAAGCCCAGCCGTATACCTGGTCTTGCCAACTGGCGTGATCTGAGATGACTTGTGCCACTTCGCGCCTGAAGCAGGATTTTGTGGCTTGAGCGACACACGCAAGATGATGCAGCTCTCCTCAGTAGAAGTCTTTGCAGACCGGTTTGGTTTTTGCTGCTCTACACCGCAAATAAAAAACTAGTCGTAGGTTACGAACCATAGCACTCACCATCACCATCACTAATTCCCTTCTTCTTCGCTTTCGCAGTAGCGACAAAAACGTAATCTTTTATCTTTTCATGCCCGCACACGTGATGGATAGGCTGTTCGAGATTGATCGTATGCAACAATATGCCTTCGAGGAAATCCCACACTTTGATAGTACCATCCAGAGATACGGTGATAAGCTGGAATGCGTTGTTTGCACTGAGTATTGCAGATGTGATGACATCTTGGTGACCCTCATCCTGTGGTCCCGGTAGTGTAGAAATGACCTTGCCAGATAATGTAGAATGTATCTTGATTCTTTCCCTGACGATAGAAAAGAAGTGGCTGATCAAAATAAGGAGACTGATTAGATCGCAAATGTTATAGGTCGGTGAAATCCACGCACCTCCCGTCTTTCGTGAATATTGGTGGATGTGAGTTAGAGTTCGAATCAGTCAGGGATGCCCATGCCAGAGGTTTCAATGGCTCTGGTTGTGGCATCTCGTTTTCGCGTTGTGCGTTCGCGTTCCCCTTCTCCTGTTCTCCCTGTCTCTTTATCCCCTGTACGCCCTCCTTAACTTTCTCCTTCTCCTTCTCTTTCGTTTTGCTCTTTCTGGTTTTCTTCTTCACCGGGGGAGGTGGACTTGTTGATTCTGCAGGACTTGGTGGGAGTGGGACATCCTTTGGTAGACGGGGAACGAAAGGAGTGTGTTTTATGACCTTGACCGCGGCCATGAGCGTTCTGAGATTTCGAGCGATCGCGAAGCATTCACAGGACTTTGCAAAAAATGTCACCGCCACTTCGGCGGCATTTGCCGGTGTATGTCCCAGAAAGGAAATCGATCGCAACTTGTAATCAATGATCTTAAATCACTGTCATTATAGCAGAACACGGCGCCGCTACAAGCCTCGTATACGTATTGCTACAAGGTCAACCTTTTTTAATATGCGCATATGATCACCCTTGAAAGAAAGTGTTCGACGCTACAAGAGGAACAAACATAAACACCAAAGCAATTAACAAGAATAAGAATGGAAACAGTCCAGCAGGAAGCAGTGAAATCACTGTATATCCTTGTAACCCACGAATATCCGCACAGACCTGCAGGGTGTGTACAGGTCCTCCTCAGACGCAAACCGTCGCGCTTCAAGCATAGCCTGATAGAGTCTCTCCTCCTCCACAAGCTCTGCCTTCGACATTGCCTCCCGCGGAGGAACGGACCACCCCAGCTCAGCAAGTGAGCACCACAAAGATATTCGCGCTTGCATATCGCTAAACAATTGGTTCAGAAATTATGAGCATGCAGCAGAGAAAGGGTACTCACCGCTTATAGCGGTTTACCAGTATCTCGAACTTCGTTCGACTCTCAAGTTCAGACAGCTCCAGATCGCTGTCCCACCCACACTCTGTCAATTGCCCTGTCCGATTCCTCGTGCGATCCAAGAGCTCTTCGTACATAGCCTCTTGGCAGGCCAGTACACTTTGATACGACCAGTATAATTGCATAGCGAGTGAACGTTCGCTAAGCTTATCGATCTCGTCAAGAGGAATCAGAGACTGTGAAGCTGCCACGCCCATAGATGTACTTTCAGCCGCTGAACTATCAACAATATAAAGTGGCTTTTTTATGACATGAGCTCTTTCTGTTTCAAAGCTCAAGGTGTTGGTCGTATCGCATGAGAGTGCTGGTGAATGCGGCGAGCAATCCGCAGGACTCGTTGTTGGGCATGAGAGCGTAGAACCTTCTACATTGCTGAATAACGACGATTCCCCTGATGAAGCTGATTTACTCGTAGCAGAGGAGTGAGTAGATGAGAATGAGACAGCGAAGGGACGAGGCGTGACAGGCGTTAGAGGTGCATGAGGTTGTGAGGTGGTTTCAGATTTGTCCGAAGATAACGAAGCTTCCATGAGAAGCGCATTTGGTGGTAATGGTTGAGGTAATGCTTGTAAAGGGGGTAATGCAGGCATGCGGAAATGAACAATAGGCGCAGATATTACTCGACGGAAATTCGATGTGAAATATATTGGGAGAATAGCTGATAGCACGTCAGATGCAATTGAGAACATACACATACAGTGCAACCCACCAGTTGGTCGTAAGTTGATAAATCGGTTTTCAAATACAGCGTAATACAAGCTTTCGAGTAGTGCATGGTCATGAGGTAGGGGTGGGATGTCTGGTTGTGAGGAGGGTAATTTGTCGATGTGGTGATGCGAGCCGTTGGGATAGTGGACAGAATCTGAACGCTTATTGCGTGTTCGCAAAGGTGCCGTGAACCAGGTAGGCAGTGTAGGGAATAGAATATCTGGGACTAGTCAGTAGGGAGAATTTGAAGGCAACATAATGATGTACCATGTTCGAGGACTTCGACAACCCCACCTGGTCGTAGGACACGGTTCACTTCCTTGGAAGACAATCAAGATATAGTTGCAAAAGAGGGAATGATCTCACCTCAAATAGAACACCCCACTGAAGCCAAGATATTCAGGATGCGTTCATTAATATAATATGAATAGATGTTAACATACCTTGTTCTCAGGGATACCCCGGCCCAGGCCGCGCATGTGAACATGGTCGAATTCGTCATCGTCGAACGGGAGTTTTGTGGTCAGACTCGTGAAGAGATTCCTTAGGACCATTCGCACGTTGGTTGAAACGTATTACTCACAAGTTGCCATGGACCCACGAGATGCGACTCGCAATATCTGGCTCAAGTAATGATGTCGGGACCTGTACATCCACGAGGTCAAACCCGACCTTTGTGGCGCTCTGTAAACTCCATTCAGGTATTAAGAATGGAGATACTTACGAATTCACAGTCTGGCCACTCCTTCGCAGCATCAAGTATCCACGTTCCCCCCTATGAAACACACAAGGAATGTCACGTAACTGAAAGAAGGCGTGATGTAAGATCTTACTCACCCCGCAACCAAGATCAAGAGAGCGTTTTGGAGAATTGTGAAATGGAAACTGGACGACCGAAACTGATTTCTTGACGTGCATGACGAAGCTGTGGTCCATGTTCTCCCTATAACGGGCTTAGCCGCCAGTCAGGCACACAGCAGGGGACAAACTCACAGTTCTAGGACCTGTCTATCATAACTTAGAGGATATGGAGCTTTGTCTGGGTCATAGGAATGATGACGGCGACCATATTTCTTGATAAAATCCCTGTTTCGAGGGACACGCCTGCCACTGGTAGAATCAAGTGCCATTGTTGTGGCTGTGCTTGGTCGTGGTGGGGGCATGATGAAAGGAGGAGAGATGTACTCGTATTCCTGAAGTCCAGGCGCGAATCGTGTAATGGAAAACTGAACGTGTGTTTTTGAGACAGGCTATAGTATTATTGCGAGGGACTCGGCGTGGGACAGCCTATCATTAAATCTAACGTTAGTAGGCAGGGAACAACGTCAACACACTAGTCCTCTTTATGGTCGTCAAAGCTGCTTTCAAGCAGTGTTCGAGCTGGCAAATCATCTGATACACGCTCGTCACAAAAAATGCCTGGACAACTTGATCGGCTATCGAGCCCTTCGATGCCGAACTACATCCGCAGAACCCTCACGCACCTAGTACAGCCAACAGACCGTTTTGATATCAAAGGTTGATGACAGACAGTCCATCGTCACGGGCGCAACCCTGCATTTTTTCACAGCTGGCCTGAACTAGATAGAATGCAATTATAGAAACATAACCGAGGTATGATACGCCAGTAAAACTAGGTAAAAGGTATGCAACTACCGAGGTCCAACAAATACTTTCTAACACAATCAATAGCCGAGGTCCTTCCTGAAGTGTGGAACCATGAAATGTCTTGACTTGACCAGCCAAGCAAACCAATCGCCCAAGGTAAACCCTCCAAGAAATCCGAAGTAGCCCATGCCGCCTTTCTATAACAACCATGTCAGGGTCAAGCCACAATAACTCCCCTGGCTTCTCACTCACCCTTCCATTTGTGATCACAATCATCTCAGGAGCACCCGCATACTTCTTTGTTGGGGTGACTCCGTTCAAGAAGCTCACTACGTTCGCCAAGATAACGGGAGCGTGCCACTTGAGTTTGGCTATCTGCTTCTGCTCGGCCCAGTCGATGATATCCCCAACAGCGAAGATGGAGGGGTGATTAAGCAGTTGCATGGTTGGCTTAATCTTAACAAAGCCATGTCCGTTCAGAGCGTCTTCACCAAGGGAAGCAACGTAATCAGTATTGGGGCGGCCGCCACGAGCAGATACCTACATATGCTGGTGAGCTGGGTTAATGTGCGCATACAACAGTGCACGTACCACTAGATCGGCATCCGGAATGTGCTTTCCACTGCGAGTAGTGACACCGACAACACCCGGTTCTGGAATGTCATCGATGTACTCATTGAATATAAACTCAACGCCACGAGCACGAAGACGTTTCTCCAATCCCTTTCGGAGCGAGCTGCCGTAGGTGGCGTTGATAAGCTCATTACCACCATGGACAATAGTAACTTTTTTTGTCTGTGTTGCGTAATTCGTCAGAACTGTGGTGGCCTGATAATTGAAAAAATAAATTCACCGGGTATAGATCCTTCACTTCACCAGCCAACTCTGAGAAGAATTGCATTATTATTATCAAGGACACGATGATACCTTACGGATACTCACCGATACCAACGGCACCCCCGCCAACGATCACAACGTGTTTTGCCTTAGCGAACTTTTGGCGCCATGCGTCAACAAATGGCAAGACATCATCCTCGTTTTCGGGAATGCCAGAGGGACCACTCCATTTTGAGCCAGTAGCCAAAATAAGCACTGCATATGAAATGCGCTCGCCGTTGGCAAGGACAACAGCACCCCCAGGGACGCCCGGCTGTGCCTCAATGCTGGTCACAATACCGACTTTTGTCTGGCCATTGCCATTCGCATAAATCCTGTCAAGCTTGACGAAAGAAGTTTCTTCCAACCTGGATTCTGCGTCGACGACCAGACGGACTGTTGCGGGAAGAGAAACAGCGTAAGAGCGGGAGTTGATAAGAATGAGGTTGTATCTTTTGGGGTCCAATTTTTTGCTGAGTTGTTTAGCAATTTGGGGCCCAGCGAATCCACCGCCAACGATGACAACGTTTTGTTCTGCCTTCCCTGCCATTTTGTGAGGATGGGTAGTGGTGGAAAGAAGGACTTCCAAGGGATTGTAAAATGAATGTGGGCTGCCGGCATGATTGAACGCGTTCTTTTATACACCGCTTCGGTGATGTTGTTCGAGATTCAGATATGCCCGAGCCGACCGCGACCTGCTGAATAAGCCAGTGATTAGGCGAAATGCTGTCTTACTCAGGCTTATCCATGTCAAATGCATTCTCCAGAAATTCGGTGATTGTACGAGTCCGCAGTACCTGCGCTGCAGTGGTACAAGTGCCTTGAAAATTAGATTTAGGTACCTACCGTGAGACTCCGAATTCGAAGTTAATCGATTAAGTCTTGGAGGCTCTCGGCTTTCTCCACTACTCCCAATGCGCAGGTCAGGGAAGCAACGCAAGGCTGAGCTGCAGCTTAAGCGCGCAGTCAAACGCGGTGACGTAGCCCCACCTGAGGCACAACCGCGCAGGAAGCATTTCAGGAGACCTCCGAAACTCGGCCATTCACTTGACGCAAGGATCTTGGCAGATGACGCATCTAGGGCCGCAAGGAAGCTTCAATCACAATTCGTGAAGCTTGATCCTGTATTCCTGGAGACCACGAAGCATCTGGCTGCTACTTTGCCCTTGACAAGGCCTATACCTGCGGATGTATCCCTCCTCGGTGTTAATCATGCACAAGGCGGCCATATCGTAGACGATCAGCTTTCTGTCCCGAGGAGACCGAAGCGGAAGTACACCATGTCAAAAGATGACGTAGATGCCAATGAGCAAGGCTATTTTCGCAGATGGATGACTCAGACAGACGCTATCGTGGAACGTTGGCACAATCAAAATAATCAGCCAGTTACCTCGAGCACTGATCTAGGGTCGGCTGGCTCAAGTGTTCCTGATACCGCTGTCCAAGAAAAAATGCCATGTCCTCCGACCCACTTCGAGCGTAATCTCGAGGTTTGGAGACAACTGTAAATACTACATCTCTATGCACCTGCTTATGGGGCTCACAAGTTAGTGTGCAGCTGGCGAGTAACAGAAATATCTCAAATCCTTCTTTGTCTTTTGGACTCCAGATGTCCATCACTCCACTTCCCGCCTTCACTCGAGTCCTACTTAACATCTCGAAAAGCGAAAGTCATTCTCGTTCTCACAAAAGTCGATATTGCAGGTCCAGCAAGAGCTGAGGCATGGACTGCTTATCTTCAGACCCGGCACCCAGGGATACCCATCGTACAAGTCGAGGCATATCAGCAAAAATTGGGCGAGCAAGGACGTCCAGTCTATGAATCGCATCTCCCTCTTCCCTTCAGAGAACGTTTGGTTAACGCCATGCGACAAGTGCACGAAGAGATGTTAATCCCCCCTGAGCGAGTGCTCTCGGATGAGGCCAAGCTGAAGCGCTGGAATCCTCCAGTCAAGCGCGAGATTGATTGGAATGGCTTACTGCATGCTCACGGCAAGAAAGTAGGGAGTGTCGTCGGAGGTGCAGCTATGCCAAAGGGAAAGGGCAAAGAGGATATCCCAGATGATACTCAAGAGCTCGAACAGGAAGGTAGTGACAACGACGGACAATTTGAATGGCAGGAGCCAGAATTTCTGACTGTCGGTTTGATCGGTACATAGTCCTTATGCTTTCACGTATTTGAAAATTGACAGCTCATCCTAGGTCAACCGAACGTTGGCAAGTCATCCCTTCTCAATGCGCTGTTCGGAATACATAAAGTTCGAGCATCACGGACCCCCGGAAAGGTAAACAAACAGTCCTAATCTGCAAGATACTGGGCACCGTCTTACATACTTGTCCAGACAAAGCATTTTCAAACTCTTTTTTGGACCCCTGATGTCCGTCTTGTCGATTGTCCAGGACTCGTGATGCCCGCCCTCACACCGATGGACACTCAGGTTCTCTGCGGAATATTACCCATATCCCGTGTCTCCGCCATTCCATTTTGCATTCACCAAATTGGGCAACTTCTCCCGCTTGAGACTATCCTCGATCTCACACACCCTTCAGCGAACAGTGCACCTGTTGAGGATAAGCGCACCTGGCGCAATGGTAAGCAGCCTACATTGAAGGACAACAAGAGACTTTGGACAGCGACGGAGATAATGACCGCATATGCAAACAAGAAAGGTTGGGTTACCGCAAAAGCAGGCCGGCCAGATATCCATCGTGCAGGCAACGCCAGTGAGTATCTTTAATTTGTTTCGCATTTTTAATAACAATCATTGATAGTACTGAGACTCGTCGCGGAGGGCAGGATAGCATGGGCTTTCTGGCCTCCGGGAACCGACTTGACGACTGTTGGATCCAGTGGGGGCAACGGAATCTGGCTCATACGTGATACAGATCAGCACACCCAAGAGCTGGATGAAGACGATGGAGGATCGGGCTATGAAACTGACGAGGTCGAAAGTCCTGATGAAGGCAGTGATGAAGTTAGTGATGAAGATGGCGATGCGACAAGCGAAGAAGAACACCAGGATGCGAACTTCAAGTCGGCTACTGTTGGTCGCTTCGGTGTACTGGCGATAGATGATTGATTGAAGGGTATGATATCAGACTGCGATCAGTCCTGCCAGCGCTGCAACAACGTTGTAGTTGATGATCAATGGTGGCACCAGGTTACTATCATCCTGATTCAAACTACTGAGGTATTGTAGCTCACTCTAAATGACCAGAATCCGATGGATTGTTCGATGCCATCACGGCGACCGCATGCCAGTGTGAGTTCTCGTATCATACAATATTAGATACCACCGCATTGCAGGCTATGTCAAGCTTCTATCTCGAACAAAGTTCAAACAGCCTCTCACTTCAACTTGAAAGTCCGTAACTTCTAAGAGCTATGCTCAGATCAGATGATCACGCCACTAGTACCGTGACTGGTTCTCGGTATTCGAATACGGTAGTGGCAGTGTTGCGCATGCTTGTGCACTAACAGCGTATTTTTGTCAAACATACTACTTGGCGTCAGTGGCCAAGAGCATGCTCTCCTCATGGCTGAGCAAAAAGTCCAACAACACGCAGGCTATCAGCCAACCAGATCGGATATCGAAAGCTTCCCAATCGACAGTGGAACTAACTGGACATTCATCACAATCTGCAATCCCCATCACAGATGACGATCACAACGACGTCCACGAACACATCTGGGATCCCAGCACGTACTCCACCCGAACTGAACAGGACGCTCTCAAACCAAATACATCAGCCACTACTAGTAGCAGTAGCCGTACATCAAGCCACGTGAAATTGTCGCGACAGTCAACTGAGCCAGCAAAGTTTCTGACGCCGCATGATGACATTCTCGCCGAACTCCATGGATACTTGCCCTCAAGTGGTCCTCAGACTTCAGAGCGGCAATCTCTACGACCAGATGCTCCCCGAGGATCTTCCCTCAATCTCGGTTCAAGCGCTGCTGAGAACTCATTGTCCAACTCCGAATCTTTGCCCAATCATGAACCAGCCAGGGAGACTATGTATGAACCGTACACCGGTCAGAAATTATCTGATTATGTATCGGTGCCGGCGCGGTCGGGCACCGACGATGAACTATGGTCCCATCTATCGCATATTCTGGAGCTTCAGAGCGAAATTTCAAAGATGCATGTCGAGATGGAAAATGCCGGATTGCGGACTGCACGAGGTCATAGAGAACCTGAGCGTGGTGGGAAGGCAGGCAGGAGGGAGACGAAGAAGAATAGGAGAGGTGATACACTCGTAGAAGAGGAAGATGATGATGAGAGCTCTGAAGCGACCGAGGGAGAGGATTCGGATCAAAACGATGAGGTGTTTGGGAAGAAGAAACGAGATGAAGAATTCACCAGACTGGCGGAGCGGTTTGAGGAGAGAAAAGTTTCCATCGACACTGTCATGACCAAGGTAAATATGTACTTCTTGCAGTTCACTGTCCATGTTTGATCTTACTACTTCTAGTTGGACAACCTTTCGAGCGCACTCAAGGCCTTTCATGCTCTTCCCATTCCAGCACTCGATGTTGCATCCTCTCGTAACAACACCGTGTCTTCCTATGCTTCACTCACCACCGATCGCGCTGCTGGTGCGGCCTCTGCGGTTACCTCGACCACATCAGCTCCCCCGCGTATATCAGTACAACCTTTAGTAACGACGATCATAGATGACTCGCAACGCGTGGATAGCCCGGTGGACATGCATCTCGCACAATTCATCCCCGATCGCAATGTTGGGAAGAAGTAGCTTTCATACCTTTCTGAATGCATTACATCGTTTGGGAACAGGATTTACGATACAAATAGCGTTGAGATAGTTGACACATTGGCTATAGCTAGCATATTACATTAAATCGCAAATATATGAAGAAAAACATGAACCTTCCAGGCGTTCCTCGGGAAAGAGACCAGCTCCCACACTGGATAGCATGACCAATCGACACCAATGCTCTCACCATCAGTTCAACCTCCAAGAAGAGCCAGCGCAGCCCTAAGTTCCTTTTTCGCTTGCTCAGCATCCTCGTAATCAAGCGAGGAAATAGCAAAGCGACAGTGCTTCTGTGCTTTAGCAATGATGGTAGGCGTAAGTTGAAAATCATTCGGTGGTAAAGGGGCAGGCAGGGGCGCCACGCGAGGAGGTGAAGAAGGTAAAAATATTGTGGGCATCGGTGGAGGAGGAATCATGGGTGGGGGTACTGGACTTGAGGGTACAAATCCAAGCGGAAGCTCTTGAGACGATACTGAAGGTTTGCGAGTACGCTTTTGCCGTGGCGAGCCTCTTGGTGGGGAGATTGAGGGAAGGATGGTAGGATGCGGAGGAGTGGGGGGCACATGCTCTCTGGTCGTCGGTGCATATATAACAGGCCACTCTTTGGGTGGAGATGAGGACTCGAATACGGCCGGCTGAGACTCGCTAGCAAATGGCAAGAACGGAACCTGACTAGGCAATGATCCGTTAAGTAACGGATCTTGGACTAGCTCTTCATCGCTAGTCACACCCTCCACGTCGGTGCTAACCCAGGCCTTACGTAAGTTGGCTCCCTCTGCCTATTGAGAGGGGTTTCATGCCAGTTGTTTGCCTGGTCCAAACTGACACTGCTGCTATCCTGAGTAAGTTCCAATCCCGGAGTTGCCGTCGTACTCCAACACCCAGGACTTCAGCGACTCGTCATCATGGAGAGGAGGATGCAAGGTATTTGCACGAGTGATATCATCTGGACTCATCTTCGGAGATGGTGTCCGTCGATGATGCGACATTTGAGGCGACGTGCGGGATTGGCTCGTCGCTGGAGGGGAGTTCTGAGGACTTTCAACTCTCGGAGGCAGCTCTGAAGCACTAGAAGTAGCAGGGAGAGGTTCTAGGTCGAACTGAGATCCAGCAGGACCCGGTGTGGGTTTCCTGCCCTCCCGATATGCCTTTGCAATATCAGCTGCCTTCCATTTAGCATATTTGATCTTGCCATCTATCTGTGAATGTATATTAGACGATTGTTGTCCGACTGCATGACACTACGACAGCTTACTGTATCGGAGATATCTGTTGTTGGAAATACTTTCAAGACCTCGAAGAAATTTGCTGCGGCGAGAAACTTCTTCGCAGTTGATCTAATTAGATGTCAGTTAATCTACCGGAAATTAAGACAATGATAATCGGGTACCTTGTTGCATGACCTTCGCGGTCTTCATCGTCGGCGATGCGGAAGATCTTTAGGGCAAAGTTCTCAACGAACGCTGCGCTCGCAGGCTCGCTATCTATAGTGTCATTGGGGCCAATCTCAACTTTCAAGCGCTCAAGTGCGTTTAGAAGATTTATAAGTAGTGTGCGTGATGCGGCATCCTTTGCTTTCAAATTGATACCAAGCTGGGCTGCATAGTACGCGCCTACACACGTCCGTGAGCTATGTGATGTGCTAGGACATAAAGATTACCCGTACACCAGTATGCCACGACTGGTTGTTGATCGACAAGTTCCTCAGCGCGTTGGAGGTACGGCGCTATAGACTTGAGACCCGTCGATACTGGCGGTAGTCCAAGAGACATGATGGCTACTAATCAAGGGGAAGTTTTGTGAGTACTGCGGTGGATGGATGTATTTGGAGTCACGAGTGAGTGGTACCGAAGTCCGGATGATTCAAATTTTAAACAATAAGCCCAAGGGTTTTTATACCGATAAAAGATGGCCGACAAAGCTGTTTATGAGAGGCCTCGCGCCTGCAATGAGGACAGTACGCAAAGCTGAAGCTGTATACAACAAAATTGACTTGTAAGTTCAAAGTTCAAAGTTCAATCACTGGGCTATGTCAGCCGGGGGCTGTCGGGACTCGGAAAACACAGCTTGACGTCAATTCGTGTCCTTGTTTGGAAGTTTGAGCGTCTCCGTCTAGTTCCGTCTACAGCAAAACATGGGGCTCCCTGGCAGCCAACACGTTGCAATCAAACAACAGCGCCGGTTCAACTTTTAATAGTGTCACGGAAACACGGCATCATTTCATCCACAGTTTGGCAGAACATGGACTCGGAGCAACAGCTGCATCCCAATGATAAGCCACGAGGCAAACTGAAGGTGATGATATTATTTCTGCAAGGGGTTAGGTGCTGAATTTGCGGTGGTGCGAACCTAACCTTTTTGTCAAGAATCCCGTTGACAGCAGAACACCGTAACTTTGAAGTCTCAGTGGAGTGCTGGTCTTCCTCTCCGCAGATAAGAGAAGATGTTTATTATAGATCAGTCACCGTGATTTTAGACCTAGGTGGCAACTGCGCACTTCGGCGGATTTATCATTGCTACCTTACCCGAAGTACCTTCTCATAGCAGGATACTAACCCTCCATCTATGGTGTCTGTTTATTATAATCCAGGTGTTAATGAAGGAGCTGCGCTTGACATCAATTTCAAATCAGACTGGCAGTCAGAACTGAAGTGGTTCCAATGCTGAGGTGTTAGCATCGTGGTTCGTGTGGATTTGTGACTTTGTGTCTGCAAGGAACAATCATTCACTCATGCTGATGTCAAACAAGCACGAGCCTCAAGGCGTTGATATCGGTTTGGGGTCACGGACTTCGTCCCTCAAGCTTAAGGCATCCACCAGTTACTCGACTTTGAAGCAGAAACGCGTGCCGCCCTCCAGCGCTAATGCGGATAGCCATATGGCTGTTCCAGCCTTGCGCTCCATGAGTGCTATGAGAGGTCTCCTCCTGGCAGAAGTCGGGGACTCGATGGTAGAGTTCGACGTGTACGGCAGGCCTGGGGAATCCGGATATCGCGTTGGCCAGCGCATAGCAACGGAGTCTCTCATGCCTCCGGGAAGCTCGAAATTTTCCTCACCACCCCGAAAGGTCCTTTCTGCCCCAGGTCCCATAGTCGGAAGCATGGCCAGCCTAACCACCAGCGCGACTCTTTTTGATGTCACCCAAAGCGGCCCAGAAACCAAGGTCGTCCTTGGAAACTCGAATTCCGGACTGGAACCCGGTGCAATTGTCTACCCTCACCCGGCATCACGCAACGCAGATAGTAGCGGAGATATCGGCACCGATTTCAAGCCCGTCATGCTAGCAAAGGCAAGGTGGAAGTCGCGTGTAGAAGTGGACATCATACTCCAGAACCACACCTGCGTGCAAGGTAGCTACCTCAAAGGGACAGTCAAAATTCACATCAAAAAAGGCTCCAAGAAAGATGCACCATTGTTGTTTTCTCAGGGGAAAGTTAGGGTTGTTGGATTTGAGTGCATACCGCAGAAGGATAACAAATGCACGTTTTACAAATACTCGGCGCTTCTATCAGAAATTGCTCCATCGTGGAAAGGTCTCTTCAAATCATTACCCGATGATGATGGCTGGGCTGAAGCTCAGGAGGGCGTCCACGTCTTTCCGTTCGCGATGCTCCTCCCTTTAGATAGCGGCTGCGGCATGCCGAAAGGGGCGTTCAACATAGACTCCGGAGTGGCGATCAAATACATTGCTATGGCGTAAGTGCTGGAGCTTCTATGTTCAATCACCCGCATCTGCTGATAGTTGGTCAGCGAGATCAAAGTCAAGGACTCAGTAACATCCAAAGAATCCATTGCTCACTTCTACCGCGACTGTGAGATATGGCCACGTCTAGATGTCATCTCCACGCTCGCTACAAACTCCCGCCCACTAGTCGCAGAGGTTGCCGCTAGAGTGTTCATGGGTGGCCCAGGAAAAATCAGGTTGTCGGCTCGTATCCACCGATTTCATTGGGTCGCTGGCCAAAGTTGCACCGTTCATTTTCAAGTGGTCAATGACTGCAAGAAATTGGTAAAAAGCGCCACCATTGCGCTGATACGTACATTAACCGTGTTCGAGCCAAAACCGCACTTGGATGCAGGGGATGCTGATCCAGATGCTTGTCAAACCTCAACGAAGGTAAAGTGGGTGACGGAAAGCGTCCTTGAGTTGGGACAGCGTTTCTCCAAGGGACATGCGAGCGCAAAAGGGTGGTGGACAGGTGTCGCTCCCGGTCAGACGAGCGAGTTCAACCACTCTTTGATATTACCAGTAAGCCACGATCTCTTTCTGGCTACATTGTGGTAATTGAATCGTGATTGTCCTTGTAGCCCGACGTTCACTCTATTGCCCGAACGCGACTGCTGGAGGTTGAGTACGCACTTCGCATAAGTGTAGGAATTGGAAGATGTTTCTCGGACGTACATGTCATCCTGCCAATTCGAATCGTCAACTTTCTTTCGCTTGACCCTCCACCTACGGCGCCACTCCACGCTCAAAGCAAGCAACGCCCCCTAAAAGACTTTACGACGCGCGAACCGTGGTACCGAAAGTCGCGTGCTACAAGCAGAGATCTTGTAGAGACCGATGAAACGGTCCCTGGTATGAAGTATGCCAGGGACATAACAATTGCGACAGAGCCAGAGAATGTGTATGAGGTGCCCGTCCCGAGTGAGGAACAGCATGAAGGCCCGGACACAAGTGCAGATTCGGCGTCTATTTACCCACCTTCTCAGTCTGCGGATACCATCGAACACCGTGAACACCTTCTCCACCCCGTATCGGAGGAAGAGATCGATCAAGAGCCGAAGACACCCAATGGCATTACGAACTTCGGCAGACATATAACAGCTTCAAGCAGTGCAATAGAACCTCGTATCCTTGCGCGTCCACGAGGGCCCCGTTCAACGCCGATTCAGTTCCAACCTCAGGCCGAAGGCACACCCAATATGACGTTCCTTTCTCGTCGCATTGAGGAGCGAATGCAGAGTCCAGGCGCAAGCTGGGTAATCGTCAAGCCATTTACCGATCGTCGAGCAGATGCGATCAAGACGCAGAAGTCACGTATCCCGGACTTCGGGAGCTCATCGATGATCCTTCCCAGACCACCTGCGATATTAGATGAGCTTGCGATACGTCCAACGGCATCAACGTTGCTCCCAGGCAACCGATATGTGTGATAGAAGGCGCTATGTAACGATCCGCGGGTAGTTCTGGGGTTTCGTAGAGGGGACATAGTGTAGCAGAGCTCAAACTTGACTCGTTAGGCAATGATGTGAACCTCTAGCAAGTGATGAATTGGCACAAAGCTGTTAATACATGTCGATTATGCTAACAAGAAATGTTAAGCGATACATGATATGATTTTATATGATGACACTAGAAAGTCGACTCAACAAAAACACAGTTAACAGTCTTGTGTCTGCTTCTGTACCACCTTTCTCTCGTACTCTCGAGAGTGGATTGAACACTAATACATCTCCAAACTCATACCATCATGGATCTCATAATCCGAGAGCGTAATGTGGTCCTTGTAGATCGTATACCTGACAAGAAGAAGAGTGTCATGAGTATGCGTCCAAGAAGGAAACGTATACGATGATGTGTTGGCACAGTCCTGTGGCAAGAGAGAGCATCGTAGTAGCAGATGCTCACCATTTCTTCAGCTGAATCTTCTTAAAATCTGTACCAGTTTGAGCGGCAATGAGTTTCTTCAGGTCGCCCACAGTGTCATCTGGGCTGCACTTGACTCGGACTGGTAGATTGCTCAGGCTCGAGCTAGGATTCGGATCATGGAATGTGTGGACTCACCTTTTCGGCCCAGCCGATCGTTTGCAATCACCTGTGGTTAAGTGAGTGTTTAAGATCATCTTCCAGAGCTGCAGGACAAACCTCGATCAAAGGCATGAGTGGTACTAGGATGAGGAGATGTCGGAGGTTCCGGCAAGTTATCACGTATTAAGTGTGACAGCCGACATTGCGTCACACGTGACTGACGCGTGACTGCGCGTAACAATGCCGCCGAACTTAAAGCTTCACATCTCTCCTTCATGGCCATCCCACCCCGGACGACGACGCCTGGCGTCTACAGGCAATATGGCCAGCAGCATCCAGTGCAGCGCGTCGGACCAAATGTCACAGATGATTATGAAAGTGCGTACCTAATACCTATTTGCACGTAAATTTCACTGATTTACTGTGTGTCTTCAGGGTGGTATACTGAGGCGACACCCAGCAATCGTATGGTCTTATCTATACGCTCCGGCATAAACTCGGAGATTGCATGGGCGCTGGATAGGTTATATCGATTATGTGCAAATGATCAATTCATCTTGAAAACCATTCCTGGTTTAACAGACGCACTGTTCGAATGGCCAGAATGGTACGCGACGGAGGGATACCTAGTGGCAGAGCAGTATCGACTATTTGCTATGCCCGATGCTGAAAACAGAAAGCGACGGCATGCCCTAGAATCCATATTTATCCTTCGCAATTCGGCCACGAATGAACCCAATGCATATGAACTAGCTAATCATCCCCGAACACTCCCATTACTATTCAACGCCCTCACCAACCTCGATCCAGACACGGATATGAATGCTGAATTTGTTCTCAACGCCATAGAACTTCTGCAGGCTATATCCCTGGGCGTTATCCTGCCAGATCCCGCTTCGAACAAGAAAGATCCCCTCCCCACTCTGCTGCAAATTGCAGGTCACTCATCGAATCGCTCCCTTATCATCTCATCTTTGACCCTTTTGGCTCAACTTTTTTCTAACATACAAAACACACGCCGCCTGGATTCAGACTCCCCAGCGCTCGCTGCCTCTATACGTTACTTGCCTTTATTTGTCGATCGAGCATTGGTAGAAGCTTCATTGAACTACCTATATGCCCATCTTTCGCACCCACCAATGGTAAAGGCTTTTTTGCATCATCCTCTCATGCCAAGCACTCTTCGCGTGCTTGTTAGCTTTATTCTATCCGAACAAGTAGAAGAGGCCGTAAACCTGGATATTAGTGCAGTCACTCGTGCCATCCCAGAAACAACGGTCGTGATCCCCGTCCATGACCTTACCAAAGAGGAGCTTGAGACCCTAGTTTCAATGCCTGAACCCCAGCGCTGCTATGAATGGTGAGTACACGTTACGCAGACTGTATAGGACATGATAAAGTCATTATTCGTAGGATGAAAATCATGTTCGTTGCAACACCAGATGGAGAGCTCACTCAAGTCGATTTTTGGACTCTCTACAAAGATGCCTTCACACCGGTTTCGGACCGCTATCCTGTCCTGGTCGCATCAGACGTGATAAAAAACGTTAATGTTGTTTTCCCTCAGGCTCAGGCGATGGTCCTTCCGGGACCGCCACAGCGCTTTGTCGTGCGTGGAGTGGACAGACGTAAAGATACAGAAGCTGCTCCTCGTTTTAAGTGCTTGTGGGAGCGCTCCCAGTGTTCTGCTCCGCCATTTGAGGCCCCCGGAGAGTTGTACGACCACCTCCTTCAACATTTAGAGTTTTCTGAGAACCCTGAGCCACCATGTCTCTGGGCCACATGTCCGTTGCCATCAACATCAAAACAGCAACTACGACCTCATCTCCTCACACATCTCTCATGTTCTCAACCGCCCGCAAAACATCCTTCTCAAGATGACACAATCACTGTCACCGCAGACGGAGAGTCGTATCCCTTCACAGACCCCACAAAGCGACGGCCCCCTCCTCCAAGACAAACAAACATATCCTACACCCGGCCCGTCGCCGATCCTCCTTCAGCTGCACTTACTGCGTTGCTTATCATCCGTATCCTCTTCCGCTCGTCATTCGTCGCCACCTCGGAGACTGCCCCCCGTGTGGATGGCGAGCACTTTGGGTTCCCTGGTGTTGTGGAAGATGACGAGGGCGACGATGTGGTGGAGGATATTGGGGGCGAGCTGGAGGGCGAGCGAAGGGGCCGACGGGCGTTTGTAGGCGTTAGGAGGCTGATGGAAGACGTAAGGATGAAAGATGAGACGTTAATGAGTTGGATGGTTGAGATGGTTTACGCGGCGTATGATGGGCTGTTTAGGTCGTAGTGTATGGCCGGGAACTTACCCTGTGATGCAAAAATAGGAGCGTCTATCATTAGCTGCGCATCACCTCCACTAGGACACTCAGAGTATTACCACCATCACTGTATATATTCGACGCGAGAGACCACAACTGTCCTTTCGCCATTGTATAAGTATTCATGAATGCACCACGAAGTTCTTGGACCATCAGCTCGAGATATGTGACTATCATCAATAAACTATTTCAGGCAAGTGTACTACTACTATGGTACGACCTGAAAGTCCTGACACGACACACAGGGTCTCAGTCCATCACAAATCTCTCCTGGACATGATGAACAGCGCTTCTGGCAAGAGCTGCTGTCACTAGAGCCCGACCGTATCTTTCTAACACGAAAACTATCTACACTTTCCAAGGACGAGTGCCTCACTTCACACAAGGTCTGTCATCCACATTGTCTAACATCCAACACTATGTTACTGACAGACCAATCCCCGCCAGTAGCTCGTGCTCCATGCCCTCTTTACTGTCTGCATCATATTTGCAGCCGACCGCAAGGGCAAAGAGACCCGCACCCACGCAATCGACACGCTCTCTATCATGCTACGCACTGTACTTGCCAAGAACCTAGCAGGCTGGGAGGTGATGGAAATATTCGCTAACAGGGTGAATGAGGCTGACAGGGTGTTCATGGTACGGCCTGTGTGAAGCCTTCATCTCCACTATAGATTCACTAGGGCGTATAGGAGTTTGTTGGGATGGTCGCAGACATACTTGGCGATGATGATGCTCCTGGTGCGTTCTGAGAACAATTGACACGGACCAGTTCGACTGAACCTGATTTAGAGGCTCTTCGACATCAGGTTCTCCAACTAGCTGTTGTCTTCACGTGTAGCATCAGCCAGTTAAGCCCGGGCGCATATTTCCTGCGCCGAGACCTCTTCCCTTGCATTTCTAAGGTATAGGTTACTGTCTCTTGCTTTTCCTTCCGTATCTAAGCGAATGATCCTTGTGATAGGTCATCACATCCCCAGATACTCAACGCTTTACTTTTGAAGCATCGCTCCTCCTCTCTATTCTGGCGAATTTCCACAAATCTGATGCAGCGAAGCTTAATCCATACCTCCAGCGTATCCGTGATACGCAAGACACGGAAGTCATGCGTAAGATTTGTTGGGCAGCTGGGTTTGCACTCGATGCTGCTGTCAAGTGCGCTTTTCTGGGCTGTCACAGAAGAATTTCTGCTGACTTGGTGGTAGGGCATACCAAGAAGTCTCAGACGATTCGATCCCCACATTTGCAAAGAGCGTCGGGGCCCTGTTCACCTCATTCCTACCCGATCGCGCATTGGTAACGCAGTCACTCGACATACCTCTAGAGTTTCTCAAGACTCAGTACGTGAAATTATCAAACTTCATGTCGCATTCCTCTTACTGAGCAAACAGGCCTATCGAAGCAACTGTTTCGCTTCTACCCGTTTTCGAGTTCCTTTTCTTTAATCCCCTTTTTGCACAGGTGCTAGTGGATGTGATGCATAAGCCATCCGACAGCAAACAGAGCGCGCTGGTACCTCCGCTATCACATAACATCCTCTCGTTGTCATCCTATGTGTTGACTCATGCCTCGTCTTCGGCGTCACCCCGCACATTGGCATATGCAAAGCTTGCACTAAACACACTTCTTGTGATGTCTGAGAACGCGCATATAATGTCGGCCTTTTGTAAGCCAGCCTCCTCAAAGGAGGCAATCAGGCTGTGTCGGCAGGTCATTGCTTGTACACGTCTAATTTTACAACTAATACTGAAATGAATGCAGAGACTTCCACTCCTTCCAGTGCCATCGCCTACGCGTGCACCAATCTGCGCGCTTCTGGATTGTTGTGTATTGTGGCTACGTCATAATCTGCATAAGCGGCTCGAGGTGTACGCGTTTACGTGCGTTTCGTTTATTTCCTTATATTCGCTAAGACTGATTGTTAACGGTGAGATAGTACGTGTATTTGGACATGCTATCGCGTCATATGGTATCTACAGAAGGAAAGATTGCGATTAGGCGAGGTGATTTTACCCGATTGCTTACTCTTAATGTCTGACACGGTATTCTTACTCAGAATACGATTGGCTTGAATTGTGGAAGGCTATTGTTGACTTACTCGGGTTCCTTTCCGGCAAGCTAGACAGTTTGGTGACCACCGGAGGTATCGAGCATCTAGTGCAGGAGGTATGAGAATTTCGATGGACATTTGAAGTGAACTTGACCGTATTTGACAGACTATCCGGCTACTTGACCTTGCTTTGCGCAAAGCAGACCTATTTCTGCCCACACCGACCGCCGTTCATGAGTTCATCGTAAGTCAAAAAATAAAAATAATTAAATGTCCCAAATCGATAGGAGTCTTTCAGTATGAAGTTGTTCGCTCCTCCGCGGTGATTAGGAAGCAAACGCAGCTTTTAGAATCGCTAGGACAACCCACGTCCGTAGATCGTGGGGCGTCACTGCGTTCTGACAGCGCATCCAAAGCACTGTCTCGTGTTCTTTCCACAGTTGCTTACTACGAGGGGAAGCTAACTTCTTCCGGTACACGTAGCGCCAAGGACGCATTTAGGACTGTTTCAAAAAACATCGAACAAAATGGCTTACACAGTGCGCACAATGGGGATGACACAGACCCACCGTACGCCTGCCCTGCATGATATTTCTCAACGAATGCTGACCCTAATGATTGATGAAAGGAAACACGCGGAGGATATCGTCAGTTTCATTCGTGTCGCCTGCGCAGATGGCCTTGCGTTGATGTCATGAGTGTAATGAATTTCATGCTGTGAAATAGAGATAGTCTAAAGAAAACTGGGGGCGGCGGGCGGGGTTCCGTTTCCGTTGTTACGGAAGACTATTACCTCGATGTGTTGTCCGAGCGTTTAGATAACCACGTGCAAAGGTTAAAAAGTTTTTTCGAGATACCATAAATGGGGTCGAATGGTCCCCGAGCCTCATCTGAAGGATTGAAATAGCGGGCGGGTATCAATGAATACTGCAAGTCGTTGGCCATCTACTAACACGTCATTTGGCTGCTAAAGAATCGATGGAATGCCTCTCACGAAAATTGTAAGCAGCTACTTCAATCGGGCATTTATCAGCGCTTTCCCAGAGGCCTATCGATAACAATGTTCAAACGCGTAATGATACTACTCGGTGAATGAAAATCTGGCTCGGTGAACAAGGTCAGTGTCGTGTCACCCATCCCTTTTCTTCCGCACTCACCCGTCCATCTCTTCCTCTCATACAACCATCATCTGGCCCATCATGGCCACCCTGCGTATCGCGACTCGTCTCAGGCAGTCTGCAGCTCGTTCCGTATATCAGTCCCTTTCAGTCCGCGGACTCGCGACTGCAAAGCCTCCGGCAAATCTTTTCGAGTCACTCGACACTTTTGCTGATAGGCATGTTGGACCAGACGATAATGAGACCGAGTTTATGCTCTCAAAGCTCGGCTTTGACTCTATGGAGTCTTTTCTAGATGCGACTGTACCCCAGAGCATTCGCATTGCTAGCTCCACCATCAGCAATGCCTCCATCCCAGCACTGAGCGAGACAGAGCTTTATGCAAATGCGAAAAGGCTAGGTTGCAAGAATGAGCAGTTCAAGAGCTTCATTGGCATGGGATACCACAACGCCGTCGTGCCCCCTGTGATTTTGCGGAATGTGTGTCATAGCTCTCAGCTACCAAGTATTGTGTTGATCGTGTCCATAGGTATTCGAGAACCCTGCATGGTACACCCCTTACACCCCGTACCAGCCTGAGATCTCACAGGGTTTGTTGTCATTTTTTTCCACCTGGTTTTTATTCTAATGGTGTCACCAGGCCGTCTCGAGTCATTGGTGAATTTCCAAACGATGATCATGTCGCTCACATCGATGCATGTCTCAAACGCATCCCTCCTCGATGAAGCAACTGCTGCCGCAGAAGCCATGGTCATGGCATACGTGCAGTCTAGCCAGAAGAAGAAGACGTTCTTCGTCGACAAGGCGGTCCTTCCCCAGACCATCTCTGTTCTCAAGACACGTGCCAAGGGTTTTGGCATAAATCTTGTCGTCGGTGACGCAGCTGACGCACTCAAACACGACGCGTTACGCGCTGATCTCGCCGGTGTCCTTGTCCAATACCCTGACGTGAATGGTCTCGTCACCGACTACAGTGATTTCACGAAGCAGGTGCATGAAGCAGGCGCACTTGTTATTGTCGCGACAGACCTTCTTGCGTTGACAGTTCTTCAACCCCCCGGTGAATGGGGTGCTGATATTGTTCTCGGAAACTCGGCGCGATTTGGGGTTCCTGCTGGTTATGGAGGTCCTCATGGTGCTTTCTTTGCCGTCACAGAGAAGCTTAAGCGGAAAATGCCTGGTCGTTTGATTGGCCGGAGCAAAGATACCATGGGTAACCCCGCATATAGGCTGGCATTGCAGAGTAGGTCCTCCCTGCTATCTTCTATTTCGTGCTCTCATCGACCAAACGCAGCTCGAGAGCAGCACATTCGCCGTGAAAAGGCCACTAGCAACATTTGCACCTCGCAAGCCCTTCTCGCCAACATGGCCGCTATGTACGCGATATACCATGGCCCCGTAGGACTCGAGCGCATCGCAAAGAAGGTGCATTCCCTCACCCAGATCCTCAAGTTTGCTGTCGAGCGCCTCGGATTCCGCGTAATCAACGCGTCCTCCTACTTCGACACGCTCACCATCGATGTCTCAAAGCACTGCGCGAATGCTGAAGTCATGCATGCCGCTGCTGCGTTACAGGGCCTTAACCTCCGAAGAGTGGACAAGAATACCGTTGGTGTTACTCTCGACGAGTCAGTAGGCCAAGAGGACCTCCTATCCCTCATACACGCCTTCCACATCGCAGCGTCGCAATCAGAACCCAATCTCGCCGACCTGCCCGCTCCGAGGGAACCCGCATTTCCTCGTCAGCTGGTGCGCGAGTCTAAGTTCCTCTCGCACCCTGTTTTCAACAAACACCACAGCGAGACTGAGATGCTCCGGTACATATTCCACCTTGCGAGCAAGGACCTCGGTCTTGTGCATGCAATGATCCCTCTTGGCAGCTGCACAATGAAGCTTAACAGCACGAGCAGCATGATCCCACTTACATGGCCCGAGTTTGGTGGTATCCATCCGTTTGCGCCACATGAACAGGTTGAAGGATACAGGAAGATAATCAAGGTTTGTAGTGTCGATTTGTGGCGGAGCAGAGACACTGATCATTATTCGTAGGAACTGGAAGACGACCTTTGCAAGATCACTGGTTTCAAAGCTTGCTCTGTGCAACCGAACTCGGGTGCTGCGGGTGAATACGCTGGGTTGACTGTCATCCGGGCATACCATGAATCCCGCGGGGAGGGACACCGTGACGTGTGCCTAATACCCCTTAGTGCTCACGGGACGAATCCTGCGGTATGCTTTGTGTTGTCCTCTGTCCAGTGATAAACTGATGGAGGTGATAGTCGGCTGTGATGGCGGGCTTGAAAGTTGTTCCGATCAAGACACACGGGGATGGGAATCTAGACCTGGAAGACTTGAAGGCAAAGGCCGAGAAACACAAAGATAACCTCGCGGTCTTCATGGTGAGTTTTGTTCATATTAATTGGGACTAGAACTCATTCCAGGGTAGATTACATACCCCTCGACGTTCGGTGTTTTTGAAGATGGCGTTACCGAGGTACGCATCCTTGTCTCCCATGCTAGTCTGGAGTACTCAATCATATTTCACAGGCCTGCAAGATCATTCATGACTGTGGTGGACAAGTCTACTTAGACGGTGCAAATCTCAACGCACAGGTTGGACTGACGAACCCTGCGGTTTGCGGAGGCGATGTTTGCCATCTCAACCTGCACAAGACCTTTGCTATGTGAGTGCACAACGACTTGCATTGATAAATGCTCATACGTCTTTCAGTCCTCACGGAGGTGGAGGACCTGGTGTTGGGCCCATCTGCGTTGCCGAACACCTCGCACCCTTCCTTCCCTCGCATCCCCTGGTCAAAACTGGTGGTAATGCCGCCATTGATGCCATCTCAGCTGCCCCCTTCGGCAGTGCCTCCATCCTCCTCATTTCATGGGCTTACATCAAGATGCTCGGCGGTAACGGCCTTTCGGAGTCCACCAACATCGCGCTCCTCAATGCCAACTACATGGCCCATCGACTTGCAGGATACTACAGCCTTCGATTCAAGAATAAGAATGGCCGAGTTGCTCACGAGCTACTCATCGACCTTGCTGAGTTTGATAAGGCTGCAGGGTTGAAGGTGACGGATTTCGCGAAACGGTTGCAGGTATGTGTTATTAGAATCGGGTGTCGTCGTTGCTGACTGACGCATTTAGGACTACGGCTTCCACCCTCCTACGTGCTCATGGCCTATCTCCACTTGTATGCTGATCGAGCCTACCGAGTCCGAAACGCTCGAAGAGATCGATAGATTCTGTGATGCTATGATTCAGATCCGAAAGGAAGCGGAAGATATCATCGCTGGCAAACAGCCCAAGGACAACAATCTGCTCAAGAACGCACCACATCCGCTTTCTCTCATGGTCTCGTCCGACAAGGAATGGAACCGGTCGGTGGTTTCTCAAGGTTGTATTTCGTAATATGGCTGACGTGCCCCTTCTAGTCCTTATACGCGCGAAGAGGCTGCATATCCTATGCCATGGCTCCGCGAGAAAAAGTTCTGGCCGACTGTTTCTCGTATAGACGATGGTGAGTTTTCTCGCAAGCAGTATCCAAGGCATTAGCTTATTTCCACCATCCAGCCTACGGCGACCTTAATCTTATTGTAAGCAAATAATTTTATAACTCTTCCAAGCTTACCATTCCTGTTTTCAGTGTGACTGTCCAACAGTTGAGGAACTCGCATCCTCGTAAACTAATCATATCATATTACGACCAAGTACTCTAGATTTTTTTTCCTCTTGACTGTTTTTCTACTCCACTAGAACGCACACACTTGTCACGCGTAATGCTCAACCACACGCTTTGTACACTTATACCATTATTATTGTATTTACCATCACGAATAGATTTACGATGATCATTTTGAGTCTACATCTGTCGCGCGTGCTCTGATGAAATATCCGTCCAGTTCGGTAGGTAACGTATGCCACAGCTGAGGGAGATACGATTTGATGCGGTCCATCACCTCATCCTGCTGGTTTGTCCGTGCAGCGAACGAAAGAAGTACCTTGACAGTATTAACATCAGGCGAAATGTTCGGCTGATCTTTCCCCATCTCCAAACACACGACCTTGAGCGCATCATCAAGCTTCCCAACACGGCACATGCACTCTATCCACGTATTCCACGTCCGCAAGTTGAACTTGAACCCGATCTTGGTCAACTTCAGGCACACCTGCGCAGCCATGGGCCAGGCGTTCGCAAACCCACATGCGTCAATTATAATGGCAACGCTCGCTTGATTGAAGCGTCCCGTGATAAAGAGCATTTCCCAAATGCGGTATGCCTCCGCGAACAGACCAACGCGCTGATAGGCGTCCATCAGCTGATTCCAAAGCACTGTATCAGGCGTGAAGGAAGGGTCGAGCGTGAGGTGATCGTGTGCCCTCCGCACAGCCGCTGCAAGGGCATCACACTCATCAGGCGGCAATTCCCCTGCAAGTAATGCGAGATGCCGGAGGAGGATAGTATACACGGGAGCTGCAATCTCAACCCCTGCCGTCCGCATGTCCTTCACTACTTCAAAATAGTGCCACACGGACGGTGATGTCTCGTATTCTCCAAAGGAGAGCTGGGTCAGGGTGTGAAGGATTGCTTGGTAGCCTTTGGCATCGAGAGGAGGCGAATTGGGACGTTTGCATATTTGTTTATAGCCCTTCAATGCGTCATCGAAGCTGGAAGCACATCGCATGACAACGATGGCCAGGGAAGAAACAGCCATCGGGCTGTCGAATTCAATGTTTCTAGCCTCCATGTCTTCGAGGAGGGAGAGCGCAATTGGAAAATACTTCTTGACGTCCTTGGCAGTGCCAAATGCGCGGAATAAGATGTTGTAGAGGTTGGCATCTGGGCCCGAGGAATGCCGGCGCCCTGGAGGTTGTAGTTCTTGTTTTGACTGGGTGATCGGAGCGGCCTCAGCAAGGTCTTTGTACAGTTCTAATGCTCGATCAATTGCAGCATCATCGGAAGTGGTGCAGAGGGCATTGACTAATGGGTGTACCAAGGGTGTACCGGGAGTGATCCCAGCGGACTTGGACTCATCATAGATCGACAGAGCACCTGTCAGGTCGCCGATACGCACAGCATTACTGATCAAGATAGCCCACTGAATTATGGATGCCTTCAGGTGCAGTTCGGCTTCCGCGTATCGAAGGTGGTCGAGGCGGTGTGTACGCCGGATGAGAAGTGTGAGGGTGTGCGGAGTGAATTTGAAACCATCTTTCTGTAATGACTTGCACAAAGTCACGGCTGCAGCGATCCCCTTGTTCTCAGCTTCTCTCTCTATTCTCTCTGTCCATTCAATCACGTTGGGATCTGTCGTCCTCGACCTCTTGCTAAAACGTTTCCAATAATCGTCCTTGATCTCCTGAGCTCGATCCGCAAGACCAAGCTTGACAAAACCATCGTAGAGAAATTTCGCGAAGTTCTCATCGTACGTCAACGAGGTATGTTCCATGATATCTAGAGCGTCGTAAAATTTCTTGATTGGAGCACCGGTGTCGAAGAGAGCATCGAATAGAATTTCAAATGTCTTGATGGTGGGACGACGTCCAGAACGATGCATCTTGGAGACGCTGTGCTGAAGTACCCCGACCAGGTCAGATTTAGCACACCACTCGAAGAACATATGCCATTGTAAAAGTGTAGGCGTTATGTTGTTCGGCTTTTGAGGCATGGTCATAAGCCAGTTGAAAATCTTTTGTGGATTGCCATTTGCGATAAGGCCACGGAGGATGACATTGTACACTGTCACCCCCACTTCGGCACCGCAAAGCATGGGCAAGTCGACGAGGATTTTCACCACCATATCCAAATCATGGTGCCTACCCGATTCAGCTAGTACTGATAGCACGTTGCGGATCTCCTCTTCTTTGAGGGGTGGGGCCATAGTTTTATCCTTCCCTTCCTCGCCTAATACGCGAAATAGACCGTAAAACTGCTGGTGTAGAGCGCCAACATTTGCTGTTGGGATACATCGCCGGATTTTGTCAACAATGGCACCGACATCTGGGACATAGGAAAGGGAGGGGTCGTGTTTGGAAGTCAAGAATCGTCTCTGGTCTCTCTTGACGCAAAAGGCGGGTGCTGCACGACGTAAAGTAGGTGACCTCGAGACGGAACGGGTGAAAGAACCTGCAGGATGTGCTGACCGGGCAACAATGCGGCTAAAGGACATTCATGCGCGCTCAGATACCTGCGCTAATAGTTTTACCTGTCAGATTGAATACGGACGATCAGTGTCTGATTCCAGATAATTTCAATGCAGCCGTACCAACTTAATACTAGTTGCAAACCGGGAGGCGGTAAAGTGTCGTGGGAAATATATTGGGAGACGTGGTCAAGCACTTTGAACATATTCTAACTCACTCACAAACTACCATGTCTGAAAAATTGAAGGAGTTCGTCGACATTCCTCAGCAATTCATTCACGACGGCAACCAGGTTAGTATTGCTAGGCTCTGAATTATGCATAAAGTTTGCTGATTTGTCCTACCTGCCAGTTCCTTACACGTTGCACGAAGCCATCGCAAAAAGGTGCCTTCTGCGTTCCATCTACATATACCACATAGTGCTGAAAGTACAATTACAGAGTTCATTCAAATTTGTAGGGCAGTCGCTGTCGGCTTTGCTGTTATGGGTTTCATTGGATACTTCGTAAAACTCATTCACATCCCAATGTACGTCTTACACGTTGTCTCTCATGCTTCGAAACTGATATCGTCATTTCTAGAAACAACATTCTTGTGTACGTGTTACTGTCTCTCAAAGTGCTTCTCTGTGCTCACGTTTGGACAGCGGAGGGGCTTAACTTATTCATCTCGTTAATATATGTCCCATTTTCGCATGTCGTAAACCACCGGCTCAGACGCTCTGTATCGCATCTCCCTCCCTTTATCCACGCATTCCTTGCAGTCACTTGCTAGATGATAGGCTCCCATCGAACCATATGTTTGTCCACAGAATGCTGCGAACCGATCCCCCATACTCCTGTTGAGTAAGTCACGTTGTGTCTCAATGGCGTGCGTGCGCTTGAGACAAATACATGCGAGTTCCGCCTGTTATGGCTCGACTGAGATAGCCGGTGGCAATAAATCTAAGGGAGCAGAACGAGCATTCGGTATGCCTGGTGCTGCTCCAGGCAGGTTCTGCTTACGCTGACAAGGGAACCAAGCGTAGAGCATATTCTGTCGATGGTTGTGTGCCCGCGTGGTACCTGTTGCATTGGGGGATGTGCTATTTCTTCTTGTCGTTTATTGATCTTGGCAATGATGCGCTCTCGAGCTTCAGGGCGCGTCATAGTAGCGAGTCGTAACATCAATACCGTTTTACGCTCACAACGTTCATGCTCGTCATTCCTCCTCAGACTCGCTCTACTCAACCAATAACATTTCTTCCTAATAGCCGCATAGCTATTGATATGTGCAGACCAAGTACTTTGTTGAAAGTGTTGTTGGCAAACCTCCCGAGTTCTGCAAACCAGTCTTGCGAATTATTTGTGCTTAGTCCACGGCAGACTCAACTCACGCAAGGCACAGGTTTTTCGATGAGAGCTAGCTGTAGTGTACGATAGCGTGGCGCCAATGGTCGAATACATTACTAGCAGTCTGTACGTTTCAGTTTCTCTAAACAGCGAGTAAGATCATTGACCGATGCTGAAATCCACGGTGAAGATATGGCTTTCGAAGCTCACATAGCTGCTGAATCGAGAGCAAGAGATGGATACTCCATGATCTTGTGCAAGCAGGTGAGATAGCTGTCGTCAAGAGATTCAAAGAGAAAATCATCTGTAATATGCTTGCAAGCTCTGTGCGTCGAGAAATAGACGAGATATAGTTGCATTGATACTACGTCCCTTATTTCGCGCATCTGATTTTTTATTATATCACCGACACCACGCAAAATACAAGATTTGCTGCAGATACCGTAGAAACGGACGAACTATCGCCAATCATCCCTGTCACTACAGCTTTTTCAAAAGGGTCCTTTCCTACGTATCAGTGTATGTGGGATCTCTCCCACATTTGTGAAAAGTCGGGGATATCGTGTTCTGCCTATTAGACTGGTGACCACACCTACCGACCGCTTGCCTGCTTCATTAAACGGGCTGGCTGCTAGTATAAGTTCTGCCGGTTATGACCTTGGAGTAGAAAGGAAGTTGTCAGACACAAGTTTTTGGATGGGCTTTGGGGCCATGGTAATCGCTAACTTGCACACCAAGAGATAAGAAACAAATACCTTATTTATGCGGGCTTCTGCCAATCACCCCTGCCAGCGAGTGTCAATAGCAGAATGGCAGCATTCTCCTACCAATGGCAACGTTGACGCTTCGTAGATCATGTCAGCTAAAAATGGTCGATGCTAGTTCTACCGGTTAGGCAGAATTATCAAGTAGTTATACCGTCTCAGATATCGATATCTTCAGAAAATATTACCACTCCACGAGCCATATCTTGATGTCTGTATACCAAGAACTGCTTCACAATAGTTCTAGGCCATGATACTGAAGTCGAGCACCTACTAGTGTTATGTTGGCTCTTGATTTAGCCTTAACCGTCATCGTGGTCCCCTTAGTGCACGAGCATGCACCTGGCAGCCATGCGGGGCACTCCCATGCCCAGGAAGTCAGATTATGAGGAGCAGAGCTTGCCAATTAGACATTGGTAGCGAGTCGACTGAGTACTGTTGTGATTAGAGCGGCTAGTAGTAGCGGCGGGAAAGCACTGTTGTGACGCAAATGATGGGTCTGGGCATGTCAGTGATAAAAACTCTTTATTAGAACACGTACTGATTCGGAGCAGATAAACTTGAAGCATACCCAAAAGATTGTATTAAATTTGTATATGCATTCGAATGATGTCCGAATCTTACTAAATAGTACTGTGATTCGAAATTTACATTACAACGCACTTGCATCAGACTGCGAAACAGTGAGCATTAGACCTCGTTCGAACTTTGTAGACTCTTCACCTTCTTGACTTTCGTTTTGCCATTGCCCTCTGTCACGTATGCATCGAGACAGTCCGAGGTATCTCTCACCTGAGGGATTTGGAAGCAGTGAAAGCTAGTCACGGTACTAGTATAACGTAGTGCTGGTCGACCTGATTTGAAAGTAAGTACTTCGCTTCGTGTTCCTTTCTCACTAGGAACCTTCAAAGCCACCGAGGACATTTCTCAGCAAAATGGTATTCAAAGTTTTGAATTTGGCTGTCAAAGTCTGTCAATTCACATCGGGGCGGCTCCGTATATCATCGCTACTTGCACTGCGTACACTGTTTGGTAGTGAGGGACGTCTTCTCCTGTATGATGCTCGAATCATTTGACGGAATTGCGAAGATCAGAACCACTTACTAGAGACGGTGTATTTAGAGTGGAACACCGCACAGATTTATCGATGTTGGATGCTAGCACAACTTCCTATGAAGTAGGTAGTAGTGATGATGTGACCGGCAATAGAATATATTCCCCAGTTATCAAGAAGAGGTAGACAGGGATGAGACGCTCTGCTGATATCCTGCAGAAGTTCGAATCTCGTTATTTACGTACGTTCTAACATTGCATCCCGCTGATTCGAAGCCTTGAGATACATGCAAGAGATTCACAGAACGCGGTCGAGGTGTTTGTAGATGCAGACAATTGTCGAATGATATCCTGAGAGCACAGTATCAATGTGTTGATCAAAACAGCTTCATATTGTAGAAATAGCTGCGAACACATCCACTCAGCGCCTATCGAGTCTCCACCAGCAGTAAAGGGAACCGGGTAGAAACCTTGGCAAGCTCCACAGCTGACAAAAATGTAGTGTCTGCCCCAGGCACACCATAGGTCAGCAGTGCACTTATCTTATCTGCACCTTCCTTTGCGGGTTGCATGGAAGAGGAAGGCGGAAGAAGTGCTGAAAGTAACAATTGAGTCCTCATCAAGCATTCCTTGGCAGCTTGTTCTGGATCGGGTTGTAGATGACCCCCGGAAGATTGAACCTATAAATTCCATTGTTAAGAAGTTGCATCGCAATGGTAACGGATACGTACTTCCGACTGCAGCGCAGCGATCAGTTTGTCAAGTGAAGATATCTCAAGTGCCTCCGAAGGCCATACCAACGCAAGACTTCGCAGGAAGGTTGCATCATTTAACATCTGCATATTCCGACCTGTAGCACTGTTCGACATATCACGGGTGAATTTGTCAATGAATAAGCTAAGGAGTGATGACGTTATGCTGGTGAGCTGTGATGCGTGATGCGTGAGACCCAAACTGTGCAAGGAAGTCGATAAAGTATGTAGGCTTTCCATCAGGGCTGGTGATGGCCCTGTACCAGGATATGTTTGACAGCGTCAGAAAAACGTCTTGCAAGGCAAACAAAGAACAGACCAGAAAGTGTTAAATGCAATTTTGCGTCATCATATACTGAGATGGCAGAAGAAACAGTATGCTCCTTCCATCGGTTGATGATTCGGTCAAATAATAAACCGGTTTTGTCTCGAAATTCTAGACGACTCGGTTGTTAACAATCAGGTATGTATGGTTGGTGATATGATCAACATACGCAGTGCATCAACCTCGTCACAGCCTATATTGTTGAGGAAAGGCGATGTCAATGATATTTCGACCGCCACTCGACTAAGGAAGATCATATTTCTCATCGCCTGAGCAGTGTCTTTTGTTTGATGAGTTTGGAGGGAATTCGGGTGTGTTGTCGTCTTACCTGACTGGTTCATCAACTCATCAGTAGTTGAAACAAGAGCGTCGGCAATCGTAGAACAAAAAGCCTTCGCCTCCGGGAGATATGCCTCAACTAGATTACGAGTCAACCTCCTAGATGCCGCAGCTTGATCAAAAGATATTCAAATGAAACAAAAGTATGAACACACTTGCTGCTCTGGTCCGAACTAATACGGGTATAGTTTTTTTGCAATGAAGCTGCAGATTCCTCCAGGATGTTTAAAAAAGTTTGCAGGCGAGGTGTCCGACCACGAAGTTGTGACTGTAAAACTGCTCTATATGTTTGGTACGGGAGTTCGTATGTCGAAGGTCCACTCCCTGTCAGGGGCGGGGGTGGGACAGATTGGAGTACATATATGCTGTCTAGAGGAGAAAATACTGATAGTCGAGTGGTCCTTTTGAACCATGCTTTTACAAAAAGCACCAAGATACATACCTTCAGTAGCGGCTCCACTACTTGCAGTAAGTGATGATAACGCCTTCAAGAACAGCTCTTTCGCCTCGTGAATGGTATTGGTCCATATAGCGGTGACTCGTTTTCTGACGGCTTCTTCGAATAAAGTATCGAGTGCCGTCTGCTCCGTTTTCACCAATCCCGATGTGAGCAGCCATTTTCGCAAGGAAGACCTAACATTCCAAACGCTCTTCACACTGTCCAACTCCAGCAGCCAGCGGTCCAAAGAATCCCGAAGTATAGAGCAGGACTGGTCAAACCAAGTTCGTAGTCTATCCTCCAGAAAGTGCCCTGGCACGGAAGACGAAGCGGAAGATAATTCGATGTAAGGTTTGTATGACCTGATACCAACTGGAAGGAGAGTGTAGTATGACGACGATGGAAGTCCAGAAAGAATTGTCTGGGTGCTCAATGCCAGTTCAGAAGGAAGTGTAGTCTCTGAGTCAGATACGGCGGGTGATTCTGTATGTATCTGCTCCAGTACGCGGATTGCCAGGGCTGGCTGTGCGGGTCTCTGACTCTGGAATACGTTCCGGGCGCAATTTACGGTCCTTGATATTACCTCGACGAGGACTAGCAGTGAGGACTTCACTTCTTGAAGTCTGTTATTGGGAGGAATGGATTTAGACTGGACCAGCTTGGAAGCCCCCAGAGGATGACCGTTCGTCTGTGTCGTAGGAATGCTATTGGGTGTTGCAGTTGTCATGATGGTTGCGTTTTTTGAAACCAATGCATGCATGGTCCGTGTTCTTTGGGAGAGATATGTTGTCAGAGTGTCTGTCAAAGGTCTTGATTCGAGGACATGGAGAGTCAGAATAGTTGCGCAGGTGTCCTAGATTAAGAGCATTAGAAGACAGCGTGCACAACATAAAAAAGCGGACCTCGGGTGACTTCTCGTGTATCCTCAGAGACAATGTGGCTCTATGGACAATCTGAGAGCGAAAATGAGATATGGTCTCCCACTGTCGCTGGATGAGTGGAAATTGCTCCTGGATGCGAATGTCAGAAGGTAAGAAAGATAAAGATACTTGACGCAGAATTTACCATGACATTGACACCTTGGTTTAACCCACTGTCCTCATCTTGGTCATCGTCGCGAGAAAGTGCCCGGTGCACGACGCGTGCCAGCATGAATAACCAGGTGGCATGGAAATACTTTTCTCTTTCAATCAGTCGCCATAAATGTTCTGGGGCATCAAGAAGCAACTTTATGTGGGCAGAGAGCACTTGCAATGTTTGTAAATGCGAGTCTGAAATACGAATATGAAGTAATGCAATATTATTGGACAGACTGGTACTGACCTTCCTTGCCTGCATTCGAGGCACGATTTTCCCTGTGTGGCTGTTGGCGAGACGCAATAGCATCTTTGGTTTCTTGGAATGCCTCTTCTACACGCTTTGCAGACTTTGACATCGAAATTATGGACGTAGAGGCTTGTAGGAGATCACGATACCGTTCCCTGCGCTTTCAAAGTACAGTCAAAGCGCGAAACGTATTCAGGTAAAAGCACGCACCCGACCATAATACGAAGCTCCTCCTGCTTGGCTTCAGCGTCCGATCTGGAATCTTGCATTGAGCCAAGGCGACTGACACGGGTAGGTCTTGACGCACCTTAGCTGAACTTGTTTCGCCCTGACCTCAGGAATTGTATATTTCGCAAACAAATCATCTGGGTCTATGTCCGCGGTCCCATCCTGTACCCTTGAAAAATGAGTGGATGAGACTGAACGGGGGAACTTCAGTGCTGAAGGAGACGGCGCGAATGTTGATGCTGAAGTTAAATGGGACAGTTCTGGAAGGTTCTTGATCGAACCAAACGATGCGACCGACACTGTAGACGGTCGCCGAGCCATACATACGAGATCGTTAAAGTCCGACGATAAGTAATGTTTCACCGGGCTGGTGGACTCGGAAACAGTCTGACGTGGTTCAGCAGAGTTGGTATATTACGTAACCATGAGGGCTATTGCTATGTAGTTGGACAAATGAAAATGAAGACGTGAGATGTGCTCCATGGATACTAGCTGATGATGATCATTACGCCATACACTATCTTCTCCCATCATCAGAGCCTGATGTGTCTGCTACATCCATTTCCACCGGGCTAGATTTTCTTTCACTTTGTGCTGGAGCAGGCACGGCAGGTGAGGGTCTTGAAGACTGAGCTTGAGATACTCCGCTCTGAGTTGGTGAACCACTGGAAGAGTTGGCCAATCGTTGGTCAAGTGCCTTCAGTGCAAGTGCCCTGGAAGTAAAAGTTAAGAGGGTTGATTGGCCAAGGGAATCAATTACTGACCGTCGCCTTTCAGCTTCGGCTCGAGCTCCACCTGGCACCTGGCTATACCCTCCAGATTCAATGTCATGAGGCACAGAAGTAGGAAGAAGGTGGAGACGTGTTGCAAGTTTGTATACTGTGTTTCCGAGCCATGATAGTGGTGTGCTAGGGGGAAAAAATGGTATCCGCAGCGGGAAAAATGAAATGAAATACTCACTGAAGGAATGGTGGGAACCAGCTTATCAAGGCAAATGTTTCGCTCCGGTCTCCGTATGACACTACGCCTCCTAGAGTGTCACTAACATTGCGCTTATAGAAGCGGAGGTATATCCATGACACAAACCAGCCAAACTGGATGAGAATATATGGGCTTTGGAAGCCAAGTAATGTCATCACGGTCGAAAAAGTCAAGTACGCCATAGGAAGCCTCTACAAACGTGGTCAGATCGACAAGTGATGGACAAATTTTTTTTACCTTGACTCGGGCCTTGATAAAGCCCAAAATTTGAACTTGATGCTCGGGGATAACTTGAGTAAACGAAACAAGTAGGCTGATAAATAGTGCCATTTGACCGTGATACTCCATGCCATACCTGTATTGTCCATGAATGTGAGGTGCTGCCGTCTCAATATATGTGGGAAACTTACAAGAACAACTCGGCATTACGCGTCACAGCGAATTCGATCCAGTTGAAGGCGCACCCGATGATATTCGGCCCAGTCACGCATACGACAATAAACTTGATAGTTTCAACAGTCCCCCACAGGCGCTCAAAATAAGCTAACGAAGCGGGAACGACAAGAAGTGAGATAATGAGCTATCAAGAATTTCAGTATCAATAGACGCCGTCCTCGATCGTAAATAAAACAATGCTTGCCTCGACGACGCTTATTTCGACCAGGGCTGAGGTTGCAAATGTCCAAGGAAAGAACAGGCTTGTTCCAGGTACCAATGTCAAGTAAGCAACCGGTGTAGGGCCTGTGGTCCATCTTATCCAAAGGTACAATGTGGAGAAAGCTAAGGTGGCCGCAGTAAAAAAACGCGTCACCGGTGGTACAGATTTGATGTATTGCAGTGGTGTCGAAAGGATAGCCATTGTGACACGTCAAAACCAGGGAAGATCGTCGGGTATGGCTAATAGAGGTCCCGACTAGAACCAAATCTCAGGAGAGTGTATTAGAGACAGTCGTCGTCAAGAGTGTCCTTGAAATTGTTGCACTGAATAAGCCCAATGTCACAAGGGCAAAGTGTACTACTGGACTCGGTGTGCCGAGTTTGCCGCTGTTTACTTGAAAGTACAATTACTTCCTTACGTCAGCAGGCCTTCCTTGCTTCACCTCGTCATCTGCTCAGGTAGCCCCCGATGGCGGACTACAACTTTCGCCCAGGAGGCTCACTCAAGCTCAAAGGCGGAGTTTCTGAGGGAGGTATAGTGAAGAAGTATGTATCATTACTTCTTACCATTCGGTGCACTTGACAGATAAGCAGGAAGAAGAAATCTAAACCCAAATCAAGCTCGCAATCTGATAGTGCGAAGGACCGCGAGCGTGAACGACTGAAGGAATTATTATTCAAAGAAGAAGCGGAACTTGCTAGTGATTCAGCTTCGGGTAGCAACTCTTCTGCTCTACCGGGCAGTGATACCAGAAAAACGGACGCGGAACGACGTTTTGAGGAAGCGCAAAGGCGCAGGGTGAGTTTTGCACTCGAGACAAAAACGCTCCAGATATTGACGCCAAATTCCAGCTCGAAACTAAAGTAGCTCAATTGGCTCGTAAAACGCACAAAGATCGCGTCAACGAGCTTAATGCTAAACTTGAGTCGCTAAGTGAGCACCACGACATTCCCAAGGTATGTACAATTTTACGGCGGTCCGTGCAAAAGTCTCACGGCATTCGTTAGGTTGGTCCAGGATAATATTTACAAAAAAATTGCGTTCAGTCCCCGCGTTCGGCTCAAAGACTATGTGTTTGTGCGGGCCAGGCGGTGCAGAATTTCAGTGGCAACGAATATCTTCTTATCATCATCATGTCCTTGTAGACTGCTTGAAATTCATGTATTTTACACGCGAAATGCTTGGGGTTCCACTATTGCCACATATTTGTTAGGTTAGGTTGATATAAGTAGCCACGGATGATGCGGTTCATAAATCCGTGACCACTCTTGACCCTTTCCTTCACGTTCATTCTCTGCATCATGTCTGCTGCACTGCAGACAGAAAAGAAAGGGCACATCTGCCCTCCCTCAAATGCTAAACACCCCTCTGATAGATGGGAGTCACTATTTGTGTACTCTTTCATATGCAAATTCACGAATCTGAGGTCGAAGGTGGAGGGATTGGAAACACCGATGGAGTGAGCACACACCCGCACTACATGCACCTCACTCGCGTCAACTAAACACGCGATTTCCCCCGATGACAGCTTTGAAAATGCCCTCTTAACGCATGGTCCAGATCCCATACTGCAAAAGATTTTACAGCAATTTATACTGAATCTGCGGACCGCAGACGCGTAATTTGAGGTGAGCATCGTTTGCCACAGCTCGTTCACACAAGGGGAATGATTGACCGTCATTGTGCTTTGTCAGTATTGATCAGATCTCTGCCACTTTGAATGCTGTCCTTGCAGATGCATTCAAGGCATCGGAGCGAACTGTGTTCTGGGACGACGAACTTAGGGCGAATGTGAACCCTTTTGCCGATTTAGAAGGCGGTTTTTTTGCAAGCCGATTGGGATCTCAAAGTTTGTCATTGTCTTGCCATGCTGTACGAATTACCCCTGAGCGCGCGTCACGTTACATTCCATACAGCTCCAAGTTCTTCGCCAGCTCGTGGAATTGCAGCTCACGCATTCCAATGACATAAAAAGCACTGTGGATCGCGCATGGGGCGTGATGCAAAACAAGCATAAGAAAAAAGACCCTGAAGCTGCCCCTCCTGAATCCAATGATTCCAAGAGCCAGCAGAATCTGCAACTTGTTCCATTAGGCCAGGATGCACAACGCAAGCGGTACTGGGTCGCAGATGGTTCGTGTGTCTTTCATTTCAAGCTCCTCGCCCTCTTTCCTATTTGCGTGTATTTGGTGCGAGGCCGCATTTTTTTGGTCCCCATGTTATCCGGCGTTAGCCGTTTGTAAGGATTCCCGGCTGACTCCCGTTTCTAATCTATCTTAGATTCCCCACGGATATACGTTTCAACTAACCCCTGGAAAATCACTGCGACGTTCCATGCGGTTTCTTCAACGCGTGAAGAGTACCTTTCTGTGATTGAGAAGCTAAAAGCATCTTCCCCGCAAGGCGATCGTAAAAACAAGCTAGAACAGGCCCATGCTGCACTGGTCAAGGCACTCGAAAGCCGGATAGACATTGTTGAGGCGGACTTAGCGGTGAGTGTTTGTTTGTGCTGATCGGTAGTAAATAATAGATAGATACCGCTTTTACTTGAAACACTTACTCACGGATTGTTCAGCGCGTACAAAGGGCCCGCAAGAAGATAGAGCAGCGTCAGATACTCATGGCACAAGCTGAAATTCGACAGACTCGCACGCGACGACAAACTCGTCGACCCGACTACGTGTACCATGATGCCGAGAGTGGGGAGGCAAGTGGTTGGCATGAAGTTTAATTTCGATTGCTAACTTATTTTTATGATCAGGATGACGCGGATGAATATCAATTTGAGGAAGACAATGACTATGATGACGAGCCGTTTGCGGAGGATAACTTTGGTAGTTCCCGATCACACGGCCGTCGACAGCCGGCTGTTACTGCGCAGCGGAGATCCACTCGTGCCACAAAAACCAAGCGACTCTCCCCTGATTTGTCTGCCTTTGAATGGAAAGGCGAAAGGAGGTCGGCTCGTCTCGGCCCTTCTGAAGAGACAATTGTGGAGCGTCCATCAAAACGTGCTCGAACGGAAGAAAGCACGATGAGTTCTACGTCTACGGGCTGGCCCCCGGTCTTGCCAGCCGAAAATTCAAACGGCGTCTCCAAGGCAAAAGCGAATGGCGCAGCAGCTGTCAAACCAACTGAGATCGCAGTTGAACAGCTTGGAGGGAAAAAGAAGAGCAAGTTTTGGTTCTACGCCGTGGAACCGATCTCTGCGCCTTCTGACGTCCTACCACCTGATGGCAGTGGTTCAACCTCCCTGAACGGTCATGAACACGACGGAGATACCGGCCGCTCCGGCACCAGTAGTAACACTTCGCTCCCGACACATGGCAAGGGAGATGTAATGAGCATCGACGGCCAGAGGGAGTTTGGATTTTCACCAGTTCCCCTAGAAGGATTGTCGAGTGCATGACTTTCTATCCCGTGGCTTGACTCGACTCATGGCATTTATCCTTTTTTCATCAATTTACTCGCACTCCATAATATTCCACATACCAGCAAAGCTTCATTGATTGATCAGCCTAGTCTAATCATCCATCTTATTACTCCCTCTGACCTATGTAGGTCTTTGCAGTGATGATACAGCGATGAACGTTTGATCCTCCACGTTTGTACTATATATCTATTCATTTTTTCCAAAAAAGAACGCGACAAACTTATCATCTCATCTTGTACTACGTGCATTTTATTACGATACTGATATTTTTACAAGTGTAACCAACCTTCCGATTGATAAGTTCCTGATGTTTTTTGAAGGCTGTTGGGCGCGAGCTTGTCGATTGCATTTAGGTAATAATATCTGCGGGTGCAATTATCGGACCAAGTCCAAAGTCACGGTAAAAGCCTTCGGCGGACTTCAAGTTTGCTTCAACACCACGTCCAGCGCTGTCGAATGATTGCACGTATCGCGGAGAATGCTTTCAAGAAGATATCGCGATCTGTACCGAAGTTTCGTGGTGATCTTCGTGCCCACGAACTTGGTCTGGTCCGCCGAACAGCATCAACTCTGGTGAGACCTCCGTCCTCGGACGATGCAGAACTGGTCTCTCTCTTCGACCAACCGCAGACAGGGCAGAAATCCTCACCGTTATTTCTCACAGGCATTTTTCAGCATCCTCAACTGACAACGCCAGCTGCGTTCAGTGCGCTCGCTGACTCGACCCTCGTACGCGCGCAACTCCTGACAGAACGAATATTGCGGGCTAGGGAATCTCGATCCGAGCTCTTCAAAGTGATCAAGAATCTGGACAGACTCAGCGATCTCCTGTGTGGTGTCATCGACCTGGCAGAGCTCTTGCGGAATGCACATCCTGATGCCCAGTGGGTGGATTGCGCTACGGAGAGCTACGAGAAATTATGCGAGTTCATGAATGTACTGAATACTCATGTCGGGTTATATGAAGTGAGTTAGCCACTTTTTCGTATCTCAATATGTCACCTCTTTTGGCAGGTGCTGCACACTGTACTACACGACCCAGAAATCGTCAAGTCTCTCAGTCAGGAGGCACTTCAAACAGCGCTAATATTCTGGCACGATTTCGAAAAGTCTGCTATCAAACTTCCCCCGGAACAAAGAGAGAGATTCGTGTCCCTTTCGTCCGAGATTCTGTCTGTGGGTCACGAATTCGTCACGGAAGCTTCTGTTCCGCGGCCGCCGGTGAAGATCAAGCCCTCCGAGCTCGAAGGCTTGAAGGACCAAGGGATGGGCGCTCGTCTTCAAAGACAAGCATTTTTTACACAAAAGGACTTGCTGGTTTATCCGGGCTCTCACCAAGCCTATATGATTTTGCGCGCGGCGCCTGATGAAGAACCGCGAAAAAAGGTCTACATGGCAGGTCACACGAGCAGTGCAGAGCAAATTGACCGCCTTGAGCGGCTGCTGAATGCGCGTGCTCAACTGAGCCGCCTTGTAGGGCTGGAACAGCTATGCTGACATGACGCTCAGCGATAAAATGGCAAAAACTCCGGGTGAGCAGTTACGTGCGATAGTATGTCGGCCAATCCTGATGTCCCAGTTACGTAGAAAATGTCAATCATTTTTTGGGTACCTTCTTGGATCGGACCTCACTCGTTGCTCGCAAAGCATTGCATACATTGAGTTTGCGGAAGCAGGCCCACCTTAAATCGGCGAACCTCCCTATTATTCAGGCGTGGGATAGAGATTATTATTGCCCACCCGAGCCGCCAGCACCACCAGTTCCTCTCCCTCCTCTTTCACTCGGACGTGTATTTATGGGCCTTTCGCGACTATTTAAACACCTCTATGGAATCACGTTACGACCCGTTGATGTCGCATCTAGCGAAGTATGGCACTCTGACGTACACAAACTAGAAGTGGTTGACGAAGACAGAGGCGTCGTTGGTTGGATATATGCTGATCTCTTCGCCCGTAGTGGGAAGTCGCGCGGAGCGGCACATTACACTGTTAGATGCTCCAGACGAACGGATGATGATGATGAAGCTGGTGACCTACGAATACCCGGAACAGACGAGTTCGTTGGTTCCTCTATCGAATTCGAAGCAATTAAGCGGCACAGACTACGCGGCGAGCATGGCGAGTTTCAGCTGCCACTAGTAGTCCTGCTTTGCGATTTTGTACCACCATCCGCTGCTCGGGGCCCTACCATTCTCGAATGGTATGAAGTTCAGACCTTGTTCCATGAAATGGGACATGCCATGCATTGTGAGAGTTCATTATTCTCGCTGAGATCATGACTATTTATGAGACAACAAACTTCAAGCCATGATCGGTCGAACAGAGTACCACAACGTTGCAGGGACGCGCTGTGCAACCGACTTTGTCGAGCTACCATCCATCCTCATGGAGCACTTCCTCAACTCCACAAAAGTTCTCTCCCTCTTCGACACCGACGACTCTTCTACAATCAACCAAACTGGCAATCACCACGAAGATCCATGTCGGTACATTGATACCCACAATCACATCTTACTTTCTCTGCTTGATCAGATATACCATTCCCCCTCTGTCCTTGAGCCGGGCTTCGACTCGACGAGCGCTCTCGCGAACTTGTACAATACTCGCGGTCTGATCCCGCATGCGCCTGGGACGTCCTTCCAGACGCAATTTGGGCACCTCTTTGGGTACGGTGCCACGTATTATTCGTATCACTTCGATCGTGCTATTGCATCGCACGTGTGGCGGAAGATCTTTTCTGCTGACCCACTCAACCGCGAGCTGGGAGAGAAGTACAAGCAGGAGGTGCTGAAGTACGGTGGTGGGAGGGACCCGTGGATGATGCTCAGTGCATTGCTCGATGCTCCTGAGCTAGAGGTCGGCGACGCAGACGCCATGCGGGAAGTTGGTAGATGGAGGATGGAAGACGGAGTTGTTCCGGTAAGACATTAAGATCATAAAACTGTCCACTACTGCATTGTTCTCTCAGACTATATCAATCATTGCAGGAATTACAACACGGTTTTCTTGTTTGATTCCGGTACATACAGAGCGAACGAAAAAACGTAAAATGTGGAATGAGTGCCATACGTGATGCATGATGCAGGGTATATTATGCAATGTCTAATGAGCACGATGATAAGCAGAGATATGATATGAATAATATTACATGTATCTTGATAGGTCGCACGATGTACACGGACAGCTTGATCGAGTATTTCAACAATTATCTGACTCCAGATCAGAAACGAAGCAGCCAACAAAGAATGAGAACACTTACACAGACACTGCTAGATCCTGCTCCAGTATCCGTGTTTGTTCCCTTAGAAGCTGGAGTTGCTCCAGCTTCGCCAAGCGAGCACCATCTGCAGGTGAGGAAGGCTGTGGTTGTGGAGGAGCGTATGACAACGGGGGGAGCTGGAGCGCAGAGAGATCGATCTCTGGTAATAGCTGTGAGAATTCATTGTAAGACGATGGTATCGAGAATTGATTGATGTCGGACAGGAAGGGTTGTTCCGAGGAGTTTAAAAGATCCGTCCAGCTGAAAGGGTCTAAAGGAGCAAGGTCAATGAGGTCTACTGGCGCCTGGAAGGTGGTGTCAATTGTCGTAGAGACTCCAACTGCCTCGCCAGAATAATTGGGAGGGATTGCAGATATCGCGTTGAACAAATTGAAATTGTCGAGGTCACTTAGATCAGGCGCAGGAACAGGAGCGTGGGAGGGAACTTCCAAATTGGCCAATTTTGGCTCAAACGATACGACTGTTGTACTAAAATCAGTGGGAATTGTAGGGTATGATAGTGCAGACATACGGTCAGGCTGCATGTATTTTTGTTGCAAGGGTTGTTCAATGGAATTTATTTGCGTGTCAGGAAACGTGTATCCGTTGAATACTTCAATGTCAATGGGGGTAAACTGATCGAACCCGACGTTCTCGACTGGACCAGGAATCTCGAAGAAATTCGTCTGGAACCAGTCGTCGATGTTTGATTCAAGTGCGATGGATGCCTTCGGAAGAGGGTCAGATACAGCATGAATGCGGGGTCCAAGATGGAGGTCTCTCGGAAGCTTGGGCACGACGTGAGCATCAGCGTCTGATAGCCGTCGCTTTCGTGAAGACCCTGAAGATTGCTGAGGTGCAATAATTTGGACCTCATCAGTCCCATCGAGTCCACCGCTACTTGATGGTGGCGATGGTAAGGCGGAATCATTCGCAAAGGAGGTCGGGACCTTTGCACTAGACCTGAGAAATGACAATCAGTTGCAGTTGGCCCAATGCATGGTGATGACTTACCGAAGGCGCTTCATCGGACGATCTGCACATAAAGATTGCCTATGATCAGTTGATTCAGATGATACAGAGGCACGCCGCTTCCGACCAGCGAGAACGGGTGGGATAAAATCTTCTTCATCTTCACTCTCGTCTGTGCATGCTTCGAGAGTGGGAACGGGAGACGGAGAGCGCGAGTGCCTTGGGGATGGATACGAAGCAAAAGCTATGCGCGCCTTCTGGGCCTGCCTATCAAGCGCTCTTTGAATTCTACGCATCTTCTTCTCTTCCTCGCGTCGTGTCTTTTCCTCTTGTGCCCGCTCTTTTCTTCTCCCGTTCCAATCGAAATCTGTCCTCCTCTGTCATATCCTTGACCACTACATCAAGGTCACCTGCAAGCGCACTTCTAGTGAAAGTGGAGGCATAGAGATCCTGTGTAGCTGCCTTCATCTGCTGGAAGTCGTGGAAGATCGCGGGTGCAAGAACACGAGAAGGGTCTTCTTTGATTAGAGCACGATAAGCAGCATCAACAGTGTCAGCTCGGCAGTTGTTAAAATGTTTGCGACAAATCGTCGTCCAACCGATGCGACGGCGAGCACTGATGAACCAGGCAGAAACGGAATTCGTGAAACATCCAGAGCTGCTAACAATATTTGCTTTTGTATCAGAAGACGGGTAAGGGTTATGAATATGAGCAAGCAGCCATTTGTATGCTGGTTCGATGAACGGGGGGTAGCGAAGATTCTAAGGATGGTGCTGTGGACACTGATGGAGGAGAAATAGCGACGCGATTAAAGCCGTCTAGAATGCTGCACATGCCATCGATAAGCTGGTTGTGTAATTCTTCACGTGTTTTTTGGAAGTCCAAAAAGCAGTTCGTGATGACAGCGATCCTTGAAGACACCAAAGTTGCAACTACTATAGTGTCATCAGATAGTTCCTTTGCTGCCAGACAGTGCGAATAATCGTGTATAATGAGTTCCAAGCTGATTTGAATGACATCAAGGAATCATCGTCGCGCAAAATTGAATCAAGTAGGTCTTGCTCCGCTTGTTGAAAGCGCTGTCGAATGTCGTTCTCCATCCTGTAGTGTTGATGTTAAGAGACGTAGATGAGATTGTTGACTAGAATCTGGAAGACTAGAGCGCTATGTATGGTATGTATGCCTTTGTTTGAATAGACAATGCGGACCTTCAATTTGTTCTCGAATTGCATACCAAATAACGATAAACATACCATTTTACATGATTTGATTTATCCATGATCATTCACAATTTAACAACTGGACGGTAGTACCGCTCGAATCTACATTTCGATGGCACAAATGTCTTCTGTCGACTCGATCCTGAAGCAGATTATAAAGCGTGCTCAACAAATCCAGTCCCTAACTCATCCCTCTGTTTCGACATCGTCAGACTCTCTTGCACTTCAAACATATTCTCCACGACCACTTGTTAATATTTCCCTTCCCGACCCGCCCCCAATACGGCCTGCTCTGCTAGCTGCTGGCGCCCGTCCGGAAATTTCCCTAGCGATAGATCAAGCATATCAGAAGCGTGCTGCTGACTTGAAAGCTGCTGTTATTCGGCTATATCACTTATATGCTCAAATCAGTACCCTTCTGACTTTCGACATGGACACGATCAAAAAGTCCTATCCGTGTTCATTGAGCTATATCTGAAACAGCTCGTTACGTGGAGAGAAGAAGGTGTTGCCTCATACCTTAAACATTCATCAGCAGGTGACAAAACACCACAACACGCACTTCGAGTTGTATGGCGAAGTTCAATCATGTACGTTTAATGTCATGTCTTCCGCCGTTTACCCTGTGCGTAATGGCTATGTACAGGAATATGTTCCATTGCTCGAATACTTCTTCGCGGATAACCCATTTCCATCGCATGCTGATAAGGCTCTTTCCTTGCAAAGAAATCAACAATGACGTATCGTCAGATTCATGTTTGGGTATGCATATCTACTGCCATACGTTGGTTCTTGATGTTGATAATCCCAAGTTTCAAAACAGGCGCAACAGAATGAAGAAAGAAGGTCAAGGTGTGAGAAAGAAAGCAGTTGCCGAGGGTGCCACTCTTCCTTTAGATAGCTTGTACCAGCGTATGGAGAAATATATTATACCGAAGAAAAGAAGGCGCCCACATCGCCTTCCACTCCTCCGCATTCTCCTACCAGACAAGGAGGCGAGATGGTAAGGTGTAGTATCCCCCCTTCATTTCATTTTTTATTAATAAGATCTTGTATAGATGTCTATCGCATCCAAACGATGCAACCCACTCGAGCCTCTGGCACCTTTACATGCATTTCCGTCGTCGTATCCCCCTTCATGCTCGTATAATCCTTTTCCATCGAAGAATGGTGTGACGAACTTCGGTGCGCCAAAATGGCCCCGGCGCCCAATGACTGCAACCGTTCAATGTCATATATTAGACATCGATGGGCTCATAGATCGTTTCTCGAGGATAAACATTCTAGATGATTCTGGTTCCTGTTCCCGCGGCAGTGTCGATTCATATGCAGCTGTAGCTGCCATTACGGTTGTACCCCTCCCTGCCCCTCTGCCTGCCCTCATTCGGGGGACAGCTACGCGCATTACACCCGTCCGTGTTCCCCTGCTTTCCGTTCCTGCAACCGCATCTCGTCGTCATGTCTTCGACACTCCCAGTCCCCAATCAAGGCCTATCACATTGGTGCCAGCATCCGAGACCCCAAGAGGGCAGAAAATCCGCCACCGAAAAATGGCACCATTGCCAAAACACATCCCTCACAGGAACCCAGTTTGTTATCGGGGTGTTATGCCAGCCGTTTCAGAGGCGTCTGTCACCTCACCTTCACCGTCCTCCCCCTCGTGTTCGTCTTCATTCGGGTTTGAGAGTTCATCGCAGAACCGCCTATTCTCAAGCGCGAGCTCCACATCGAGCAGTTCCTCTGGTATCATGACGCCGTCTCCATTCCCCTCGCCTTCAACACAGCTTGCGTCTCCTCCAAACTCCTTATACAATTTCTCCTCATCTATTACTGATCTATTCGGCGATGCTTTGGAAAGTGTTCCCTCACCAGCGGAGGGACTTCAACTTGACTTTAATTCAAGCCTATTCGGGAATGAGCAAATCCTGAAGTCGGCGGCGTTTGACTTCTCCTTCGGTATGGCCCCAGCTGTGAATCTTGTCTCCGCACCACCATGAGACACTCTGAGAGCCCATGGACTTCGTTCAGCACGCGAGAGAGAGAGCTTGCTTTCTACATTTGGCACGCCAGGCCTCACTGCTGCGGAATATCTAGCGGTGACGAAGGGCTATGGCAGCGTCCCATTGCTTTATTCATCTAATACCCTGAAGCGGATGCTAGGCACCATGCATGTCCTATGTCTATGATAGCGCATCCTGACTTGTGCTGTATTTTGTTGCTGTCTAATCACTACTTCTAAGTATTTTCCCCCTTCGCATTGCTTTTGCTCATTTGATGTTATCTAGTCATTGTTGTACTGATCTCTGTACTGTCGCTGTTTGTATGCTGTGAACAATTGGAACTGAATGCTGGACGTGTCCCAAACGTAGTGTCACCCACTGAGTAGAATGAAATCGATCACATCTCGAACGTCAGCAACAGCGTTGTGTTCCTCGATTTGGTATTTACGCAGAGTTTACAACATTTCGCAGTGCAACACTAGGTTCTACAGAAGCAAGTCCACACGTAGGCGGGCACTGCACCCAAGATACAAAACTTCTTGAAGTCTTCTTTCCGCTCGACGCATTTACATGAACTTGCTTGCCTAAAGGACAGAGTCAGCCGTTATAGATTAGATCATAAATCAATGCACCATTCCCATCATTCCGCTCAAACCTCCACTGCTGCCACCACCGATGAAGCTGGTCATCTCCTTCTTCATCAAAAGCTGCATGGCATAGGTGGCAGCGCTGTTCATAGCGCTTTGTTTGGCCTCGCCAGATCCTCCACCAGACTGGTCAAAGAGCGAGGAGGCATGTTGCATGGCCATGCCAATAAGCTTGCTCTGCATATCGCCTCCGCCGCTGCTGCCGTGGCTTCTGCCACCGCCGCCGCTCATCATGTCTGTGAACACCTGCAAAATTATGAGTATTTGATCTTGATCGTACTTGAAGTAGCTTACTTTGAAAGCCGCAGCTCCGCCCAATGCATCGGGCGCCATGCCTTGTGGGCCCTGTCCTCCAGAGCTGAATGCCTGGTCGTGAGCATTTTTGAGGTTCTGAACACCATCCTCGTCGATGTCACCATGTTGCTGGACAGTCTGATTTGCAGTGATGAGACGAGGTCTAAATACATTTGAAGGGGAACAACAAACCCTGTGCGCATGAGACAGTGCCTGGTTTAAGAACCCGTGGTTTTCAGAGTCGACATGCTGGCTCACGTCTTCCGAGTTGACTGCCATCTGCTTGTGAGCGCGACAGGGGTGATCGCCAAGTAAATGACATACACGAGGGTCTGTAAGACTGGGGAGGCCGGTTATCGGGAGAATTGTACTCCTGACCTCCAGTCTTGTGTACGTGGGCTTTCCGATCGCTGCGTTTGAGTATTCCTGCAATACGGAGGGTGGATGTCTACTTACATTGAGACTGAGACTCGGAATACGCCTGGTAACCTTGCTTCGCTAGATTTACGAATGAATCCTGTGTACAGATTCCATGAATTTATGATCAGTTTGTACTGCGCAAGGCGACCTACCATGATGATGGGAGCTTATTGAGAGTTTGATTGTAGGTTGTGGATATATATGAGGCACTGCATCAGTCCATCGTTATCACTCCGGGATCGTAATTAGCCGGGTCTAATCTAATCTCAGACATTTCGGATCCTTCCAATCGGAATCGTTCCAATATACTAGTGCTAGTCTTTACATAAATGACAGACGTTCGTAACGTTCGAGAACGCCAGACTGGTGAGTGGCGTGTATATATAACCTATCATGCTGTCGTACCTTCACACGAAGTCTTATGGACGATAAACAATATTACATCTACGGCTACACAATTCCTCGGTGTTATACCGTTCTACACAATATTTGACTCCAGTCTTCTCTCCTCTGCACCAGCAGTGGTTGTCGTAGATGCGTACGGCAGGCCTGCAATATCTTCGACATCTAGGGGCGCATCGGTAGTCGCGTCCGTTGATGGCGGGGTAACCGCATCAGAAGGCGAGGCACTAGAATGCATCCCGAGGTAGCCTTCTACTGTTTCGCGTGCTTTCTCGACCTGTGGCTGCAAAGTGGACTGTGCAACATCAATGTGCGGTTGAGCGGCGGCTTGCGCAGATGCAAAGTACTTCTGAGCTGTCCCAGATAATGCTGACGTCTGCGATGATGATACGGCATCTCCTTCTGAAATGGCATGCGGATCTGTGCTACCGTGAAGATAATCCTGTGAAACGTATGAGCATCCAGGTTCAGGGGCAATGTCGTTATCTCACCTGAGCAGAAGCGGCAATACTTTCCACCAATGTCTTTGCCTGGTCTAGATAACTTGCGCTTGTATCCTTAGCCATACGGAAATCCATCTGCCCTTCGGAGGCCGCGGCGTTTGTCTTCTGAGCCGCTTCGCTTTTTAAGACATCAAAGGCAGTACTGGTGTCTCTCTCTCCCGTCAGTTCAGGCCCCATTCCCTATAATTTGCAATTGTAAGTGGGGTTTCGCCTGAAGGATGATCCCAACTTACCTGCGCAGCCTGAGCTGCTTTTGTTGCTGCTTCTTGAAGGTGCTCTGCGTTCTCTTCCACTTGATGTGAAACACGACTGTCTGGTGCTTCAGCCTGTGCCTGGGCGGCTGTTGTCTCATGCCGAGCTCTCCTAAGAACCAAAGATCAGTATCACAAGGACTCTCCGCTAAAAGATTCCTTACTCGGTGCCCTGAGCCTCCTCGACATTAAAGATGGAACCTGTTTTGACTGTGTTCGACATGGTTGTTTGGTGTAATAAGTTGGATACGCCGTCTGGTCTTATACACCTGCGCCTCTATGACATCATAGCTTGCCAGCGACGTCACGCGTCAAGCAAGAACCATGATGACGTAGGCTCCAGTGTACCCCACAATCGCACATGGATAGTTTCGTTGTTTGCGGAGTGCAAGTATCTAGCGAATGGGAATAATCATCATAATGTTATGCAGGGCGCATACTATGGAGATATGGGTACACACCATACATTTACTTTATCGAGAAGCTAGAGAGGTGGGCAATTACACGCAAGTGACATTAAAGAACAGTTCAGCCGGTCCTGAGCGCTGAGCTTCCAGACACACGACAACACAACAGACATCCCATCGTCTGAAATCACAGGTAGATAGCAATAAATGACTGGGGAAGGAGACAACAGAGAGGAGAAGTAAGAAAGGAATACGAAGCGAAGTACTTTCAAATCAGGTCGACCGACATTACGTTATACTACCGTGACTCGCTTTCACTTCCAAAAGGGCCTCAGGTAGAGATACTTACCTCGGACTCTCTCGATGCATACGTGACAGAGGGAAATGGCAAAACGAAAGTCAAGAAGGTGAAGAGTCTACAAAGTTCGAACGAGGTCTAATGCTCACACTTCCGATGTTTCGCAGTCTGACGCAAGTGCAGTCAGCTGTAATGTAAATTTCGAATCACAGTACTTTTTAGTAAGATTCGGACATCATTCCAATGCATATACAAATTTAACACAATCTTTTGGGTATGCTTTATCTGCTCCGAATCAGTACGTGTTCTAATAAAGGGTTTTTATCACTGACATACCCAGACCCATCATTTGCGTCACAACAGTGCTTTCCCCGGCGGGCCGCCGCTCCCATCACAACAAAACTCAGTCGACTCGCCACCAATGTCTAATTGGCAAGCTCTGCTCCTTATAAGACGACTGTCCGGGCATGGGAGCGACCCGCACAGCTGCCAGACGCATGCTCGTGCACTAAGGGGACCAACAGCCATGACTGCAAGGAGAATGATCGACAGATATCCATGTGGGCCCTCAGTGTCCAGTCGGATCTACAGGTTGGCGAGTAAGCCAGACTCACAGCTACAAAGTGCGGTGTCTTTAAGCTGAGTGTTGGTTGTCCTGTACTCATGCACTTTATAGCTGCTGCTAGTTATAATATTTTTTTTGCAATTTCGAAAATAGAGACCATGCCCCATAGTCTCGCTCAGGAAGCTTTCATCATGAGCATGCGAGATCTCTTTAGGACGCAGTCCTTGCACGAGGACGGTTAAGGCTAAATCAAGAGCCAGCATAGCCCTAGTAGGTGCTCGACTTCAGTATCATGGCCAGAACTATTGAAGCAGTTCTTGGTATACGGACATCAAGATATGGCTCGTGGAGTGGTAATATTTTCTGAAGATATCGATATCTGAGACGGTATAACTACTTGATAATTCTGCCTAACCGGTAGAACTAGCATCGACCATTTTTAGCTGACAATATCATGATCTACGAAGCGTCAACGTTGCCATTAGTAGAATGCTGCCTTTGGCACTTGCCGGCAGGGGTGGTTGGCAGAAGCCCGCATAAATAAGGTACTTGTTCCTTATCTCTTGGTGCGCAAGTTAGCAGTTACCATGGTCCCAAAGCTCATCCAAAAACTTGTGTCTGACAACTTCCTTTCTGCCCCCAGGTCATAACCGGCAGAACTTATATTGGCGACCAGCCCATTTAATGAAGCAGGCAAACCATCTGTAGGGCTGGTCACCAGTCTAGTAGGCAGAACACTACTCATCCCTGACTTTCCACAAATGTGGGAGAGGATCTAAATCCCACATGCGCCGATACGTAGGAACCCTTTTGAAAAAGCTGTGTGACAGGGATGATCGGCGATAGTTCGTCTGTTTCTACGGTATCTGCAGCAAAACTTGTATTGTGCGTGGTGTCGCGCTGCGTGTTGGTAATATAATAAAAAATCAGATGCGCGAAATAAGGGACATAGTATCAACGCAACCATATTTCGTTTACTTCCTGACGCAGAGCTTCCAAGCATATCGCAGATGATTCGAGTCTCTTGGCACCACAGGCTATCTCACCTGCTTGCAGAAGATCGCAGAGTACTTCGCTTGCCGCTGAGTTTCTCCCCAGTGCCACGTACTCCTGTCATTAAAGTCAGCGCATCTCTTGCTCTCGATTCAGCAGCTATGTGAGCTTCGAAAGCCATATCTTCACCGTGGATTTCAGCATCGGTCAATGATCTTACTCGCCGTTTAGAGAAACTGAAACGTACAGACTGCCATTAATGTATTCGGCCATTGGCGCCACGCTCTCGCATACTACAGCAAGCCCTCATTGAAAAACGTGTGCCTTGCACGAGTTGAGTCTGCCGTAGACTAAGCACAAACAATTCGTGAGACTGGTTTGCAGAACTCGGGAGGTTTGCCAACAACGCTTTCAACAAAGTACTTGTTTTGCACATATCAATAGCTATGCGGCTATTAGGAAGAAATGTTATTGGTTGAGTAGAGCGAGTCTGAGGAGGAATGACGGGTATGAACGTTGTGAGCGTAAAACGGTATTAATGTGACAGGGGACATTACAAGACACAAAGTAAAGGATGGGAGATAGTTGTTGAGTGTTTGTGCGAAAGCTCGCAGGGCTTTCCCGCCCTAGAACTTGGGTCCGAACCTGGATCTGGGCGTCGAAATGAGGATGCTGCTAGGCAGAAGCAAGAAGCGCTACGCCACCTCCAAGTCGCTTATTCGCACTAAGTTCTAGGAAGAAAAACGAATAGAGGAAGCGAACAACGCGGGTCACCGCTCAGCTGGACGCATGTATTCCGACAGGCTGCATTACCTGGCACCTGGACATATCTTCACCTTCAAAATCCTCAGAAATACCTCGGACTGTCTCGATTGGCATAAGTGACAGAAGACAATGGCAAAACGAAAGTCAAGAAGGTGAAGTGTACAAAGTCTGAACGAGGCCTACTAAATGCTTACGCTTCAGCCTGACAACGTTTCGAATCACAGTGCTGTTTAGTAAGACTCGAACATCATTACGATATTGGTGAACAAATATAGATTCAGCAGTTGACGAAAAAACTCGTGACATTCAGCCATCAATGTTTTGGCACCAATCTACAAGAGTATTTGGGGTATGCTTTACTATCATAGCTTAACGCGTAAGCAGAACTGTTGAAGTTCATCCCTATTTTGCGCTCCGAATCAGTACGTGTTCTAATAAAGAGTTTTATCACTGACCCATCATTTGCGCAGTGCTTTCTCACTGCTCCTACACGTGACAATAGTACTGAGTCGCGGGACCAGTGGGTGAGTTGCAAGATTTGCTCTTTATAACACGGGTTCCGGGGCACGGGATCCCCCCACACGACTGCCAAGTGCATGCGGCGGCAGCAGGATTATTGTCAAGGACGGCTGCTCGTGCACTAAGAGGACCAACAGCCGTAACTGCAAGGAGAATGATCGCCAAGATATTCATCTGGGCCCTCAGTGTCATCAGTCGGATCTAAGGTTGGTGAATGAGCCAGGCTTACAGTTAAAAAGTGCGAGGTCTTTAAGCTGAGTGTGGGTTTTTTTTGTTGGTCGTCCTGTGCTCACTGCTCATGCACTTTATAGCTGCTGCTAGTTAGAATATTCTTTTTTGCAAGTTCGAAAATAGAAACCATGCCTCGTAGTCTCCCTCAGGAAGATCATATCATGAGCATGCGAGTGCTCTTTAGCACGCAGTCCTCGCACAAGGACTTACACACAGGTTAAGGCTAAATCAAGAGCCAGCATAGCACTAGTAGGTGCTAGACTTCAGTATCATGGGCAGAACTATTTGTTGGCATCCGAAGCGCCAGAGTCGAAGAAGACCGAGAGACCCGATGGACAGGCACGAGATGACGAGTAGGAAATGACAAGTAGCAAGTACGAGCGCAAGTCATTGGTCGAGGGAGGTCGGGGACGGAAGGAACAGGGAGTACCTGTTGACGTCGGGACCGAAATGGTCCAAAGTAAATTTTTCACCTTCAAAATAATCGAGAGCGCTTACCGTATTAATACCAGCGCCCAAACGTTACGAGCGTCTCAGTTCTTTCCAGAAACTGAGACGTGAGTCTATACCTTTATCGTTATTGTTACACCTAACTGACTCAGCGTAGTTATTCTTACCTGTTAGGTACACGCTTCGTCAATAAGAGTTCTTTCCAGAAACTGAGACTTATTCTTACCTGTTAGATCGTTTCTATCCCGCTCTACCTCTAATCTCTAGACTATTTTGAAGCAGTTCTTGGTGCATGGCCGAATCTCATATTTTGTTGATGCATACTAGAAGTGTTTGCCATGACATACTTTGCTGCAAGCGGCAGTCAGACCAGTTGACCCCTCATCACCACGCTGCAGTTCCGCAAAAATGAATATTTTTTTCGGTCCTTTCAAGATGTCCTTCCCGTCCACGTCCTTGTCCGAGGCAACTTGAACCTTTGTGTCCGAATCATCCGTTCCACGCTGCAAATATACTCGAACTTAGCATTGCAAATATTAACGCGGACCTTGCCGAGTGCGATTTCAATATCAAGGAAGCCAGCCTCTAGATTGCTCTAGACTTACTATTATCCTAGGGAGTACTTCGCCGAGTTGTGAAGTCATGTCATGATATGTATGTACACTAATCTGAAGACTGGCATAGTCACTAGAGAAACGAGATTTCAACCCCAACATGATCCGAGAGCATTTAGCGGTGCGGTACACAACATCAAGATATAGCTCGCGGAGTGGTAATGTTTTCTGAAGATATTGATATTTGAAACAGCAGATCTAGAGCTACTTGATAATTCTGCCTAACCGGTAGAACTAGCATCAACCAATTTTAGTTGACAGCATTTATGATCTACGAAGCGCCAACGTTGATAGCAGAATGCTGCCATTCTGCCATTGGCAATTGCCGACAGGGGTGATTTAGCAGTCCGCATGAATAAGATATTTGTTCCTTAGTTCTTG